ACAATTCAAAGATGTTTAACACCTTTGTATGCATTATTTATCATGTTGGTCTTATTTTGTGTACTGAAATTTTTAAAATTGGGTGTATTTTCCTTGTTGAGTATGAAGAATTAGTTACATATTTTAAATATTCACTGCCATCAAATAGATTTGAATTCTTAAGACTCCTTTAGGACAAGAGTAGAATTTTCCCCATAGAGTTTCCAAGGCTGCGATCTACGGAAGCAGACGGATTCATCTTTCTCCCATTCATCTGCTGACAGCTATAAGCCAAGTGTTTGAGGCCCAGTGCCACCAGACTTCTAAACATTTTAGTTATGAATGCCTTCTAAACAAATGGGCTACTATCCAGCCGTTTCATGGGGAAGCGTGTGATCAAGAACCAGTGTGATGGAAGAAAGAAATCCAAGGTACACTGAAGGTCTTGGCAGAAACAAGACTTCAGGAGCCGACAGAAGCCAATGGAAATGTTTCAATTTGCTGATAAGCACTGGAATCACTCACTGGTCTATGCCACAGAATTTGGAAGCCCGCCACCTGGGCCTGTGTGCTAGAAGAGATCCATGTTTGTGTTCATTCCAAAGAGAGGGAAACCAACAAACTTTCGAAACAAACAATGTCATTAAGACTAAATATAACTATTAGTTAAATTTAAATTTAATAGTAGAAATATGCTGAAGGTGATTCAGCAATGATGATCTGCCAGGAGTTGACAGAAATTCACCCTGAACTCAGAGAAGGACTGAAATGAGATATATTATTGCTGACATCAGGTGGATCTTGACTAAAGCAGGAATAACTGGAAGATAGATGTTGAGATAGTTAAGGTTTATCGTGTGAACCTGGCTGATAAACATATGTGGGCTTAATGGAATGGCCGAGAGATAAATGACTCACTGAGCCTCGCCTTTCTAGTTCTCAGTTCTCTTGCTGTGTGATGGTCGGACCAGGGTGCAGCTGCTTTAGCCAGTTCCCTGTTTCAGCTGGCAAGGCTCACTTCCACAAGACATCCCTGAGGAGAAGCCACATGGACCTACCCTGATGCAGCCCTGGGTGCTGGAGCAGCCATGTGGAGACCGCTGCCAGCGCTGAGATGCTTGCATGCTCACTGATTTGGCTTTCCTCCTGCAGTTGACGTCATTGTGTGTGTTCAGTGAGACTGAGGAAGACTTTGTAGAATGGTATTGGGCATTAGGGCTAATGTTGGATTTATAGGCTTGGACAGCACTGGGTTGGGATGCTTTCTTAATCTACACTTACCCTTTATATAAAACTCTCTCTTTTACATATGTGTTTCTGTGGATTTGTTTCCCTAGTTTACCCAGACTAACCCAGATGTTACTGGGGTTTTAGTGACTATGCAGAGGGTTTTGATTGTGGGACCCCTGACAAATGATGGGTAGCATTGAGAAGAATGGAATTCCTGACCACCCCATTGTGCTCATACAGAACCTGTACAGAAGCCAAGAGAACGCCTGTGAGCAGAACAACCGTTCTGCGTGGTTTACAATCAGGAAAGATTTGTGCCAGAGTTGTTTCCTTTCAATATACTTAATCAGTCTGCATGCTGAACAGATACTCTGAGAAGCTAGACGAAGCTAGACCTCTAGAATTTTGGAGGAAAAAAATCTTTGTTATAGCCTTCAGAGAGTAATCTCGTCCTGCTGACACCTTGCTAACCTAGTGATACTAGACTGGACTTTTGCTCTATGGATAAATTTTAATAAATTTATATTGTTTTTTTCTACCGTGGTTGTGTCATTTGTTTTAATAATGTATTTGTTATCATTGAGAATATACACAGGAGAATGTCCACCAATTCAGTAGTTCAATATGCACAGTTCACTGACTTTGCTTGCATTCTTCAAGTTGTGCGATCACTTTCACCCGCTTTTCCAAGCTGTTTCTCCTCCATGAACATATTCCACAGAGTTTGAGATAATATATAATGGCAACAAAAGAGACTAAAAGAGTGATTTTCCTGAGAAAATCCTGTAAACTGTACATTCTACGTCTCATTTGTCCTCTGAAGTCTGTTTTGGGTTAACTTAGTGGCCAGCTAATTTTTGCACACATTTTCTTACATTCCTGGAACCAATAAATCTTGTAGCCTTCACAAGGGTCTTAGTTGTGTATGTTTGGACACTCTTTCAACACTCAGCGAGGCAATCTTAATAGACGTGCTGCCAAAGCAAGTACTCAGCCAAGCAATTTACAGCTCTGCTTTAGCCTGCACTTGTAGAGTCTCAAGGTCAGCCAGAGGTGAGGCTGTGTAAGATCTTCTCAGATCTCTCTGGTCCTAGGACTCGCAAACCTATGGGACTTCATTGTCTTTCTCTTAGAGCTTTCAATACTCCCTTCATGCTTTTCATTCCCTTGCTTTTCCTTCACATTTTTTTAAGTCAGTGTTTGCTCAAATCTTTTTTTCTCTGTGTTAAGCAGCTACCATGTTAAATAATTGCTCCTGATTCTGTGCTGGGGTAAAGGCTGCATGTGCATGCTGATATGATCAAGTAAAGGCCAGAGGGGATTTCTAGGGATGTGCCAGAGAAGTTAGTAACAATTCTCTGGAAATAATGCCTTTGAAGTGCTCAAAAATTATTCTATCTCCTCCCCTGGCTACTAGGATTGTTTTGCTCTTTGGTTTTATTTGTCTTTAACTGTGATTGAAGGACTACTGGAAGGAAAGAAAGAACACTCAGATGCCCCCAAATTTGCTGTTTGCTATGAGAAGGTCTAGGTGGTTTTCTTGAATGAACACTTCTAGGATTATTGTAAGATTTTGTTTAATTTCTAGAGTAAGCTCATTCTAGACAATTGTTGCCAGTGCTCTTGTTTATTTTATGGAAAAGCAGATTTTCAGCGGTCTGGAGCACTGGGTTGGGCAACAGACTGCTAACCACAAAGTCAAAGGTTTAAGCCTACCAGCCATTCTTGAATAGAAGGAGGAGACTGTTCCCATAAATATTTACAGACTCAGAAACCTTAGCTGGGGTCTCTGAGTGGGAATCAACTTGACCAAAGTAGCTTTTTTAAAAAAAGTGTAGTCAGAAGGAACCTTGTTCACACAGTAGTTAGAGATAGGGGGCACGTGGCTGCTAACCAAATGAGTCAGCTATTTGAGCCTGTCCGCTGCTTCAGGGAAGAGAGCTGGGGTGATCTTCTTCTGTAAAGATTTGCAGCCGTGGAACCCCACTCCTACTCTGTCCTGTAGGGTCTCCATAAATTGGCATCATCTAGAGAGCGCTGGTGTTAGGAGTGTAGTGAAGAGTCGCCACTCCACTCTATACTTATTTCTTATTCCCACTGTAATGCTTCGTTACTGAAACCACATTGTCAAAGCCTCCAAAGAGCACATCAGTTCAGAGGGCTTCCAGTGAGTGTTTAAAGAATAAAGTCTAAAATGTTAAAGGCCCAAACTTTGAAATATCTACCAAGTGCCATTTTTAATATACCTCCCTCAGAAATTGTACAGTGAAACGGAAAACAGTGTTATGAAGAATTTGGAAAATAAAACTGTCAACCCTGGTTTAGAAATATGTGTATGTGTATAGTTATAACTAATAGAGGATATAGATATTCTTTTCAAATGTCTATGTGATATTTTCAAAGTAGATTATGTCTCATTGCCGTTCAGTGCAACTCAGAGTATTCCTTTGTGGCAAAGTAGTACAGCCCCTTCGGGTTTTCGTGGCTATAACTTTTGTAGGTGCAGGCAGTCAGAAGAAGAAGACAATCAGTCTTTTCCGTCTTGTCAGTGCTGCTGGGCTGATGTCAACCACCAAGTCTCCATCAGCAGACAAGCACATGCTTATCACCCAATCGGGGCTACTTCTGTGAGGCCACTAAAAACTCCATAGGCTTTATTGAACCACAACCCAATACAACTCTAATAAAATTAATATGAATAGAATAATAAAGGTGTAAAGTCACTCATATGGGGAAAACTACATAACAAAGCAAAACAAAGACAGACTTAGGGGATAAAAATCAGGTCAGTTAATAACATATCAGACAGGTCACCCAAACAGTGTGATACTGAAAGAAAATCTTAAGGCACTGCTTAATGTACTTAAAAAAATGACATGTTCTAAGAAAATAACTCAGAATACAGGGAAGAAAATGAATTTTTTAAAACTCCAGAGTAAAGAGTTAATAAAAACAACAGCACAAAAATGCAAAAGAAAACATTTATCAACAACAACAACAACGACAAACTACTACCTTAGATCTCCTTTTTTGACAAGTTCAGGAAAAAGTGTAGCTTCAGAGGCAGATGTCCCCTAAATCAGATCTCTGTTGTACCAACTCAGAAATTTTAATAAAATTATAGTTGTTAAATGATTTTTACTGCCATGCTGATCCGCTTTTCTAAGGGTTTTCTTGTGTATGCACAGGGAAATGAAAAGTGCAGAAAGCAGAAAGAGCTTGTTTATCCTGATCTCAATTTTACTTAATTCCCAAAACCAAGCCAAACTCACTACCGCTGTGCTGATTTCAGTCATAGAGGCCCTATCGGGCTGGAAATGCCCCTTGGGGTTTCCGAGGCTATGTGTTTCTCTTTATTACCCTATCTTCCTCCCTTGGAGTGGCTGGTGGGTTTGAATGGCCCACCTGCGTTCAGCAGCCCAATTTTTCTACTGAATCAAAAGCAAAAACTCACTGCCATAGGGTCGGTTCCTGCTCACGGTGGTGCACGGCACAGGGGAGAACTGCCCTGTGGGCTCCCAAGATTGTAACCCTGAACGAGAGAAGAAAGCCCTGACTTTCTCCTTCAGAGAGTCTGATGGTTTTCAACTGCTCACTGTGCAATTGACAGGCCACTGGGTAATCACTACGTCACTAGACCTCCTTAACAGTATACCTTTATTCCAAATAAATCGGTGTATATATGTGGAAAGAATGAAAGGTAAAAATGTAATTTCCACTTAGCAAACAGTTTCATGTAAATATGTTATCTTAACTTAAGTGAGTGAATTATCTGTTGGGTCTAATTCCAGAAGCACCCGGTCTGCAGCATGCAGGGAAAACACGGAACGAGACAGTGGTGCTGAACAGCCCCGTGCAGCTGGAGTGCAAGGCAGCTGGAAACCCTTTGCCTGGTGTGTTTACTTTTGGACTCCGTAACTTATGCACATTTTAAGATTTCTGGGAATAACTGAAAGTGTTTATGAGCATGCTATGGTAATTACTAGCAAGCAAGGAGGGTGACTGAATACATTATACGACTGCAGCATTGATAAAAATATAGTAAGATGGAGGAGATTTTTAAATGTTGATTGCTGTTAGTTGAATGAAATAATTTCTAAATGTAAGCAGTGTAAAATATATGAATGCCTTGATCTTATTGAGATTATCAGTACTGTGATCACAAGCATCACATGGGCTTTACAAACATTTACGTTGAAAATGTTTTGGGTTATAAAGATTATCTGAATGAAAATAACTCATTTGACTTTAGGTTACAACAATTGTGTTGATAATATTATTTTGTTTTATTGCTTCACATCACTGGTCAAACAAAACTAAAACTCATTGCCATTGAGTAGATTCTAACTCGTGGCTACTCTGTAGGACAGGGTAGAATGTCCCCTGTGTGGTTCTGAGCTTGTAACCAGTGGAGTAGAGAGCTTTATCTTTCTCTCAAGCGTGCCTGGTGCTGTCGAGCTTCATTTAGCAGCTCAGCATATAAGCAGACCCTTCACACCAGTGGTAGATTATGTATATCAAACAATGGCAACATTGTGATGACTAGCACTTCATATAGTACTGTGTTTAATGATCAGGTGTTTATAGATAAGGATGTCAATTAAAATCTATCATCACTGCCATCGAGGCAGTTCTGACTCAGACCCTGTTTAGAGTTCCCGAGACTAAATCTTTGCGGAAGCAGACAGCTTCCTCTTTCTCCCTGGAGCCGACAATCTGCTGACCTTGTGGTTTGAACTACCAACCTTGCAGTTAGCAGTGCAATGCTCATCTGACAGTGCCACCAGAGCTCCTTACCAAGAACATAAACAACAAAAAGAAGTAGTGTAGGTTGAAATTTCACTCTAAAAGATTACTTGGACAGTCAAGATAATAAAAAAATATATCATTTCCCCCTTACATTCATTTTCATGACGCTCAGAAGGATTTGGGTCTTTAAAGATTTCTCTTCCTGATACTCACTCCTGTAGAGATGTGTATTAGGACAATTTCCACTGGAGTGATGAGCATATTAATAAGAACACTGTTAATGTTCCGTTAAACTCCAGTTTGGCTGATGTAAGGCTTTACAAGTGTCTTCTTCCCCTCCCAGCTGTCACCTGGTACAAAGACGGTCGTCCTCTCTCCGGTGCCAGCGTGTCTTTCTTGGACAGAAGGCAGATTGTTGATATTGAAAGTGCCCAGGTCTCAGATGCCGGCATCTACGAATGTGTGGCCGTGAACTTAGCCGGAGCAGCACGGTTACTTTACAATCTGCAGGTCCACGGTGAGGGCTGGGCTTAGGAAACGTGCAAGATCATTCGGAGCTTCCATGAAATCCTGATATAAGGCTTCAACAAAGTGTGTTACCTTTTTATTTCAGGGCCCAGTATTATAAAACCTATAAATGTTTTAGGTTCCATTCCTATTAAAATTCTTGCTTTTCACACACTGTTGAATTTAAATGTGTTTTAGATGAGCTGTGGGAATTGTCATGGATGTTTTTTATAAACAAATGATACTGAATGTGCTTATAAATATTCTTGAACAGAATCATAGATTAGTTTACGAAGCATTCCCAAGTAATTATCCTAAGAAAAGTTGATGGTTAATATTACTATAGTGTTCGATGGGAATATGTGTGTGTGTGTGTGTGTGTGTGTGTGTGTGTGTGTGTAAAGATAGATAGATAGAGACTTCTAGATATCAATAAATGAACACCGTAGCCTCAACTGTGACAATTTCAAAGTTACAAAACTAAATTTCCTAACAAAGTAGCCAACCTCCTTTTCTTCCTTTGTAAGATGGAGATACTGAGGCTTGCCTGACTACTCTCTGATTCAAATTTCAAGTGAGAAATGTAAAAGATCTTTGTTGTTGCTATTGAGTGTTAATGAGTTTATTCTGACTCAGAGGACATCATGTGACAGAGCAAACCCACCCCACAAGGTTTCGTTGGCTGTAATCCCTCCGAAACCCCTCACCAGCTCTTTCTTCCGTGGCACCACTATGGAAGTGTGAATCAGTCTTTCAGTTAGCAGCCAAAGCAAAACTGCTGTACCATAAGGATTCCTCATAAAAGGCCTTTAAAAAGCAGCACTAACAACTTACAAAGAGATTTTGTAGGACCGCAGGTACTTTTTTCAATGTCTGGACATGAAGTGCTCTGTGATGTTAACATATTTTACTTTAAATTTTCAGTGCCTCCATCGATTTCTGGCAGCAATAGTATGGTGGCAGTGGTGGTTAATAATCTGGTGAGATTAGAATGTGAAGCCAGAGGTATCCCTGCCCCGAGTCTCACCTGGTTAAAAGATGGGAGCCCAGTCTCCAGTTTCGCTAATGGAATTCAGGTACCTTCTTTCATTTCTCTGATGAAATCTAGTACGTTGTCATTCAATATAGCAAACACAACAGGTAAAGTTGTGAAAGAGCACTGATTAGCGAATCTCACCCAAACCCGTGTACAACGTCATACACAAATATCAGGTCACACCGTAGGATTTTCCAAACAATTCATTACGCTCTCAGGACTTTTACGTGTGATCATTTGAATGGTCGCCTTAACTCACATGTTGGTACTTTCACTTTTATATTTTGACAAGTTGTTTTGGATATTTGTCATTTTCACTCCCACCTCCTCCCACCATCTCCACCAAAACAGATACCTTAAACATAGGAAGGTTTATCAACAATAAAAACTGTAAATTAATAGCAATATTTCATTTAAATGTCTGGAAATAACAAATTAGAGAACTTTGTAAGTTAGTGTATTTACAGCTATAATATCAATGAATAAAATAAGAAAAAGGGAAGAGCATTAGAGATCAAATCGAATCTTAGATAAAAAACATTTTAAGTGTATTAAACAGATTCAAATTTTTAAAATGCAGTTTCAAATTAGTTTGCTTCAATTTTATTTTGCCAGAGACTGGATTTCAATAACCTTTTACTGTCTGTATCTTCTATCATAGGCAATCTATAGTTAAAGTTAATATTTTAGAGGTACAATTCGATCTATGAAATATGAGGGCAATGGATGTGGCAAATTAATTTCACTGCTCTTTCCTTGTTCACCCAAGGAAGAATTATGAAGGAGAATGAGCTCCTCCTTCTTGTTCCCACATCGCTCCTCTCATAAATCTGATTGGAGTAAATACAGATGAAGTTTGACCTTCAGTTGATTTTGAAACAAAAATTTGTTTTCAGTGGTTGTTACCAAATTTGATTTAAATCACAGGGCTTTCTACTGGGAGGTAGAAGAATGAATTGCATCTTTAAAAGCCCGAGAGACTATCCTCCTAGAAGCAAAAATCCACTGATAAAAGCCCAAAATGGGATAAAAACTCTGTTTACCCTGAGCATTTTCAGCACTCTACTTGTTATTTCGCTTCCTTGTCACCGACAGGTTCTTTCTGGGGGACGAATCCTCGCTCTGACCAGTGCCCAGATCAGTGATACTGGGAGATACACCTGTGTGGCAGTGAATGCTGCTGGGGAGAAACAAAGGGACTTTGACCTCCAAGTGTATGGTGAGACCTTCTCGCAGTTCGTTCAGCTGTGCCAGGAATGTGTTTAGATTATAAGGTTATGCAGAATCGAAAGACAATGAAGGATGACAAATAATAGAAATAATAATACTACTGATCAATCAACTCAGATCTCAATATCATGTCATCTCTTCCTCTACACCTTCCTCTTTGATCTATTTCTTTAAAAAAAAATAATTCTGAGAATTTAAAATGCATGCATCCAGCTGAGGAACATGACTATAGATAGCAGTTCTGATTCTGGAAGATATAATCTCTTCAGCAAAGCAAGCATCCTTTCAGTTAGCTCTCTCCACCTATTCTATTCAATGGTTGACTATATTGTTTGCATTTATAATGAGGATTTTTTTCAATCACTGCTATGTCTATGAATTAACAGATTCTTTGAGAAGTAAAATTTAAACATAAATTTATTTTCTTCCCTACCACTTTGCAGCCATAATAAGTAACAAGGAAACATTTGATTCCATCGAAGCAAATTTCTATCAGAACAAAGTTCAAACCTCATTGGTCTCCATTCATAGATTATTCTTGCCATTTTACATTCCAGTATACCTTTAACATTCGAAATTATTTCAAATATTTTCGGATGTGTTATTTGTATAACACACTCTCTTAGCTACTGGATAATGAAATTGTTTCTTCTGAAGCCTCTAGAATATTTGATGGTAGTTTTGCCCCCTAAATACTGTCTTGCTTCCAAATAATTGACTCCTAATGTCAATAGAAGACTGCATCATTTTCCTCTATACCGTGCAGACTTATTTCTATGTTTGTAAAAGAAACTGTAATAATTACGAGCTGCTTGTATAGTATGACATAGATTTCTAATGAAAGTATCCATTTTTACAACATGAATGGCTTCTCTACCCAATGGAGATAACAGGGCTATGCCCCAGTCATGAGCGGGGGATTACCAAAGGGCTCTAGACGTCCTGCTTTTCTCTTCCTGCTTCAGTTATGCCATGGCTATGTAGCTGAGATCACAGAGTGTCTTAGGATGCTCAACCCCAGATACTCCAATTGCCTTTTCTCTTAGCATTACTTTTCTATTCCATAAAGAAGTAGAGTGTTGCCGATATCAAATATCCTCAAAGAATGATTAGTCAATTGGTCTAAGTATGTGACACAGCAGCTCTTCTAAGCTCACATAGGAAGTGGCAATGATACTGACTGAGTGTTAGTAGGGAAAATCTGCAATCAGATCTTGCAATTCTATAAAGTGGGTGTAGGCAGCAGAGGGGTGGGTGAAGGGAGACGCCGGACAGTGTAATATAAGATACAATAATAAATTATAAATTATTAACGGTGCGTGGGGGAGAGGGGAGGAGGAAGGGAAGGGGAGGGGGAAAAAAAGGAAAATTATCGGGTTCCGGGAACCCAAGAGGCTAGCGGATTTTGGGAATGATGAGGGCAACAAATGCATAGATGTGCTTTACACAATTGATCTATGTATTGTAATGAATTATATGAGCCCCAGTAAATTGATTTAAAAAAAAGTGGGTGTAGGACATGAGAGAGCTGATACTTTTCTGATTTGTATAGAAAGTATATCACTATTCTCTGTCATGTGCTACCACAATTTTATACTACTCCATCAGGCAGACAACCAGACCCTTTCCTCCTGATATAAAGGTTCAACACTGAGCTCCATTTTTTGAGGTTGTATGTGTATCTTTAAAGGATCCCGAGAGGTGCTGTGGATCAGGCAGTAGGCTGCTAACTGCAGGGGAGCAGTTAAAACCAACCACCCCTCTGCAGCCACAAGATGAAGCTCTCTACTCCAGCAGATATTTTTACTTGGAAACTCTGCATAGGATCACTGCGAGTTGGAATTGACTTAAGAACGCTGAGTTTGGATATGTGCATAACATTTTAAACATATATGCATGGTCAGCTATTGAATAATTATAAATTTACAACAGATTTTAATTTGACATTTGTTTTTAATACATGTTCTACTATTAGAATTGGTTCCACACATCATATTCTTTTTTGTAGTAGCAACCTTGGCAATCTTGTTCCTAATTGAACCCTAGTTTTAGTTGTTGTTGTTGTGTGGTATCAAGTTGATTCTGACAGAAAGACCCCGTATGGCAGTATAGAATTGCCCCACAGAATTTCCAATGCTGAAATCTCTACAGAAGCAGATCTCCCAGTGTGTTTTTGTTGACAGTCAAGCACTTAACCATTGACATAAATTCACACAAACACCACAAACCCCAAATCAAAAACCAAAGCTTACTGCCAAACAATTGCTTCCAACTCATAGCAACCTGCATAGGGTTTCTGAGACTGTAGGTCTTTCTGGGACCAGAGAGCCCCACCTGTCTCCGCACAGCCAGTGGTGGATTTCAGCAGCTGAAGTTTCAGTGAGTAGCCCAGCACTTAGCCGGCAGGGCCACAAAAGCTCTTCTGTGTCTCCAGACCCAACATCCTAGCTTGGATTCCTATTCCTAAGGATCCTATAGGACAGAGTAGAATGGCCTCCTTAGGGTTTCCGAGATTATAATTTTTTACAGGAGCAGACAGCTTCATCTTGCTTCCATGGAGCAGCTGGTGGAGCTCTCAGCCCAACAACTAACTCACGGTGCCACCAGATCTCTTTATTGTGCTGGCGCGACACTTCATGGGAGCCTAGGGGCTGTGCCAATTACCACTCAGAACAAAATCCCCACCAGATTTACATTGTTGAGTGTGGGGATAGTAGGAGAAATAGCAAGTCGTGAAACGTGCTTTTCCTAATTGCAAAAGTAGTTCATTAAAGATTCAATGTTCACATTCTAAGATACCACATCAATAATGGAATTTCTTAAAGTTTTGTATCCACATGGTACCTTTGTTTTTTAATAAACGAAGTTCAAAGAACTTTCCTAGAAATTACACATTTTCCAGTGTCTCAATAAGTATAACCCTATGGCAATTCTGATTTTGGTTATTAAATTATTGGGTATGAAACATAGGATGAGAAGTTGGTGCAGAGCTCATCCTTTCTTGAGCAACACAACCACAAAACAAAGTGGGGGCGATCTCAGGAAACTGAGGGTCCAAAGGGTAGAACCTGCTCTCCGCTCAGACTGAACAGGACTTGGAGATGAGAGACAGGACATAAAAAATACAAACTAGACATGTTTTGGTAATATATAGCCTATAATTAGATTCTTTAGTTTATGTTCTTTACAAAACAAATACTGCATTGTTTTTGCATATTTTTCCCTCTCACTTTTAAAAATCTGGTTTTCTTTTGAACTTGATTCAACTCATTTAGCTGTAAGGAAATGTAATTGAAAGAAAAATATTTGGAAATAAATTAGCATGATGCTGTCTTCAGTTGTTTCTGATTTTTGCTTTTATAAACAATCATTAAAAATTCCTGCTCTTTTGTGCATTTTGCAAATAATCTAAGAGAAACATTTTATACAGTTATGGTACTTTTTTAATCCAGTGAGACCAGACTTTGCCCTAACTTATTTCCAAGCTGTGAAATCAGCTCTTTAGTTGAGAGCTTCCTAAGTATGATAAAGACTTGTGGATTTATCTGGTTTCAATGATATTTTAGAAAGCAGCCCCCCATAAGAATTTATTTCAGAGGACAGAGCTGAAGCTGTAGCTCAGGTTGAGGGACACGTCTAATCAGAACACAGAGGAGCAAATGAAGGGGTAGGAAGAGAGAGTAGAGCACATCCTGGTCCACCAAGCCTTGAGGACGATATGCCCGCTCAGAGGAGCGAATCCACAGAGAAGACCATATGGCCTGCCCCACTCTGAGACATGACATCCCTCACTGACCCATATCCCTACAGGAGACAGCACGGGAGACACAGTGTGGGAAATCCGCCCGATCTGATCCCACCACACCGAGGCAAAATACTAAGGGTGTGCAACAGAACAGCAAGGGGAACAGAGCAACGAAGTCCCCAGGGAATACCAAAAATAGATTTTGGGGCCAGGGCTTGGCACCCCATCAGACTTGACCAAAAAATACTCCTAAAGGCCAACAAACAGTCCTTGAACTAACTGCAAGCTCTTCTTTTTTGTTGTTGTGATATGTTTTTGGTTTGTTTGGGGTTTTTTAGCCATTGTCTTTTTGTTGTTGTTGTTTTCTTTTGTTGCTTGGTTTTGCTCTGTCTTGTTTTTGTACATGTTATTATCACCACAGCTTTGTCTAAATAAGATAGGCTGGATGAACAATCTGGAGGAGAAAACAACAGGACCAATAATTCCAGGGGAACATGGGAGAGGTGGAGGTGCGGGGAAAGGAAGTGATGCTAACAAACACAGGGACAAGGGAACAAGTGACTCAGATTGGTGGTGAGGAGGGTGTAGGAGGCCTGGTAGGGCTTGATCAAGGGTAATGTAACCAAGAGGAATTAACTGAAACACAAATGAAGGCTGAGCATGATAGTGGGACAAGAGGAAAGTCAAAGGAAATAGAGGAAAGAGTTAAGAGGCAAAGGGCATTTATAGAGGTCTAAATAAAGGCATGTACATATGTAAATATATTTATATATGAGGATGGGGAAATATATCCATGCACATATATTTATAGGTCTAGTATTAAAGTAGCAGATGGACATTGGGCCTCCACTCAAGTACTCCCTCAATGCAAGAATACTTTGTTCTATTAAACTGGCATTCCATGATGCTCACATTCCCGACAAAATCACTGAAGACAAAGCAGGTGCATAAGCAAATGTGGTGAAGAAAGCTGATGGTGCCCGGCTATCAAAAGATACAGCGTCTGGGGTCTTAAAGGCTTGAAGGTAAACAAGTGGCCATCTAGCTGAGAAGCAACAAGGGATTCCACAAGGAAGAAGCACACCAGTCTGTGTGATCACGAGGTGTTGAAGGGATGAGTATCAGGCATCAAAGAACAAAATATCATATCATTGTGAATGAGGGGGAGTATGGTATGGGGACCCCAAAGCCCATCTGTAAGCAACTGGACATCCACTTATGGAAGGGTTGTGGGGAAGAGACAAACCAGTCAGGGTGCAGTGTAGTAACGATGAAACATACAACTTTCCTCTAGTTCTTAAATGCTTCCTCCCCGCCACCCCACTATCATGATCCCAATTCTACCTTTCAAATCTGGCTAGACCAGAGGATGTACACTGGTACAGATAGGAACTGGAAACACAGGGAATCCTGGACAGATGATCCTTTCAGGACCAGTGGTGAGAGTGGTGATACCAGGAGGGTGGGGTAGAAAGGGTAAACCGATTACAGGTATTTACATATAACCTCCTCCCTGAAGGACAGACAATAGAAAAGTGGGTGAAGGGAGACGTCAGACAGTGTAAAATATGACAAAATAATAATTTATAAATTATCGATGGTTCATGGGGTGGGGAGAGCAGGGAGAGAGGTGGAAAAAATGAGCTGATGCCAGAGGCTTAAGCGGAGAGCAAATGTTTGGAGAATGATAAGGGTAATGAATGTACAAATGTGCTTTACACAATTAATGTATGCATGGATTGTGATAAGAGTTGTATGGGCCCCCAATAAAATGCTTTAAAAAAAACAACAAAGTAGCACTAATTATGCATATATTGCTAATATTTTAGTAGTTTTTATCTTAAACAGACTGTGTCTTTTTACCTACTATGTCACGTCTAAAAATAATCTATCTGTTCTCTGTCCCTGCACAGATTACTTTGAATTTATCAAAAGCCCGATGTCTACCTGTGTTATTGCATTTAGTAGACAGATTATCATGAATCTGCACAAAAATGTTCTATTGGTCTATTCTAGTCACTTTGCAGGGATTTTTTTCTTGGCTATCAATTCTTTTGGGTTTAGCACATATCCTACACCCAAAGCAGCACACGAAAACTCACTTTTCATTTGTGTTCCTTTCCCCTGCGTAGTTGCCATAAAAAAAAAAAAGCCCCACTCCTACTGAGTCTGTCCCCCTCAGAGGCACCTATTGAGGGTCTCTGAGCCTGTCGGTCTTTACAGAGGCAGATAGCCTGCTCTTTCTCCCCAAAATCGACTGGTGGGTTTGAACCACCGAACTTGAACATAGCAGTCAGACAGTGCCGGGGTAGTAGAGAACTCTCACAATTATAGAAATACTCGTACATTGTTGCTAGGTGTTAGGGATCACTCAAATTAGAATGTTACTGAAATTAAATGCAACTTCTCTATAACGATGTTTCCTTCAAGTATAATTAGTTAAAAGGGTCGGAAAGAAATGGTCAAGGAAATTTCTATTCATGCTTGTTTGAATGGTCCTTTGATAACAGGTCTGAATTCATCATGTCTTTGTGTTTCCTTAATTACTATAGGGGCCTGAAAGAATTCTTGAGGGATTATGCAGCCCACCCTTTAGTTTTTGGCAAGGTAGCAGCTAAGCCAGCTAAGATAGATGGTTGTTTGGTCTTCAGTGCACTCAAAGGAGGAGAGAGATTCCAAAAACTTCCACATTTCAGCATTTGACAATTCTTATAACCAGGAAATTATCATTTTACTCTTTTTAAAATTTCAGTTGATTTTATATTTTTATGTCATTTTAGAAATATGCTCAACTGACTGCTGTTTTAGCTTATTTTTTATTGATCCATTTATTTCACGTGGTCTCATTCTGCAGAAAATTAACAGAAACCCTGGAAAACTGGAAAGAACACTAAATGATGAGTCCAAAGACTCCAAGCCTTGCTAGCATATCATGAACAAGCCATTATTTCTCATAATTCTATGTTTCAAACACTGTGTGATAGACCTAGATAATTTGGATAATTTATTACCTTTTTCAGTTGTTGGGATTTCCCCTCACTCTGCTGTTACGAATTTGCTTTCTTCTGCAAAAAACAATCCCCAGAAACTACACAAATGCATGTGAAGTATATTTGCAAAATATTTCACAAGAAATTTGCTTTGAAAACCTTAAAAGGCAACATCTACTTGTAGAAGTTTTTTTAAATACGTACTTGGGAAGAACTTCAAGTACTACATATTTTCTATGAGAAACGTTTTAAGAATGATTTCTGTTCAACGGAAATATATTAATCTCTTAATAATACTTCATCCTGAACCATATGCTACAAAGAGAGTATGTTAGAATAATTCTAATTTTTCATCTCAAAATAACCAATAAGGTCATTCAGAATGTGCTGTGTTGTCCAATTAAGATAAAAAGTCTGCTGCCCTGTTTTATCTTGATGGAGAACCTATTTTTCATTTAGTTCCACCAAACATTATGGGAGAAGAACAGAACATTTCTGTCCTCATTGGTCAAGGTGTGGAGCTGCTATGCCAGAGTGATGCTATTCCTCCACCTACTCTGACTTGGTTCAAAGATGTCCGACCCTTGCTGAAGAAACCAGGCCTCAGTATCTCTAAAAATGGAAGTGTCTTAAAGGTAAAGTTATTAATTCATTTATTTCTCCTTCCGTTATTTTAAAACATATGGCTAGGTATTAACCAAAACTAATCTACTGCCATCAAATCTATTCTGACTTTGAGCAACCATGTATGGAGTTTCCAAGGCTGTAAATCTTTACAGGAGCAGAGAGCTTGAACTTGCTCCTGAGGAGTTGCTGTGCGTTTAAAGCACTGGCCTTGCTGTTAGCAGTGGGTGGAGAACCAACTGTGCCCCCAGGGCTCCTTGGTTTCCGCCCCAGCCCCTTTTAAAATGGTCTACCTTTTTTCATGTTTTCCAAGCAACCATTTGCTTACTGAGGATAATAATATTTTCCACTTGGATGTTTAAGCTATTTATATATTTAATTTTCTACTAACATTTTTAGCTAAAAGGCATCCCAAAAAGTGAACACAGGAAGGTATTCTGAAATACTTTAAAGTATACCTCTTAGTCATTCAAGCAAATACCCATTCTAGGTACTCTGATGGCTAGACAAAAAATTGTAAGATATATTTACTGCCCTTGAGTATCTTTCAGTTGCCCATATAAATTTAATTTTATATGAAAAATTAAATGATTGTCCAGTTTAAAATGCAATAAGTTTAGGGATATTCAGTTTATTGCCAAGTGGATGATACACACAGTATATGTCAGAGCAGGGGAGTGGACAGGTGATGCTGTGGTTGATTGGCTAAGTCTTGGAAGACTATTTGCCTCTTTAAGGATCTAAAACCCACTTCCATCAAGTCTGTTTCAACGCATCTTGACCCTCTACAGGAGTCCTAGGCTTTTTGTAAACCTTTAAGCCAGGAGACAGCATCATCGTTCTCTTGGGTGTCAGCTGCTGACTCTGCACTTCCAATGTTTGCCCAGTAACACCACGAGAGTTCCTTTCTTTAAAGACAAAATGCCGATTAAACAAAGAGAATAAGCTACTTTGACTGAAACAGAATTTAGCAAAGTACATATATTTTGTAATAATGCTGACGTCTATTTAAGTGAAAGAAGAATTGACAGAAAAAGGCAGTGTGAGGAATTAGAACTGAGGATATCAGTGGACCATTGGAATGTTTGCATGCCCCGCCTAATGAGCCCATAGAAAAATTGAACAAATGGTTAATTAATCTTCACACAGCTACAAAGTCAACAAAATAGAATACAGTGTCCATGCTATTAAACAGATCACCACAAAGTTTCTTGGTAAAGGAAAGTTAACCAGCAAATCAAATTAATTCTTGAGGAAAAAAATGAGGAGAAGCCCTGGTTACATATTGGGCTGCTAACTACAAGGTCAGCAGTTCGAAACCACCAGACACACCCTGGAGAAAAACAAGTCTCAGAACGAGAAAAAAAAGAAAAGTTACCGTCTCAGAACCCACAAGGGCAGTTCCACCCTGTCCCGTAGCGTCCCGGTAAGTTGGAATCCAGCCCTTGGCAGTGAGTGAGAATTAGTGCTTAGGGAAGGCAATAGAACTGAACCCTTGTGCAGGGAACATGCAAGTACAGGGGAGAGGCAAAACCCCAAAGACCTTCTGCGTGAAGATCCTGTGATTATGGAGCGGGGTGAGGAGAGAATGATCGGAATTGCCGGTAGAGCGGAAAAGGAGTAAGTCAATCACTGACGCTGTGACTGCAAAAGCCTGTGTTGCCCCAGAACCCGAGCTCACATTGACTGAAAGGGGAACCTAATTGTATGAACACAAGTCCTGGCTCTGCTAGGAGAGAGTTCTGTGTGGTTAGGGCCATCTTAGTAAAGTTCCATTAGAATAGCATTCCTTTACCTTCAGAACACAGATCCTCATGGAGCTGGGAAAGCAGGAGATACGTGATGATGAAGAAATCCAGAGATTGAATTTCCACATTGGAAATAAGCGAGAGTTCAGCATGCAGGCTCCATAGCCTATCCTCAAAAAAACGCAATGCCATTAGGTCAGTGTTGTCTCATATCAACCTGATAGCCCAGAGGTTCTCAACCTGTGGATCGCGACCCCATTGAGCAACCCTTTCACAGGAGTGGCCCGATTCATGACAGTAACAAAATTACAGTTATGAAGTAGCAGCAAAAATAATGTTATGGTTGGGGGTCACCACAACACGAGGAACTGCATTAAAGGGTTGCAGCATTAGGAAGGTTTAGAACCACTGCTGTAGTCTGTCATATAACCAGCTTTTGCCAAGGTTAATTTAAATCAGCCTAGTTTTTATGAGGTTATATACTATGGTTACTCAAACAATTCACACATATATTTAACTGATTAAGTAACAGAATCTTAGTGCTTTCTTTGCCTGTGTACAGTAGACACTCAATAAATATTAATCCCTCTTGCTAATTCTATATGTGGAGGCTTGTGATTACTAACTTTTATGATCCAAAGCCTGGATGTGAGTGGTTATGACACTAATTATGAGATTTTACCTCATTAAAGTATTTTTATTGATTTTGAAAGTCCTTTTCTGTAAAATGAGGAGGTTGGATTTTAAGTACTTCTTCAGGTCTGATATACATTAATTATCTATATATGCTCTGATTATAATCCAGTCCTATTTGTTCACATCAATCAACTAACAAGTATTTACTGAGTGGCTACTCTGCACTCCTATGCTGACTATTTCCAGTGACCACTCCGATCCAGGTGATCCTCCTTTTTTGGATGTTCATCAATTATTCATTGAAAACTTATTTTAAAATCACATGCTAATTTCCATACATATTTTATTTGTGCATATATTGTTTTAGCCATTTATTTTATTTTTCTTTCTCTACTTGTATATGTTTAATATTCTTAAAAATAAAAATAAGAAGACACAGATACATGGATAGAAAATCCCCAATTATTTGTGAAATAGAAGCTGGTTTCAGAGCACGATTCTGTTTTCAGATTGAAGATGCACAGGCACAAGACAGTGGTCGTTACACATGTGAAGCAACAAATGTTGCTGGAAAAAATGAGAAAAACTATAATGTCAACATCTGGGGTAAGTGTGAACAAACCACTATGAAGTGAAAGGTTGTAGCTTTTATTCTTTGTGACCATTCTTAAAGTTACAATTATAGAAGTATAATCAGTTGTAACACCTAGGTGGACACCACATAAGTGCTTTTAGAATCTTTTGTGCCATGGTGAGTGCCATATAATTAATTGAAGAGCAATTGTCATTAGACTTCCTCAGCCTCAATATGTTGCACGTCATAACTTCATATAGTATGACTGTTCTCTGTATCTGAGTAATATACCCTTCAACATCTACAATGAAATTCTTACAGTTATTGAACTTTCTCTCAGAATTAGTAGTGAATTGGTCAATTGAAATTACATGAGTATACCAAATTATAGATGGCATAATGTACACATGAATGAGTGCATGCGTGTATGTGTTTATGTGAACATGAATGCTTGCATGATAGAAGCCGAGCTGACCAGAGAGGAAATCTATTGTCCTACTTGGCATTTTACCATTTATGACTAATTAAGGTAATCTTTATAAATAATCACTACCATTACCTCAATATGGCTAGCTGCTAATTGTAAAGAAGTGATTCCATTTCCAGCACAATGATTTTTATATTAAACACTATTTTTCAGTTCATTTAGGACATGTTAAGTCCTTCGTAATTTTATTTTATTTATTTAAATTTTAGTTAATTGTGGTCATGCACCAAATTTTACTATTATGTGTAAGATTGTATTCAAAACATTTTTTTACAAATAGAACAGTGATGTGGTTACATAATATGGTGTCAATTTGGGACTGGAGAGGATTAAGAGTGAAGGGGTGGAGTCTGCTCTGTCAATCGGATCATAGTCAATGAGGCCTCTGTGTGAGCATGGCCTTCTCCTGAGAATTCTGGGAATTCCTGGATTTCCTCCCTGGAGCAGGAGACAGACTCTCTCTCTCTTTCTCTTGGCTCATACCCTTGGAGACTCTCTACTGATAATATTCACCCCCTGAGAGCCGCCTTACTGACTAGACACACGGCACTACTCTTTGGAAGCTGGAGAAGTCACATGGTCCTATCATGATGCAACCAGACCTCTGGAGCCAGAGAAGCCACGTGGAGACCCTTGCCAGCACTGAGATGCCTACAATGCAAATGGATCCACAAGACTTCCAACCCACAGGCCTGTGATCCTCTTGTATTTGGCATCATTGCATGTACTTTGTGAGTCTGAATGAGGACTTTATGTATAGATATTGGACATATGGACTAATATTTGGACTTATGGACTTGTTCTGAACTGGGCTGAGATGTTTTCTCAATATTCAATTGATCTTGTGTATAAACCTCTTTCTTATTTGCATACGCGTCTCCATGAATTTGTTTCTCTAGTCTACCCGGACTAACACATTATGGTACCCTAGAAGTGGGGTACTAGAAAAACAAATCATGAAGCTAGAGAGTGGATGTTTCTTTGACCTCCACCTCATGGTAGTGTTTCTTCTTTGACTAGCCAGAAGTCAGATATGTCCATGCAGTTTATTGGGTTGTTTTCTGGAAAGAATATGGGAAGTTTAAGTTTTGATTATTTTGCTTGGTTGTAGTCTTTGGTAATTCCTTTATGAAATAGCAAAAATGAATGTGATTAATGTATATTTTGAGCTCAGAGGTAGAAGTAGCCATTTGAATTTCTCAGAAACCATGCTGCTTAAGGAAAATGATTGGCAAAAGGTCAAAATGGCTGACAGAAAGCCTGGCTCTGGTTTAATGCTCTCAGAGACCTACCTCCATATTTTTGTATAATGGAATAGTTTAGATAGGGATTAGGGTGGGTTAAATAGGAATTGAACTTGACTGCTTCTAAAATTGAGTTTAGTGTCAGGTTCTACTTTGTTTATACTGATTTTTCTGCTTATTATTGTTGATATAAGGATTTATAGAGACGATATGGGGAGGTATAAAAGTGGAGAGCTTGTAAATCCACTTGCCTCGAACCATTACTTTGATCTTTAGATGGGTTTAGGACATGCCTGCAAGAAAGATTCTGAAAGGATATGCCCCACACAGTGCTTTGGAGTACTCAGGATATTTTCATTCCAAGAGATCTTCCTAACAGCTGTTGACAGATTGGAGGGGAAAAAATGGAACTCCTTGGATATTTGAACTTTGAACTGGTAATTTTTATCAGAGGCTGGAAAAAATCTGGATCCCTGAAGGAACTCTGCGCTGAGACTGAACATTGAAGGAAGCCTGTGGTTGGGCTGAGGTGCTTGCTGGGTGACCACCTGAATCCACTTGTTGTGTGGAAGTGGGAGAAATGCAGCAATTAGGAGACAGATTGAGTCTGGCCACTGACACCCGTGGACCTGGCTTACAGGAACTAGAGAAGAAGACAGGAGCGGGTTGATTGGTCTGCAGTTGATGAGCTAGCACAAGGGGGATAGGGTTGTTGAGAATTTGTGATGGGGCCTTGGTCTAAGGGAAGGCAACCAATGGACACCCTGGTGAGGCTAAGACAGGCAGCCTACATTGAGTTGACCATAGATAGGGGAGTTTCAGAGAATGGCCAGATTTATAAATAAATATGAAGGATGCTGTTGTTGATGACAAGGATTATTGATGTGACTTTTGCTAGGGAAATGAAAAGGATGAGCAGAAAAATGTTGTGATACTGATTCTTTCCCGGCTATACTGATAGCAAATTCACATACAGGATGAGGTATGATGAGACATGACGAGGCAGTATAAAATAGGCACCATCGGCTATCAAAAAGTATAGCATCTGGGGTCTTAAAGGCTTGAAGGTAATCAAGCGGCCATCAAGCTCAGAAGCAACAAAGCCCACATGGAAGAAGCACACCAGCCTATGCATCCATGAGGTGTCGAAGGGATCAGGTGTAAGGCATCATCAGAACAAAAAATCTTACCATAGTGAATGATGGGGGGAGTGCGGAGTGGAGATCCAAAGCCCATTAGTAGGCCACTGGAGATCCCCTTGCAGAGGGGTCTCAGGGAGGAGATGAGCCAGTCAGGGTGCGATTTAACAAAGATGAGAAATACAACTTTCCTCTAGTTCCTAAATGTTTCCTCCCCGCTCCCACTACCTTGACTCGAATTTGATCTTGCAAGTCTGGCTAGACCAGAGGAGGTACACTGGTACAGATAGGAACTGAAAATGCAGGGAATCCAGGACGGATGAGCCCTATAGGACCAGTGGTGTGAGTGGCAAAACAGGGAGGGTAAAGGGAGAATGGGTAGGAAAGAGGGAACCGATTACATGGAGCTGTGTGTGACCTCCTCCCTGGGGGAGAGACAACCGAAAAGTGGGTGAAGGGAGACGTCAGACAGGACGAGATATGACAAAATTCCCATTTATAAACTCTCAAGGGCTCATGAGGGAGAGGGGAGCGGGGAGGGAGGGGAAAAATGAGGACCTAATGTCGGGTGTTAAATGGAGAGAAAATGTTTTGAGAAACGATGTACAAATGCACTTTACACAATTGATGTGTGTATGGATTGGGATAACAGTTGTATGAGCCCCTATTAAAATGTTAAAGAGAAAAAAAAAAACAAAATGAGAAAAAAACAAGAGCTGTATGAGCCCCCAATAAAATGATTTTTTAAACAAAAAATAAAAAATAAAATAGGCACCACATTGTTCAGTGAGCAGAGGAAGAATTACAGAGTTCCTCAAGATGGTTAAAAAGAGTGAGAGAATTAAACCGGTAGCATGAACCTTGAAGGAATCGAAACCTTTACATGGTAATATCTGAGCAATTACTGGCAACTTCACTGGAGAGCAAGGAGCTGTCTCCTATCCTTCATCTCTCAGAAGCACCTACTACCTGATAAAACTACCAACAAGGAAGTGACCTCAGAAGAGTGTTTTCTCAGCTCTGTGCACTTGGGCTTCTTAGAAGACTGATTAATCAGGATTCACTATGAAGGTCTCAAGGAAAAGCTAGACAAGTGGGAAGAAAGACTATGAAATCCAGAGGATGCCTGTTTCACAGAGTAAATCTCTTGCTCTTCAGTATATACTATTTTCTGATGTTTCCCAATCCTTTTCAGCAGCTGAGAGCTCACGCTTGGCCTGGCAGTAATGGTAAAGTTAAATTTAAACACTTAAGTGCCATACACATTCAATGCAAAGTTTTGAAATACCCATTTCAGCTTCTTTTCTCTTACTTTACTACTATGGATATTTTGATTATTTAAATTTTGTGTATTAAAAGGATGTTTGTCATATATTTGTTTTACATCTTAAAGGTGATTCTTAATGTTGGTGCTGATTAACATGTATATGTTTGGAAAAGTGTATAAGGAATAAAGGTAAAACTAGTTTTTATTTTTTTCAGTACCACCAAACATTTATGGTTCTGATGAACTTGCTCAACTTACAGTTATTGAAGGAAACATTGTTACTCTCTTGTGTGAATCTAGTGGTATTCCACCCCCAAATCTCATTTGGAAGAAGAAAGGTCAGTTTCTATCATTTGACATTATTTTTTTTTTAATTTACAAATATTTCACTATATTAAGAAACTTTCCTGCAATTTACATACCAAACTATATAGTATAAAGTATGCTATATAAATGGTATAGTATATTTATAATTATATTAAATGTGCAATGAGCATTACTTGCATAAAATTGTCCTCTTTCAAAATTTTAACTGCTCCCCAGGGGACATTAATTTTCTACATTAATTGATGTGTTTTATAATGAAATGCCTAATTCGACAGCTATACAAAATTTAAGGAAACAATTGTACTTCTTTAAATAGATTTAAAATAATCATATTCCACAGCAACATTTTTCTCTATGCATAACAACTTTGAGATGCATTGTAAGACTGGATTCTTCCGTTGAACAGATTTTAAATTTATGTATCAAAAATATTCATTTGTGCCTTGTGTCAGACCAACCTAAAAATAAAGCAAACCCGTTGCCGAAGTCAATTCCCACTCATAGCAACCCTTCACAACGAAATAGAACTGCTTCGTAAGAGTTCAGCGTCGGTAGGACGTTACGGGAAGGGACAACGTCCCCTTTCTCCCGTGGAGTGTGTGATGCGTTTGAACGGCCAGCCGTGGAATCCTGTGCTTTACCCCGAGCGCCCACAGGAATCCCTCAGTGTCAGAAAGATTATAGAAATCCATAGCTGACTCTAAAAGTCATTTTGGTTTGCTACTTTTAAATTTCATATTTGAAGTGTTTTCTTCCAAATATGAAAGATCAAAAGAAAAAAATTTCAGAACTAAATGTTGGTAAGCATTTCTCTTTCTCCTCCCTTGCCCAACCCCTTTTTCACACACGCCCCACCTTTTTTCGGGGCGGCATGTCTGGGTAAAACTACATAATCTTCCATTTGTGTACTTGAAATAGAAAAATAAATAAATATAGAGAATATGCATACAGCATGTTTTATATGCCAGACTCAAATACTTTCTGCCATTTGATTTTTCTTTGCAGGCTCCCCAGTCTTGGCTGATTTTGCAGGGCGAGTCAGAATTTTATCTGGAGGCAGGCAGTTACAGATTTCAATTGCTGAAAAATCCGATGCAGGACTCTATACATGTGTAGCTTCAAATATTGCTGGAACCACAAAAAAAGACTACAACTTGCAGGTTTACAGTAAGTTATGATTAGTCAGACTTTGGTATCATTTACTTATAAGAAGTACAACCCTTCCTATTTTCTTTTCCCCCCTTATCTTTATGGTCTTTCAAAATAGTATGGTTATATGATAACAATACTTTAAATTGAGTTGGAATACTAGTAAGCAATTATTTTTTATGACTTATTTATTCAGCAATCTAACTGCCCCCGCATATCAACCTGGCAATGGCAAACTAACTAATTTGGTAGGAGCTGGATAGTGTGCGTGTCCGCTGTGGAGAGGGAGGAAAGGGAGGATGCTAGCATATGTATATTTAGAGCATTTAAAACTATCTAAACGTAAAGAATCTTAAATGTGAGCTATTTCATAATATTTGCAGTATTTTAATTATTTCGTGTAATCTTTGCATCAGACAGAAACTATTGCATCCATTTTGCAGATGAGGAAACGTAAGCCCAGGGAGATTTCTGTGGCTGACCAATGTCGTATGCTTTGTAGGTAGTAGAACTGTCACTAGGGTACAGGAACACCGGCACGAGCTTATTTTTTCTCACACTGTAATACATCTCTATTAGAGTTGGTTTCATTTTTGTTTTGTCTTGTTTACAGTCTGTATCAGGTGAATTCAGCTTCAGGATAACTTAATAATTGATCATTGGTGGCAAAGAAGTAGATGTTTAGTCTCTCATTTCTGAGACTTGCCAGATTGGCAGTCACAGGAGTCGCTTGGCCCTTCGTCTATGGCCTCAAGATGGTTGCTGTAGCTTTGGGGTAGAGTCCACGCTGAAGGCCACAAGAAGAATAGTATCTTTGTCTTTCACCAGAAAAGCAGGCCTTTTCCAAAATTTTCGTAGCAGATTTATGTTTAGATTTTATTGGCCTGAATTGATTCTCATGGCCATCACGATTTTCAAAGAAGCTGTTTCAAGCAACAGTAACCCTTTCAAACTCTCTCCTGAATGCTGGAAGGAAGAAGAGAGTTGGATTTGACTGTGCATCAGCCAATAGCAAGGTTTGCCACGGTATCCTACTACAATTTCCTTCAGTCGAAAGAAGAGCAAAAGCGGTGGGAAGGGGGTTATGTATGTTTGCTAGAACATATAATAGCATTATTTTAAATGGGTTTTAGTTAGGTTTGGTCCAGTTAGTTCAGACTCATGCACAAATGGGACTGGAGTACAACAGAGGAAATACTGCCCAACCCCGCGGCAGCCTCCCAACTGTCGTCGCGTTTGAGCCCATTGTTGCAGCCTCTGTGCACGCTCCTCCTGTTGAGGGTCTCCCGCGTTCCCCTGACTCTCTGTTTTGTCTGTCTGCTCTCTTTTACAGCAACATGGTAAAATAACCTTCCACTAATACATTTTTTCCTATTTTAAAATTGAAAAAATTACTTTTCCGTATTGCAGAAGTATTGCTTCTAGAACTCCAGTTTATACACACACACATGGATTACAAACAAAATGTGGCTCTGTGGTCAGTGGAGGCTGCAGACACTCAGGAATACACTTGACTTCGTCCGGTTAGAGTGCCTTCAAAAAACCGTTCAATCTAAACACTGGCTTCACGGGGCATTTCCTCTGCCAGTGAAATTCAAGGCAGGAGGCAAACTCGCATTCTTGAGATGTTTTCTCAGAGGACACAGGATCTCCACAGGGGCTTATTAGAAAGACATTTTAAGAAAATGCATTGGTAAGGTAAAGGCTAGGAAAGCTGCGAAGTGAAAATTTCCTCATTGCAACCATACACCAGCTCATTCTTCCAGGGTGGTAAGAAGTTCCTGGGGAAACCTTATCTCATTTACCTTACAGCCCTGACCTTGCCCTTTCTGACTTCTTTTGAGATCCAAAATTTAAGAACAGTGAAAAGGTGTGCAAGTTGAATTTCTGTAGGATGCACACACTGCTGGTCTAATGTGGTGTACATTGGCTATTCCAAGACTATTTTGGAGGAGGCTTTAGAGAGATTGAAAACAGCTTTCAGAAGACCTACGTGGAGGATATGTTGAGAAACAATAGCTTCACATTTTGATACTTATGTTTAGCAAAATTTCCTGTAATTTTGCAGCATTATGTTTTGGTTCATCCTTGTCTGTTTATTGCAGGAAAATTAGAACAATCAAATAAACACACACACACACATGCACACACTAAACCAACCCACAGCCTCATTTTTATTTTCCTGCTGTGTGCAAAACATTTACTGAGTGCCCGCTATGTGCCAATGAACAGACACAAACATAGTCCTAGAGTTCATCATTAATATGCTTTAGAGCAGCCTTAGCCAGTACAGTGCTGCTAGCTACATGTGGTTATTGAACACCTGCAATGTGGCCACTTCAAATTAAGATGTGCTGTCAGGGTAAAACACATACTAATTTCAGTGACTTTTCCCCCAAAATTTAAATATTCTATTAATACATTTAACCTGAGTACTTGTTGAAATGGTAACCTTTTGGGTATGTTGGGTTAGATATTACTAAATTAATTTCATCTGTTTCCATTACTTTTTAAATATGCATTTAAAATTGACGTTTAAAGTTACATATGTGAGTTACATTACATTTCTATTGAACAGGGCAGGCCTGGAAGAGGAGAGAGAGATCAAACAGCTAACCATAAAGCAAAGTGTCATTACAAACCAATTAACTTAAATGAAAATAATGCAGTGCGATGAAAGTCAGAACCAAAGCATGTGGCCAGTTTGCTGATTTCAGGGAAAGCTTCTCCAGCCTCAGATTTGAAGGATATGGTAGAGTAGACAAGGATTTTTTTTGTTGGTGGAGAAAGCATTTCACACAGCTTTGTGGCAAGACTGGGCAATACACTGTCAAGAGCAGGACTCGGCGGTATCCAAGAAGTAGGCGGGGCCAAGTCATTCAAAGACTTGGTCTTTTACTAAGAGCAGTGGGCGCCACTGAAGGGAAGCAGCACGAAAAGGTCAAGTAATACGGTGCATGGTAGATACGCAATCATGACGAATATTCTCTCCTTTTTTATGATAAGGAGAAAAGAGTATATTTGGTCAAATGTAAATTATGGCACGGACGTATGTATCCATGTCTTTCTAAATGTTGGAGTCATTCCTTAGTGATCTACTCCCATCTAGACTTTCCTGTCTATTTTAAATTACTTCTGCTAACAAAATCAAATATGCAAATGATAAGTGGGAATACTTATATATAACTTCCCAAAATAAAACCAGGTGGAAAGTATAGCATTCTGCCATTACTATGTGGATAGCTGTATTTTCGGTATGACCTTACAGAGACATATTGAAACAAAGAATTCCACTTGTCAATATAGTAATGCTATGTCTGTACACCTGGGTCTCTTTTGTAGTAGATCATATCTCAACCTCACAATTTATTCCATGTTGACTGGGGATAATTCCTACATTAGATTTAAAGCACACATTTCCAATCATGTCCTCTTTCTGTCCCCCCATTGCAGTCCGTCCGTCCATATCCAGCAGTGGCAGCCAGCCCACTGAGGTGGCTGTGGCTCGAGGGAGGAGTGTTTCCTTGGAGTGTGAGGTGCAAGGTGTCCCTCCACCAGCCGTGACCTGGGTGAAAGATGGTCGCCCCGTGGCCAAAGGGAAAGGAGTGGAAATACTAAACGAAGGCCGTGTCCTTAAGCTGAAGAACATTCATGTATCTGATACAGGCCGCTATGTGTGTGTGGCTGTGAATGTCGCAGGAATGGCTGACAGAAAATATGACTTAAGTGTCCATGGTAAGTATAAAGAAGCTCTGTGGGTCGAATCACTGGCTGATGAAATCGATAGCAGTCTGGATTGGAGATGTAAGGCTACCGTGTTCAAAGTCTTTTGGATTCAGTCTATCCTTTTCCATATATGCATCAATCCTCCATATCTGCTGCATCATTTCTCTCCCTATGCCCTACTTCTGATTCCTGTAGGTAGGGAAATAGTAACATCTGTCATGGTTTTCATCAAATGTTTTTGATTCAATGCTGTCCAATGTTAAATTCCTCAATTTTATATTTTTCAACTTATATAGCTTAACTCTCAAAAATAAAATTTACTGCCATAAATATGATTCCAACTCATAACAGCCCTATCGGACACAGTAGAACTGCCTGGTTGGTTTCTGAGACTGTAAAACTATATAGGAATAGAAAGCCTCATCTTTCTCCCACAGGACAGTTGGTGGTTTTGAACTGCTGAACTTGTGGGTAGCAGCCCAACACAGCTGGGCTTGCAGTTAGCAGAGCAGCGTTCTGATTCTGCATTAATTGGACATGGAGTTAGTTTTATTTTAATATTTCAATTACTGAGTGATTAATGTCAAAACGAATACAGCACAAATAGACAAGCTCAGGGACAACTGCGCGAATGTATCCAAATTGAACTGAAATACTTAAATCTATAGAAACACTGGTAAATTTAGTAGACACAAATCTATGATTCCAATTAAGATAAATACAAGGCCAATTATTAATATTCTGTAGCTTGCAACCAATGTGTGGGTTAAAATTAAAAGGACTCCAGATATGAAAGGAGAAAATGAATTAAAAGTGTCTTTTGTTAGTTTAATTTATTTAGATTAGAATTGTTTGCTAGAAAATCCTGCCTAAAATATGAACGTCACTCATTCATATTAGAAATTTACTAGAAAAGATGTGACCCATGGAAACATTTACACTATTAAGATAACAATGTGAATGTCATTTAGTGCTAATTGTTGGGGGAAAGTGCCTTTTTTCCTTTCAGGGATGTCACACACAAATAGTAAGAAAAAAATTATTGGGGGTGCTTCGTGTGCTTATATACTAACCCACTGACATCAAGCTGTTTCTGACTCAAGACAAGCTGAACAGCGTTTCCCAGACTGTAGATTCTGATGGGAGCAGACAGCCTCATCTTCCCTCAGGGAGGGAGTGGCTAATCACAGTTAGCCCGATATTTCACTGACTGGACCACCAGGGCTCCTTTGCTAACATGCTATGGATCTGAAAGTGGAAGTCTCATTATGAACAATAAGCTGTCATGCATTTGATTTTTAACATGTATTGGCTACTTGTCTTTGCATTTATTTTTTGTTTTATTTTGCCTTACAGTCCCTCCAAGCATCATTGGGAACCACGGGACACCTGAAAATATCAGTGTGGTAGAAAAGAACTCCATTTCCCTAACGTGTGAAGCTTCAGGAATTCCCCTGCCTTCAATTACCTGGCTTAAAGATGGGTGGCCTGTCAACCTAAGTACATCTATGAGAATTCTCTCAGGTATTAGAATTTCTAGCAGCCTGGTAATCTGATTAGCTTCCTATGGCATTCTACTTAATTTCTCCTTTCTTTATATATTTTTTTCTCTTTATGTTTTTAATTACCTTACATTTCTTTTTTATATAGTTGCTTACTCTGATAATTACATTCACACATATTTATATGGACTTGAAAAACCAGATGAAAATGCATAAAAAACCTAAAAATTTCTAGAATCTTGTAAAAAGGAAACTTTGGCACTGCCTATTGCTTAGACCATGGTACTATTCGAACATTCATGTTACAACGAGTACCAAGCCATTTGAAAAGGGATGAACAAAACGATGTGTTGAAATTGAATCCTGAGTGCAGAGTGAATCATACTTGTAATATGTGTCTGTAACCAAGTATTCTAATTTATGCATGACTCTAATCTGAGTGATCTTTATATTCTAGGACGTGGTAGTTTCTTGTGAACTAAGACTTCTACAATTACTGTAGGAAGGACATGCAGCTTATTCCCTATCTCATTATGTAGGAAACATGAATATGTTTCATGTCTTTGATGGATCAGTATAAGCCTGGAGAATGTTTCCTTGTGGCATGCCACACAAAACAGCAGTTGGCTTCTTTTACCAATAAGACAAAGGAGATGAGTGTGCCAAGCTGGTGGTTAGAAAACAACAGCTTAGATATTTAGAAGAACACCTAAAATGTTGAATTCGAATTCAGACCCCCCTTCCTGTTGTAACTTTTCAATTAAATCTAACAAGGTGAAGACAAATAAATGTCTTCATGGAGGTTCACAAACAAATGGTGTAATGAATGGTGAGACAATTGAAACATGGAGGTATGAGTCAAGACAAATTGGATGGTGTCAGAAAGGAAATGGAACACATAAAGATCTGTACCCTAGGCATTGGCGAGTTGAACTGAACTGGCATTGGCCTATTTTAATTGGACAATTGTATAGTTTACGATGCCAGGAATGACAAATTAAAAACAAAGAACCAAAAAATGGTATCACATTACAATTTAAAGAACATTTCAAAATCTCTCTTTAAGTACAATGCTGTCAGCATAGGAAAATGTCCATATACATGAAGGGAATACCAGTTAATATAACTTTTATGCAAATTTATACAGCAACCATTAATACCAAAAATAAAGGAATTTAAGATTTTTATCAACTTCTGTTGTCTGAAATTGAATAAATGTGTGATCAAGATACATTGATAATTACTGGTGGTGCAATGCAAAAGTTGAGGGAAAAAATTATCAGCACTTATTCCCCTTGGGGATAGAAACTATTTTAGAGGTCATATGAACAAATTTTTGCAAGACCGATACCTTATTCATCGAAAATACCATTCTCAGCAACATAATTCATTAGTTATAATCACCTCAGGCCAGTTACTTAACTCAATTTCAGTATCTAAATCTGTAACACGGAAATGTTAGTAGTGTTTGCTTCTTAGAGTTGGGATAACGGCAAAATGAAGCAATGCAGTAAACAGTGCCTGTGCATAGGTGAGCACAAATCTGACCCACATTTGGTGTTGTTATTGATGTAGACAATCTGGGAAACCTCACTGTCCTTTCTGTGATGTTTTCCCGCCCTAAGACTTCCAGTCTCTGCTTACATAAGAAATATATAGGAGCGCCAAAGACTAAAATGTGGGTCCCCAAACTGGAGCCGTTTCGTCTTGCCTTGAATTCACCCTCGTACACATCTGCCTTGCTATTTGAAATGCTTACTATTGAAAAATAGAGACACTTATGAAATACCATAGCTGTACCAGACTCCTGTCAGGTTAAAAGGCTATATGAAGGCAGGTCCTCTGACTTCCTATTGACTTCCAGGAGTGATGTTTTCATTTCCTTTCGTTTTGTTTTGCTTGACTAGCCTCTGGGGAACTTCTGAGTAAACACAAGAAAAGTACTTCCCTTTGTGGCGCTGCCAGAGGAGTAGTCCAGTTTTACAATCTGAACATGAGTAAGAATCAAATCAATGGCATGGGACCTGTTTGGTCCTTGCTTGGCTGGCTGAACACTTCTGTCTCGTTGTGATTGTTCCTCTTGTGACCTCAAGCTCAGCTTTCTTTGCAAGCCTTACTTTGGTGAAGGCTCTATTATTGTTATGAAGTTATCTGCCAAGAAGAATAGCTGCTGCAAAAACTTAATAGGTACAAGAAATGTTTCCATGTCATATGTAACTTACTGTGAGAACCCTCTCTTTATTCTCCCTTCCATCTACCCCACTAAGGTAAGTAAGAAAAAAGAGAGATCATGAGACTCATTAAGTTAGGGTGTAGAGCCAACAGTGACTTATAGCAGTTGGATTGTTTCAATCTCTCCCCTGGAATCATACGAATCGGAAGTAGCAGTGAATGTTTAAGTCATTACCTAATTCGCATACTTTAATATGTTTTAAGTTATTTGTATTCAATTTTGTTTGTGTAAATTCAATTGGGAAAAAAATGAATTCAAGTAATCAATTTTGTCTAAATAAGGCCCAACCATTGATACTACTAAATTGACCTTTCTGTCGATTTGGGGTGGATTTCAGCCTGCTGTGGTTATAAAACCAGAAAGCAGATGTAAATGCCTGAGAAAACTAGATCCAGGTGAACATTTATACGAAAAATTCTTTAAGTACGATTTAAACTTTTATTCAGTTCAAATTCAGGGTAAAACTATACTAGATAGAAATTATTACAAAATCGAAGGCCTTGTTCTTGGACTTACTCCTCTAATGGTTTCCAGGACTCCACTCAGCCCAGGCCTTAGTTCTCTGAGGAATTTGCTCAAGGCTCGGTTGTTGCTTCTTTGTCCTTAAATGGAGGTTCCCACCAACTACACCTTTCATCACATTATGGTTGCACGTTCATCTGCCTGCTTTCCTTGGATGAAGACTATTTGCTCAAACAAGATGTTACATATGAATCTAAATTAAAATGAACTCAAAGCAGAATGAAAGCAGTGAAGATAGCTCCATAAGGTTTAGGTAAATAGTAATGGTCGGACTCCAGGGAACTGCATTGAAAACAAGCCATCAGTCTTCCGGCCTTCGTTTATTACTTGCATGTTGAGATCACCCGAATCAAGATCCAGTGCTCTGTCTAAAATCCCCACTTCATATGTCCAACTGCAAACTGAAAGTGCTTGCCAAAACATCCTGCCACAGTTGTTTTTCTAAGCAGAAATCTGATCATGTTTTGCTTATGCACTTCCGTGCTTTCAGTATATTCAATTAAGTCTAAACTCCTAAGTGTGTCATTAAAGATTCCACCTAAGCTGGCTATAACCTACACTACTTAGGCACCACTGTTGGGTACCAATACTCAACATCTTTCTACCTCTGTGTTCTGATTCAGACTCATGTGTCCTGGCTTCTCTCAACAACTCTGTGTTATGCTTTCAGGTGTTTTCAAAAATCACACACTCTGGGGAACTATTTCTTGCGTGTGGTCATTCAACACTGCCTTTATTTTAAATTGGGTGTTGTCTTGTTTCTCCTTTAAACTAGAAATCTCTTTGAATTAGTGAATCCACTTTATTTTGGCTTAAAAGTGGACATGAATTCACTTTAGAGACCTTTGAAATGGATTGGTTTAATTTCTACCTGTGTTGTGTATCACTTGGCCTTCTCGTAGAGATTTCCTTATTATGTTTGAGTCAGCTGGTGATTTGCTTCTCCAGGAGGTAGAACTCTACGATTGATGCAGACCAGAACAGAGGACACCGGCCAGTATACGTGTGTCGTTCGGAATGCAGCTGGCGAAGAAAGAAAAATCTTTGGACTTTCAGTATTAGGTACTTAAGTAATTTGCAGTGTCCAGCAATGATTATAACTGGCTCATTATAATCCATTCTGAAATGTATTTATGGCTTCTTCACACACCAATGTGTTGTTTGGCCCCTGGGCTTTCACACTTGGCCAAAATTCAATGTTAGAAGGTTCTGAAAGCTATCAATCTGATGAAAAGAGCTGAAATGCCATGTCATGTCATTTCACTATTGTTCAACAATATTATGAGACACAGAATAATTTGAGTACTTAACTAGATCTATAGTGGAGGGAATAAATGTCTAATAAATATCCTTATTTGAGCTCTTGACAGAAAGTTTATGCTTTAACAAAAATTATTATAGTTAGATTTATGACATGCAAGTTTAATTCATATCTTAAAATTAGACTTGGTCTTATTAATGTTATGGCATTCTTCTACTAAGTAAATGATGAATCAGAATTTGGAGATTTGACCTCAAGGGTGCAGCTTAGTGAAAGAATAAATACGACTGCCTATAAAAAATGAGCCCCGCTATTGGAGTTGTGACTTATGATTCTGGTTTTTTGTGTTTGTTTGTGTGTTTTTTTGTCACATTTTTTAGTCCCGCCTCGCATTGTGGGTGAGAATATACTGGAAGATGTGAAGGTAAAAGAGAAACAAAACACTACACTGACTTGTGAAGTGACAGGTAAGAGACTCCACTCCTGCTGTTGTCCCTGCTGAGCGGTTCTGCAGTGCCTCCACTGTGTCCCTTAATTAGTTGGGACAAGTCAAGCTACGGCAATAAAATGAAAACCAAACCCATTCTCATTAACTGATTCCAGCTCACAGCAACCCCATCAGACAGCGCCGAGCTGCCCCTAACTGTTCCTGAGGCCGTGATCTTTGCAGGAGAGCTCTGCCACTTCTTCCCCTGTAAAGTCAGTAGTGAAGTCAAGGCCTTGGCCTTGGGGATTGCAGCATGGATTGGGCTTGGCAGTACCAGCACATCCAAGTCCTACAATCTTCTTCCTGGGTAATCCGCACAAAAGTATCTGGCTAGTTCTTTGAAATGAAATGCAAGAAAAAACAAAATCCTAAAAAAAAAATTTAAAAAAACACCGGAAAAGGTAAAAAAGCGGAAACATGGAAATATGGGACAAGATTATCTTCTTTTCTTAACATGTTTCATATTACAAAGGGAATAAGACTAGAAAGAAATTCTATTATGAATTTCATTATCTTTGTCATTTTATCAGTTTATTGTAATATCAGAATTACCAATTTTAAAAGGACATTTTGAAATCTCTATCTGGTCATGTAGTTTTAAAGGAATAAGAAAGAACCTGTTGTGGAAAGCTTGAATTTTAAGGAAAAAATGGAGTTTTTTATTTCACTGCTTACGTGTTTTACATTCACAATAAATTGAACTCAGAAGGAAAATAAATTTTGAGTTTTTTTTAAAGGAAGACCTAAATCAAATAACACACACTATTAACCTATTGATAGTTCTTCCAGAAAAAGTGTGAAATTCGCAGCTTCTGTAGAGACACCTTCTGCATTGCATCACATCCTCATTTCAGGAGGTCCAGTGTTGATATCCTATCATCCTAGCCTTTTTTCCTAACATAGTTTGATTTTATGGTTTTCAATTATTAAATCTTTGAACAATTAAAAGTCAGTTTTTAACATAAATCCCCCTTTAAAACACATGTTTGAGATCTTTCTCTATGCTGTTGGTAGTGGTGATTGTTGTTGAATTGATTCCTATTCGTAATGACCTCTTTCATGCTGAGTAAAAATTGCTGCACAGGTTTTTAAGGTTGTGACCTTGAAGAAGCATATTCGACTTGTCTTCTGAGGTGCCTCTGGTTTGGTTCAAACTGCCACCCTTCAGCTAATATATTGTGGCTGTTAAAGGGAATAATGATCTACTATCTGCCTGTCGATTCTAGAAATTCTTACTTAAGCTAAAACGATATACTTGCTAAATTGTCTAAATACAGGTTTTATTTTTTCACAGTTTTTTCTCAAACATATAGAATATTCTATGAAATATCATGACTAGATGAGACACTTCTCTACAACACCACGTACACTCCTTGAGTCGCTCCTCAGATAGTAGAGGTGACCTCACTCCCTGAGGCTGACTGGGCAGGTCTTGAAATTGTCCCCAACCATATCTGAGCCAACCAAAGTCCTGTGATTGGAGTAGTTGGTCAAATTGCATAGTCATTGCTGCAGAATATTGGAAATGGTGATATCGTTGGTAAGGACCAACCCCTGATTCTCCTGTTTTTGGACATCGCCTCCCATGACTGGTGTCCCAGAAGGCATCCCGGTGGTGCTGCAAAAGTGTGTGCTCCACTCATGAAAAATGTCATGGAAACAAATAGGAAAGAGGTTGCCTTCAAAGGCCTGGGTGTAGATTGGACATGGCAAAAAAAGTCCGTACCCAAATGTGAAAATCTTGGGGGACGGCTTTGACGTAAAATACCAAGAAGTTAGCTAAGGTTAGCATTGTGGGATATCCACCAGTACTACTTGCCCGACTGCCGTGGTATCAGCTCCATTCCTCCCAAGGAGAACTGCATTTATTTCATTTGTCTGCATCATAACTGAGCCATGGCTCCACCCACTCTTAAACTTGGATTACTGCTAAAGATGTAAAGCATATTAGCATTTGGGCGAACCATTACTCAATTCAAGCTTTCATTTACAGAATTGAAATCATCTATGGACAAAATATTCTCACCAGATGATTTTGTACATTTGAGATAAAAGTATAAAAAATAGAACTTCTATTTAAACAAAATATTCTCAATAGCAGAATATTTTTCCCATAGAATCCTTCAATACTTCAACTCAAGGCTTGAATTTTTCTTCAATTCTTTTAATTTGGCATATCATGAGCATATCTTTTGGTTTCCTAACTGCAGGTCTTTGTACATTTTATTTTAATGTATAATATCCATATCATGTGATATTGAATATACCTTGGACTGCCAGAAGAACAAAGAACTCTGTCTTGGAAGAAGTACAGCAAGAAAGTCCCTTCGAAATGAAGATGGCAGCCTCCATATTATGCACCTTAGACAGGTTATCAAGAAGGCCCTGTCCCTGGAAAGGGACCCGATGCTTGGTAGAGGGTCAGCACGAAAGAGGAAATCTATCAACAAGATGGGTTCACACAGCAGCTGTAACAGTGGACGCCAGCATCATCACAGTTGTCAGGAGGGTGGAAGGCCACGAAGTGTTTCTTTTTGGTGTACACAGGGTCACTGTGAGTCAGAACTGCCTCAAGAAAACCTAATCTAAACACTAATAAGCAATGCAAGGAGCATCAAAAATGGAAGAAATACACAGAGTCAATATACCAAAAATAATTTGTCAAAATTCACCCATCTCAAAAGATAGCATGCGATCAGAATCATTTGAACAGAAGAATTCCAAGCTGCACTGGAGAAATTAGTAAAAAACAGAACTTCTAACTCACTACCATCAAGTTGATTCTAACTCTTGGTGACACTGTAGTACAGAGTGGAACTGTTCTTGGGAATTTCTGAAGTTACAAGTCGCATCTGAAGCAGAAGCGGTTTCAGATGACTGACGTTTATGTTAGCAGCTCAATGTGTAGCCCTGTGCCACAGGGCACAGCAATGGGCAGAATGCCAACAGAAGGATTTCAAAGAACTGATGCCAGGCTGGAAACACTGGTCTATGCTGAGCAATTCAGAAGATAGCTAACTGGCCAACCAACTAGAAAAGATGCATATTCTTACCCATTCCAAAGACAGATGACCCAGTAGAATGCAGAGATTATTGTACAATAACATTAATATAACATGTAAATAAAATTTTGCTGACCATAACTCAAAAATGGTTATAGCAGTTCAACTGGAAACTGTCAGAAATTAAATAAAACCAGATAGAAGATGTAGAATGAGAGATATCATTTAAAGTCAGATATATCTTGCCTAAAAGCAGAGACTACCAGAACCATATTAACTTCTGTTTTATTGACTATAGAGAGTCTTTCAACCGTGCAGATTATAGTAAACTCTGTACAACATTGATAGAAATGAAAATTCCAGAATACTGAATTATATTCTTGCAGAACTGGTATGAAGACCAAGAGGAAATTATTGAAACTGAACCAAGGATGCCGCATGGTTCAAATTCAGGATGTGTGCTAGGGATTTTATCTTTTCACAGTATTTATTTAATTTCAATGTTGAGCAAATTATCAAAGAATCTGGACTATATGAAAAATAATGTGGCCTCAGGAATAAAAGATATGCAAGATAGCACAACCGTGCTTGCAAAAGCAAAGAGGACTTGGAGCACTGATGAAGATCAGAGACGACAAGCTTCAGTATGCACTATAATCCAGGCTATAAAAGTCAGACATACTCAATAAACAACCACATTAAAAACAAAGAAAAGGCTGAAATTGTCAAGGATTTCATTTCACTTGGATCCACAATCAAGACTCATGGAAGTAACAATCAAGAGATCAGGTGATGTATTGCATGGGGCAAATCTGCTGCACGAAAGCTCTTTCAACTCAAGAGCAAAGACAGCCACCCTGAGAACTAATGTGAACCTGACTCAATCCGTGGTATCATTTCATACTAATTCTGAAATCTGGACAATGAACAAGGAGGCTCTGAGAAGAACTGATGTATTGGCAAAGAGTATTGAAACATAGCACCTAGGAAGATGAAGCAAGACCAGACTTGATCTTCTCTTGTATTTAGGATTGCTGTGTAGGGGTCGGTGCCCTCTGGAGGGCTATAATAATTGATGGATATTTATGCGATTTATGCCATTTTGGTTGTGAAAACGGCTTCTGAACACATGTTTGCATGTGTACTTTGAGTACATATGTTCAAGTATTTGGGGTATATATTTAAGCGTAGAATTTCAGGGTCATATGGAAATTCTATATTCAAACTTTCTGAGAAACTGACAACTTATTTTACCCATCTGCTAAACCATGTGCATTTCTAGCAGCAAATCACAAAGATACAAATTTCTTCACATTATAGACACTAGTGATTTTCCTTTGATTTCAATAATCCTGGTGCATATAAAGTAGAACCTCATTGTATTCTTCATTTGCATTCACCTGACGTTAATGATGTTGAGCATTTTTAGTATTTTTTGGCTAATTGTGTAGGTTCATGGAGGAAATACCTATTCAAGCTTTTTAACAATTTTAAATTGGATTATCTGTCTTTTTATTGTTCAGTAGTAGGAGTTGATTATCTACTCTGAATACTATACCATTATTAGATATGTAACTTGCAAATATTTTCTCCCAGTTTGCAAATTATCTTGATGTCTTGAGTTTGGTGAAATCTAAAGTATCTCTTTTCATTGCTGCTCATGCATACGGTGCTACTTCTAACATTACATCGCCAAAACCAAGGTTGCAAAGGTTTACATCTAGGTTTTCATCTAACCATTCTAAACTTTAGCTCCTATATTTAATTTATTGTTACATTTCAAGTTAATATTTATTTTTTCCATGGCCATATCCCATTGTTTGAACATAATTTGTTGAAAAGATTGTTTTTTCTACCATTGAGTATTCTTGGCCTTCTTGTTGAAAATCTGCTGACATAGATATATATTTCTGGACTCTGGATTCTATTCCATTTACTTATATTTCTGTGCTTATGCAAGAACCACACAATTTTACTGTAGCTTTATGGTGCCTTCTTAAATTAGGAAGTGTGAGTCCTCCTTCATTATGGCCACTGAAGTCTCAACAGAGACTTTAGGTTGTGTTCAGCCAAGGTTTTGACTGAGATTTTCATGAACACTAAGAGCTACAAAAATAATAATGGTAAGAAAAAAGCCCCACACTGTTGGGAAAGCTTTTGAACACTTAGCTACACCATTTACAGTTCTGACTTAGTATTCATGTTCTCCTTTCCCTGAGCCGTGCAATCAGCCGGAGGTCAAGGCTCAGAGTCCTCTTGGGTCTCTGGACATGCTTTGGTTTCTTAAGGTGAGCATGGCTTCCTAAATGTATCACTGTAAAGCGGTATCACTTTGGGATACCCTCATTTCCCAAACACCATGCCTACTTCCCTTACTAATTTTAGCACTTCAATTATATAGCAATATTCTTTTGTCCAAGGTGGCTCTGGGAATTTCATTTCCTTTATGTACGTTTTGAGCATTAAGGATTCATCACATTTCAGCCTGGAGCGAATTCTGAGTTAGGTGAAACAAAGGCAAGTGCCTTCCTTTATTCCTTCTTGTAGCCTCCAGACAAGTGAGATCAAACAGAAAATAATTTGCAAATGTGCTCTACATTTGACACTGGAGCCAGTGCCAGGGCACCACACTGGAACACAGGCTGCAGTCTTCAAAACTCTTGCCAAGGGGGATGGGGTAGGGGGTGGAGCAAGAACAAGTGAAAATGCTTCACCTCTTGCCTTCCTTTCTTTTTACAAATTGATCATTCTTTTGACTGAGTGAACTTTTGATTATTTTCCATAGACATTAGTGATATTCAAGGATGTGTTTTGCCAGTTTCTGCGTGTTTTGTTGTTTGTGTGAGCAGACTGGAGTTCGGAGCTGCTTGCTACCATTTTGTTGACATCATTCCCTTCCCATTAAAAAAAAAAGACCTTTGCTAGAAAAATGCTTAATTACAATAGTCCGAGATATGGTTAAATTTAGTTAGGCAGAAAATGTAATTTAGAATTATTTTAATTCAGTGATGAAAAAATCCACATTTCAGAGTCATTAGTAATATATGCATACTTCAAAAATTGTAGCATAATCACAATTTTTATAAAATAGGCTATACTTACAAATTTATTTTTAAGTGCCCGTTACTGCATGGCTTAAGATGTGGGATATTTGAAAAACACAAAGGAGTGGGACTATCCTCTTTCATTATTCCTCAATTTTAGAAGTGATTATTAGCCAATTCTCAGAAAGTATTTCTCCTCCAGGGAATCCAGTACCAGAAATAACATGGCACAAAGAAGGACAGCTCCTACAAGAAGATGAGAGTCATCACATTATGTCTGGGGGCCGATTTCTCCAAGTAATCAATGCCCAAGTGTTCCATACAGGGCGATACACGTGTTTGGCATCTAACACAGCTGGGGACAAGAGCAAAAGTTTCAGTCTGAATGTGTTCGGTAGGTATAGTCTTTGCCTCAAACTTTTGACAAATCACATAGAATATAGATCGGTTTTGTGTTTCTTTGGGTTTTTTTTTTCTGTGTATGTAGTGTGTCTACTAGTGCATTTCATTAATTATATGTACACTTGCTGATTGATTGATTTATTAATTAATTTACTCATGTATTAATTTCACATGGAATACTTGGTATGACTATGCTAAGAGCACATACAGATATGAAACCAGCAGCAGTAAAAGAACAAAGGACTACTAATCAAGGAAAAACAGACATGAGTTAAGGTCATCCTGGGACTTTGAATCTTTCCTTGGAGTGGATGTACTGCTCTTATTTGTAGCTTCTGTATAATTAGCCATTGTGAAATGAATGATGAAATAACTAAATATATTGCAATGTGCATTCAGTTTCTGTAAAATCCACATTATGATTACAGTTAAGATAGATTCTTAATTATAGTTTTTATTTTTAAATTTAAAATGCCCTATCAAAATGAAAATTATTTGCCACTCTGAAAATATTTTTCATTTATATTAAAATCAACTGTTTGACTGCTCTGTTTTGTGTGTGTGTGTTTAGCTACTGGTTAGACTGTGCAGAAATATGCAGCTAGTTCTACAGACTCTTTCCATACAGAGCATATTGGGTTGTTTATGGTCTAACTAAATATATGTATGAAATTAAATCGTGATACTGAATAATGTGTAAAGTGCCAAGTGAACAGAATGAAGGGGCTTCAAAACATTCATGCAAAAAATGGAATTAAAAGACAATGAAAAATTTCTATGAGCTTTTTGAAGCCCCCTTGTATAGTTAGGCAATGCTATAAATTCCTTAAATCCAGAATCCCTATTTGTCTCTTATAAGATTAAGTGCTAGCCCCTAACACAGACTGCTGAATGTACTGAATATGCAGGGGATTAATGAGACAGTTTGGTCCAACCATGCCTGTGATATATAGTCAATATAGAAAAGGCAAGTGTCTAGCCCTGATTTATCCCTCTCTTCCTCTATGGAGACGCATTTTTTCTCCTAGAGTTTTAGATATCCTCATACGTCATTGCTTCCACCTCTGATTCTCAATACCAGAGGCATCTCCAAATCCTGTTCCCTGTGCTTTTTGAAATCCTGTTTTAACCCCCTCCCCTAATCTACTTTTTGTTATTGAAATTCAACTCTAGAGACATCAGTTCCCAGAGGAGTCTCTCCAGTTGAGAGCACTCATTCTTTATCCCCACGACTACAACCTCCACTACCCTCATGGTGACTTCCCTATTGTCTTACAATTCACCATTGTTTGTTGAAGACAGGATTCTGAATAACTGTTTTTCTCTATCAGTTTCAAAAAGTTAACGATATTCAAGTGTGAGCTTTTATAACTTCCACTCTACCCAGCCATAAATGGAATGCCTTTGCTCTTTCTTCTTCCAAAGGATGAGCTACTCGACGTATTCGCAGTTCTTGCTTGTCGCTATGCTCTTGATCCTATATGCCTTTTACCTGCTTTGGGGTGTAGTCACTCCCACCCTCCGCCTGCAGCCTCACCTTTTACCATTTCCCTCATCATGTAGTAAAGCCACTTCCGGCCTACCTGCAAGGTAGCTTACATTATCTCTGACTCTGCTCTGACAAGGACCACCCTATATTTGACACTACTGGTCATTTCATCCTTGCCTGAGCTCTTTTTCTGGTTATTCTTGTATCGCTCTTTTTCTTTTGCCTTTTGGGAATTTTAGTTGATCCTGCTCTTAAAACTCTCCATCTCTTATTTTGTTATTTTTTGCTGTTTATGGTGCTTCATAGAATTTCTTCAAGTAATTGCTGTCATTCTTAGGAGATTAATTGTAATTTTCTATAGACGTGACTTTTTAAATCTATATTTGCACCCATATCTTTCTCCTAATGTCCGGAGTCCAATATACAATTGCTTCTTAGACGTATCATTCTAATGGAAATTCTCATGGGCACTTAAATTTTAAGATATTTAGAACTGATCAAACTAACTTCTCCTTCTAAATGAGCAAATCTTCTGATATTATCTATTTCTCTTGATTCACTGCAGTTTTACTAGGTTTTCCAGGAAATAAAGAAATCCAAAACAGGGAGATGATGGTCCGTCTCTCTGCCTCCCTTATTCTTACTCTTCGGACGCTGTCATCAAATCCTGACAACTGATTTCCGAACTATTTCTGAAATGACTCTTATTGTGCTTCCTGCGGTGTTAGGCGTCTCTCTCTCTCTCTCTCTCTCTCTCTCTCTCTCTCTCTCTCTCTCGTCCAACAAATGTATCTACTTCTAATTAGCACCATTTCCAAGTCCATCCTTCATTAAGCCTCTGTTCACCTCTCTTCTGCCCAATTACCCTCCTTCTTCTTCCTAGTTTCCCATCTCTCTCCTGCTAACCACCGCTAATCTACTAAGGTTCACTTTGAATGCTCCCTGTGAGCCCTAATCTGCAGTATAATTGAATGCCCTATGCCAAGTTCCCTGAGTGAACACTCCTATGGCTAACTTTACCACAATGTGTTGGAATTCTTTTTTTATGTGTCTATACCCTTCATTACCTTGTGAGCTTTTATAAGGGATCATACTGTTTTTATGTAGAATAAGAACAAAAATAATTTGTGTTCTGTGCCTGTGAGGGAATGAAATTGCAAAAAGGTACAAGCAATATTTAGAATTGCACAATGAATTCTAATTATTTTTCTTCGATTACTTTTTAATATCCTATAGTATCTCCTACAATTGCTGGGGTGGATCGTGTAGGAAGCCCTGAAGACGTCACTGTTATTCTTAACAACCCCACTTCTTTGGTCTGTGAAGCTTATTCATACCCTCCGGCTACCATCACTTGGTTTAAAGACGGAGCACCTTTAGAATCTAACCGAAATATTAGGATTCTCCCAGGTATTAACTCACTTCAGATTCTTTAAGATGCACTTTCTTCATTTATTATTATAGAAACACCAAATCATTGGCATTTTTTCTATAAATGTACCAATGCTGCTTGCATTGTCATGTTATTTGATTGGTTTTTTTAGTTCCTTGTATATCTTGTAATCGAAGGTAGATAAACTTACATTACTACATCCATAAAACGGCCCATGAGTTACCTTTTTTAAATGGATGTTTATATGACTGTTCATATGTTATTAACAAGAACTAAAACTGGCGACTTTGCTGCTGCCACCGTGAACTTCAGAGATGCTATGACAGTCCCTGGTTTCCCAGGTGGCCGGACTCTGCAGATCCTGAACGCGCAGGAGGACGATGCTGGGCGGTATTCTTGCGTAGCCACCAATGAAGCTGGGGAAATGATGAAGCACTATGAAGTGAAGGTCTACAGTAAGTTCGGAAACATACACTCGGTGGTCGTATCTTGATCAAGTGTCCTATTTGTTCACTCCTGCTTTTGATTGTGGGTTTTCAATTATTTATTCCCATCATTAAAGGTTGTTGTTTATGCAGCGTACTTCATTAAGGTTTCAAGTTGAATTAAACACTGTGCCCATGACCTCAATTACTTAAAGATGTGAGAAGACCACTTAGCTATCTCATTAACTTCTTGTTGAATAATTTGTGATTGGCACTTTCTTAATTTTCCCTTCCTATTACCCTGTGGGCTGAATTGCGATTTCTTCACGAAGGAAAGGGTGTTTAAATGCATATGATCTAGACATTAGTCTCAAGGTGAGTTATCAGCTACCATGCGCAGTTCCGTCACCTAAAAACAAAGGTAAAACCAGTATAATGGTTAATAGGTCCTAAATTTCAGGATCCCACCTCTTCCTAACCCCCAATAAAGGTAAGACTCTCCCTGATTGATTTTTTAACTCTGACTCATTATCTTTTATAAACAGTAGAATACACTTTATGGGAAATGCTAATGATATATTTGGACATGGAAAACATATAACAGCTCAGTGAAGGACCAGCACCTCATTGATAGTATTATTTTCCTTTATCAAAGGGGGGCATAGGAAATACCTCTATTATTTCCTTATTATCTTGATTCTAAGTGTGATTTCCATGGTGTTCCACTTAATTGAAAGAGCCAATGTTTAACCTTCATGCATGAATTTTTATGCAGTTCCACCCATAATCAATAGAGGTGACCTCTTGGGGCCAGGCCTTTCGCCTAAAGAAGTGAAGATCAAAGTCAACAACACCCTGACATTGGAATGTGAAGCCTATGCCATTCCTTCTGCCTCCCTCAGCTGGTACAAGGATGGACAGGTCAGCCACATTTTTTCATTTGCTGGTAATTTCTTAAAGCTTCATATGACCAATTAAAACAGAAACAACAAAGAAGACACACTTGGTATTACAAGTTGACAAGACTCTTTTGTGTATATTGGCAGTTGTCTGTGATGCTGTGTTCATGGGTAAGTAGATTAGCAATGGACTATTAACCTCAAGGTCAGTGGTTCAAACACATCAGCTTCTCGGTGGGAGAAAGATGAGGCTGCTGCTCCTGTAAGATAAAATGTTTAAAAAAAAAAAAAAAGATTTACAGTCTTGAAAACACTTTATACAGTTTCTATGAGTTGGAATCAACTCAAGGGCAGTGAGTTTGTTTGCTGTTATCTTACGTTTTTTGTTTCTTTTTAATGACAATCTAGCTATGGTCCCAGTGGAGAAGCTAGGAAGCCTTGGTTTGGTCCTGTGCTATAAGACAAGTGAATAAATATTGAGCAAAATGAGTGCTAGACCAGATTATAATGATAGGGATGGTATGTGTTAAGGCACATGTATGGTATGTGAATTAATAAATTTATTCAGAAAGTTCTCTAAACATCTGTCACATTTTTATGTCACAAGATAACATTTTTCATATTGTGAGTTGAAGGGAAACTAAAGAAAAAGAATCCCATTATAATTAACTGGGAGAAGTAAGAAACTTTATTTAAAGTCACATCCTTCACATGATGGTCTGACTTTCAGACCACAAACCCTTATTTCTCATTCAACTGATTTTCGTGCATGCATGCTTTAGAGACATATGTGTTAGTGGTTTTAGACAAAAATAGATTTTTTTAAGCTGCTGTTAGCACTGTCAAGATGTGAAATAGCTAAGCAGGTGTTTGTCCTGCTTTAAACATAATCAACCAAATGGTCAGTTAAATTCCAGTTGTAGAATTTCAAATCTGAGTCATGATTTAAGATGTAAAGGAGATATAATTTTATATTCTTCAGATTCCAGGTGGATTTTGCAATACTGGCAGCTAGGGGGGGAAATCTAATAAAATAAGCAGGTTTCATCTGGAAGCCATTGCCAAAGGAATCTATGGAATCCCAGCGTGTCCTGTTTACAGTTTCTTTGTTATCTGTAGGCATGCTTCATAATACAATATCACTTCTACACGCATTTATTTGGAAACAATTTCTTTCTCATTTCAAATCATATTATTATTTTATCGATTGATTTTTCTAAGCTTGTTTGTCCCTTGTAGTTGCTCTATGCAATACAAACACACATAAAGACTGGATAAAGACTGAAATTGAAGCAGCTGTTTTTTTGTTGTTTGATGGTGGTTGTTATAATAGATAGTTCAATTACAGTTTCCAAATCAAATGCTGGAATTGATTCAATAAAAATGCTATAGCTAAAATGCTTAGTTTTTAAAAGATTTCAGTTGGCCCTCTAGAATGTGTACCAGGAAGTACTATTTTTTGTTTGCTTTCCATAAACCTTCTGTTCTTTCACTCTGTGGATAAGTAACTTAACCAAACAAAACCACTTAACAAAAACAAAATTATTGACAGATTCTTAGGTCAAGCAGTAGCTCAATTCAGCTTCTTAAGCAATGGAGTGGTATGGTTGTCTGATGCTTATAACCCATCCATTAATTGCTGAACTCACTTATTTGTACCTCATGAAGTCCACTTCTCCAGCAGAGAAGTGGGAAGAGCTCCTCTTTAGGAGGGAGGAGGAGAGGAGCACTATGGCAATGCCCGATGGCCATCTCTGTGGGGTGGACACTCCTACACTGGTGTGCGATACACTCTGGTGGAGATCCATGACCAGGAGTAGGGGAGGACATGTCGATCCCAAAGAGTATTGATAGGGAAAGAAAGGCTTGTGCCATTGGGAAAAAAATATTTTGCCTTTATGCCCCCCAAGGGTGAGACTCTGCCCTGTAATACATGGCTAGTCATGCATGTTTAACCAACCTTCCTTTCGGCTCATTGAGACCCAGGCCCCATACTACAGGTTACCTGGGCATTGTAGACTGCATCCGCTCAGCTTACAGCACATTATGTAAGTGATCCAGAAAGATCTGAGTCAGAATACCCACTAAGTAAACCAGACTCTACCTTAAACATACCAGTTGCAATTAAAGGAACTGCTGTACTCCTTTGGACATGAAGCTCTAACTCTCTAGGGAGAGAGGAAGAAGAAGACTGCAACCTTAAGGTCCTAGAATGGGAAGGTGTTGGACTTCAGTTCAAACCTCTTGCTTTTTTATTTATTTTTTTAAATCATTTTATTGGGGGCTCACAGAACTCCTATCACAATCCATACATCCATCCATTGTGTCAAGCACATTTGGGTTGCTCAATAACAAGCAAACTGAGACTACCATATATTTGCTATTTTCATATTTTCTTAGTTTCCTAAGACATGTCTTAGCTCTGCAGACATAATTCTCTGAATGAGTGTTACTGAATTTTGTACCCTATGTCTAAGCCCCATTGTGTTCTTAAGCAGGATTCAGTCACTTACGTTTTTACAGTGTATAATAGAAAAACCCAGGAAATTTAGTCTTAAAACATTTCCTATATACCTGTATTGGCACTATCGTAACAATATTCTAAATTCTCTACCAATGGCTCGTTTAACAATACTATTGTTAGAATTAGTAAAGTCTCCATGGAGGGCACTTTAAAGTGTCCCTCTAAAAGCTTATTATGTTGCCACTAAGGTGAAACATGAATATATATAAACCTCAGATGTAAAGATGGGTTTTGAGCTCACACTCAATGGTAAGGGCTAACCTAAGAACAATCAGCTATTATTATGCAGCCCCACTGAAGACTTATTTTCATGAAGGGATCACTGAAGATAAGTGTGCTTTAGCAAAGCATGGTGATCAGCTATCAGCTATCAGAAAAAAATTTGCATCAGAGCTCTTAAAACAAGTAGTCATTTAAGTGAAATGACAGGTAAGCCCACACAAAAGAAGCACATCAGCTTGTGTGATCCAAGAATTGTAAATAATATCCAAGATAAGAGAAGGGAAGTGTATTAGCACATCAATTCTAAGTACCTGGTTTGCAGAAGGCTATGAAAGTCAGTGAACTCCCAAAATCCCTTTGCAGAGACTCCACAGGGAATAGCCCTCCATTGAATCCCCTGGGGCCATTGACCAAGGATTCAGAAAGCACCCTGCCCACAGAGTGCATCAGAAAGTGAATTATTGCAGGTATAATTAGGTTACAATGTAACATCATATCATTTGTTTTCCTTTTTAACCCATTCTTAATTTGTCCTTTTTAAAAATTATTTTATACTTTCTATTGGGAAGGAAAAAATGTAACCAGTATCACAGAGCAAGCTGTATAGATACTGTTAAATGGAAAGCAATGGAAAGCTAATCCACTACGTGAACTTTCACTGAAAACAGTAAAATTTTATCTTTTAACGAACTAAGTTACTGACAGCATTGGTCATAAAAACTTTGATAGAATCTTTGAGTTTTATTTATTCATGCTCTGAACTGCTTATTTTGGTCCAGAAAATTTAAATTATGCTGCCTTTTTAAAATTGATATAATAGTAAAAATGATCCAGTCCACCCCAAGCTATTTATTAAGCACCTGTTATTTGTCAGGAACTGTTTTAACTATTAGGGATACAGCCATGAAAGAAACATGGAAAAATTTTACACATATAGATTTTGAATTCTGATTGGGAGAGACAAAAATTTAACCAACAAACCAGTAAAATATGTCATGTGTCAGATGGGTTAAATGTTATGCTGAAAATGCTACCAGAGACAAGGACAGGGAGTGCTGGTTAATGAGGGAAGCTAATACTTTACCAAACACTTGATGGAATTGTAAGAAGCAAGCACAAAATATCCTAAGACAGAGAATAGCAAGGGCAAACTTCCGGAGGCATTTTGTGTGTAATTAAGAGATGCCTATAAAACGGATCTGATAAAGTGATGGAGGGTCAGACCACGGTGTCAGCATGAAACCCTGGACTACTGCTACGTGCAGCGGCAGGGTTTATGGGGCATCGTGGCTGGATGGACTTGGAGGACAAGTGTATTTCACAGTGGAGACAAATGTAAGAATGTGTCAAATTCCACTAATAGATCCAAGTTGACCAAGACATTTGGCACAAATAGACAAGAGGAAATCGTGGTTGTTACAAATTCCAGAAAAGCTAGAGGAAAGAAACTGGCGAAGGCCAGTTTATGAAATTCATTTGACTGTGAAAGCAAATCCAAAAAATATATAGGGCTGGTAACTGGAGGGTAGGTTGCAGTCAAGAGAGTTTTTTCTGGTTTGTTTTGTCTCAAATGGGGAAAATTATATCACTTTATATGTAATCCAGTGGAAAAAAATAATTGATGAAAATTTCAATGAGCAAGGAGTCAGTGCTGGAAGACTGGCCCTGAGTAAACCAGAGCTGAGTAGAATGGGCGGAGGACTCTAACTCGGCTCAGTTGGGGTTTCCAGGAGAGTTCAGTAAAGGGCCAGGGAGAAAGGGCGGAGGTCTTAAATAGGGGTGATTATGAAGGACTTTCTTCGAAGTAATGAGGGAATAAGTGGAGACTATGAGGGGTAAGAGGCTAAATAGTTCATAAAAATGTCTTGCATTTTCTAAGAAATCATCTTAAAAGATATATACTTTTTAATTCAACACGTGAACAACTGAAAACACTTTTTTCTACGTAGTTGAATGCATAGTGTTCCTAATAGCATATTCCTGTCATAGAAAATGTATAAATATACCACCACAAATACCTGAAACAAATGTAAACACGACCCAATACAATTTGCAGTAAAAAAAAATGTGATTGCTCAAAAAAATGTGTTGAACAACATAAGTTTATTGAATTATTGTCTTGACTATTTGACATAAAATTTTATTGCCATGCTTTTTGCTAGTCATAAAAATATTAGCTTCATGGTCTTTTAGTTGGTTTGTTAGCAAGTCCTGACATTTTATGATTGACTCACAGCCCCTTACATCGGATGACCATGTTAATATTGCCGCAAATGGACACACCCTTCAAATAAAGGAGGCACAGATGTCAGACACTGGACGATATACTTGTGTAGCGTCTAACATTGCAGGTGAAGATGAACTGGATTTTGATGTGAATATACAAGGTAATACTAATATGTTTATTATTAATCATTGAAATCAAAAGTTCTGTCAAAGCAATGGAAAAAGATTGAATGCAGCTTATTTTAAGTAGCTTTTCCTTTGTTTTTTTACTCTCTGGTGAGAATAATATAAATTCTTTACTGGAAATTTCAACTCAAATTAGCAATGAAGAAGAGCATCCTTAGCATTTTTTATCATTTTCATAGGTTCTCTCTTGATATTTTCAGTGGTGTACTTAATTTCACAAAGACACGCTTCTGGGATGCATTAGCTTTTCTGTAACAAAGTATCATGAAGATTAGTTCCAAAGGATTAAGCAGGGATGGCAGGCAACTGTTTTTCAGTTAACATTTAACTTTTAAATTTTAAAATTTTATTATAGCAAGATACGCATAGCATAAAATAACATTTTAATCCTTTTTAAATGTTCATTATACTGGCATTAATTACATGTGTAATGCTGTGCTACTGTCACTGTTTATATTTGTCTAAATGTACCCCAAATAGAAAGTCTGCACCTACTGAGCAACAATTCTCCTTTCACCTTCCCACAGCCCGGATGATTTTTAAACTACTGTCTCTATGAATTTGCTTAGTTCAGATATTTCCTATAAGTGGAATCACAATATTTGTCCTCTGGTGTCTTTTATTTCACTTAGCATAATATTTTCATGATTCATCCAAAATTTAGCATATATCAGAACTTCATTTCATTTGATAGCTGAAAAAGAATCCACTGTCGTTCTGTACCATCTACTATCTCTTTATTTGTTGGTGATAGTTGTTTTGCCCCCGCCTTTGAGCTGTTGTGAATAATGCTGTAATGAAAAGCGGTGTACACCGTCTGTTTGAGTCTTGGTTTTCACTTTGGGGGTTGGAGGGGGAGTATGTGACTAATCCACGATTCTTTCCCCCCTTCTGAGGGCCGTCAATTTTTTTTTTGACAGTGGCTGTACCCTCTTACATCCTGCTCCTAATATATGTGAATGCAAATTTCTCACACCCTTGAAAACAGTTTTGGTTTTTCTCCTCTCTCTTTTTAGTAGTCGTCCTCTCCTTGTTCATGGGTTGAAGAAGTAGCTCATTGTGGTTTTGATTTTTATTTCCCTAATAACTAATAATGTTGAACATGCTTTTTTGGGCTTATTGGCCATTTGGATATTTTCTTTGGATAAATGTCTATTCAAGCCCATTCTCAATATTTTAATTAGGTTGTTTAGTTTTTTATTCTTGAATTGTGAGTCCTTATATGTTGTGCTTATACAATATAGGCATATATTGATATATGATTTTCAATATTTCCTCCCATCCAGTCTTGTCAATTTATCCATAGTGTCCTTTCAGATGCAAGCATTATTTAGAGTTTTCTTTTATTGCTCATGCTGTTAGTTTCATATCTAGGAATCCATTGCCAAATCCATAGTATGGCCTTGAGTATGGGCTCACCCTGTGGGAGGAGCCAACTAGGCAGGCAAGAATGAGAACAGTAATAAGATGTGTGTTAGTCTAGGTTGACTAGAGAAACAAATTCATAGACACTCATGTGTATACAAAGAGCAATTAAATATTGAGGAAACATGCCAGCCCAGTCCAGATCAAGTCCATAAGTCCAATGTTAGCCCATATGTCTGATACCAGTCTATAGAGTCCTTGTCAGACTCACGAAACACATGCAATGATGCCACATGCAGGAAGATCACAGGCCAGTGGGTGGAAAGTCTTGTGGATCTAGTGGCCATAGAATCATCCCAGCACTAGCAGGGGTCTCCACGTGGCTCCTCCAGTTCCAAGGGCTCTGGCTGCATCAGCATAGCTCCATCAGACTCAGTGTCAGTAATATCTCGCAGGGAGTGAGTGTGTGTCCCACCTCCAATGAGCTTTTTATCTCCTTAATGCCTCCAAATGAAGTCATCAAGCTGTGACCTGATTGACAGGCTAAACTCCACCCCTTCACTCTAAAGTCTGAAATTGACAACAGATTATGTAACTACAACAAGAGGGTAGACTTGTTTTCTAATATTACAGCCTTTTCACAGGAAGGGTAAAACTATAAGCACAGCCTCCTAGTCCCACAATTCTTTTTCTTCCACAACCAGCTTGACCCCCCTAGTTTCCATGTCTACTGGATAAATAACTCAAAGGTAGATTTTGTAGATGTATAAGCACTTGAAAATATTTTAAAAATATATTGAAAAATATTTTTCACATAGTCAACCTATCATATTTACATATCACTCTAGTAATAATACAGCTAGGACCTGTGTTTAATAGATGGATTCCGGCATTCACAGGTGACCAGATTTAATGTCTTTTCTTTATAGTTCCTCCAAGTTTCCAAAAACTCTGGGAAATAGGAAACATGCTTGACATGGGCAGGAGTGGTGAAGCCAAGGACGTGATCATCAATAATCCCATTTCTCTTTACTGCGAGACAAATGCCTCACCTCCTCCTACCTTGACGTGGTACAAGGATGGACAGCCTCTGACCTCAAGCGATAGAGTGTTAATTTTACCAGGTAAGGATTGCTGTGTGTAGAATACAATTTTTATATTTGTCCAAAATGTATCTTTTTGTTTACTAGACAAATAATGGGGATCTTAGATATGTCACTTAACTGACACTTAGGTTGACCAATGCTATTTGTACCTCTGTAATAATTAGGTAACAGAATAGAACACCTTCATTAATTTTTGAAATTAAGTATGGAATGACTGTACTTTGTTACAGTCACTGGTGCACTGGGGGCACCGGTCTGGATTCAATACCGGTGGGCCCATCTTAGTCTTAATTCATTCTGAATGTTTTGCAGCTATATGATCTATAGCCAGTTACGTCATCAACATAAGCATCTGCTGCTTCTTCTTAAAGTAAGAGTAGAAATCATAAACTGAGATGGTTATTGACAGGATTCATTAAGAGTATGCGTATAAATGTAAAGCACTTGGCACTAAGTCTGGCATGGTATGTAGGACATGGTCAATTAAAAGAAAACAAAAGAAAGTTCTTTGGCTTCTTTGTCTCTATACTTCTCTAATGGTTCAATGCAACAATCAGTTTTGTCACTATAATTATTAATGATAAATTGTAAAATACACTTGCAAATGGTTACTGTTTTGGGTTTATAAATGCATCCATTCTAAAAAATAGTAAAAAATATCAGTTTCAGGTATTTTAGCTTTTGTATACTAATTCTAAAGTTAAGTGTAAGTTGTTAACTGATAACATAATAGTTTTAAACCTGTCAAAACATAGCAGACTATACATTTAAGATTAGTGGATTTTACTAAGTAAATTTTACTTAGTTAAAATAATACACTGACAATTTCTAAATTAAAGAATAAAGAGAAATGACAACTAAATATAATATGTGGTTCTGAATTGGATATTATGCTGGGCAAAAAGTTAACCATGAAGATATTATTAAAGCAATGATTAATGTGTATATGTGCTAGTGTTATTCAAAAATAAGATTGTATTGATTTTAAATGTCTTGCTTTTGAACATTACACTGTGGTTAAGAGATCCTTGTTCTTATGAAGTATACATTCATGGATATTTAAGGGTCTCCAACTTACGCTCAAATGGCGCTGGGTATCAAGACTCTGTGTGTGTGTGTGTGTGTGTGTGTGTGTGTGTGTGTAAATATGGAGAAGTGCCTGCTTCTGCCCCCACCAACACCGGGGTGAAACACGAAGGCAGCGCAACAGAGCAGCAAGGGGAGCAAAGCAATGAAGTACCGGGGAATCCCGAAAATAGACTTCGGAATTGGTGGGCAGGGTGTGGCACTTTACCAGATCCAATTAAAAAACATTCAGAAGGGTCGGCAGACAGAACTGGAACTACTTATAGGCTTCACCCACCCCCCCCCCTTGTCTTTTTCCTTTCTCTTTTTCTCATATAAGATAGGCAGGATAACCCATCCCGAGGAGAAAACAACAGGGCCAAGGACCCCGGGAGGACATGGGAGAGGAGGAGGTGGGAGAAAGGGAGGGGATAGCCAATAAATCCAGGGACAAGGGGGAAAAAAGATCTAAAATCAATGTCAAGGAGGGTGTAGAGTGCCTGATGCGGTTTGATCGAGTGCAATGTAGCCAAGAGAAAGTCCTGAGAGTCAAATGAAGGTCGAACATGATAGTGGGACAGGAGGAAAGTAAAAACAAATAGAGGAAAGAGCTAGGAGGCAAATGATATTTATAGAGGTATAAATAGGGGCATGCACATATGTAAATATATTAATAGATAATGATAGAGTTATAGGTCTATGTACATATATTTAAATGTTAAGCATTAAAGTAGCAGATGGGCATTGGGTCTCTATGCAAGTACTCCCTCAACGCAAGAATACTTCGTTCTAATAACTTGGTGTTTTGTGATGCTTACCTTCTGGATATATCGCTGAAGTCAAAAATGGGTGCATAAGCAAATGTGGTGAAGAAAGCTAATGGTGCCTGGCTATTAAAAGATACAGCACCTGGAGTCTTAAAGGCTTGAAGTTAAACAATTGGCCATCTAGCAGGGAAGCAACAAAGCCCACATGGAAGAAGCACACCAGCCTATGTAATCACCAGGTGTCAACGGGATCAGGTATCAGGCATCAGGAAAGCCAAAACAAACAACCATTGATGCAAATGATTGGGGTCAGAGTGGAGACCCAAAGCCCATCTGTAGACAATTGGACATCCCCTCACAGAAGGGTCACAAGGAATGGATGAGACAGTCAGGGTGCAGCATAGCACCAACGGAACATACAACATTCCTCTAGTTCTTTAATGCCATCTCCCACCCCAATATCATGATCCCAGACAGGAGGGGTCACGGCAATCAATGTATGGATTATTATAAGAGCTGTAAAATCCCCAATAAAATTGTTTATTAATAAAAAATGAGAGAAACAAATAATGAATTTACTGGCAGTGGGAGCAGCTAGATGCTTCCATTAAAAGAGCTTGAACTAATTAAGTGACAATAGGAATGTATAAGACCTCAGAAATGTATGAGAAATAACAGTAAGAAAGACTTCATAAAAGAAGTGATTTCATACTGAATAGATTGATAGATATGGTAGATATGGCCAAGCAAATGAAGTAAAATATAGGAATTGATATTCTTAAATGATTTTTTTATAAATACTGCAGCTTTTCTTTGTATTTGAAATTTAGGTCAACATAAATATTGTAAAATACTGTTTTCCTTTTAAAATTATATATATGAGTTTACTTTATATGTTTTACAATCCTGGATATTACTTCCTCAAACCTGAACACTCAGACGTATAACATTAAATGTTAGAATCTTTAAAAGCAAGAAATGCACTGCTTAGTGGGGGATTCTGGGCTTCTACCTAATTCTAGCCCCAATCCGAGAACATGTAGTTTTTATAAGATGGCCCTGCTTGATACTCACCTTCATAAAGAGATCACTGAGGATTACTGAAGAGATTGCCACAGCAAAGTGTGGTGAAGAAAGCAGACGGTGCCCCAGCTATCAAATGGAATGGTGCCTGGGGTTTAAAGGTTTGTATCCAACAAGCAACCACTTAAGCGAGGAGCGTCCCCATGGAAGAAGCACTCCCGCCCATATGATCCAAAGATGACAATAATAAAATCCAAATATGATGAAGGACTAATAGCTTAAATTGTGAGCACCCAATTTGTAGAAAGCTATGGAGGGCAGTGGGAACCCAAATCCACCTGCAGACATCTAGTCAGATTAAGCCTCTGTCAGGTCCCCTCTGGTCACAAGCCAGCGATGAGTACAGCTTTGCTATCAGACACAGATTATTGTAAACTTGATTATGGTGGATGGAATTATGGTATAATAAGACACCTGGTCAGTTGACCTTCTTTTTGACCCAACCTGAATTTACTCTAGACTTAAATGTTTCTCCTTAGTTCGATGACAGAAATTCTCTCTCTGGTGTATTTTTTAATATTGCTGGTGGTCTTCTCTCGCTTCCTCTTTTTATTTTTCTTCCTGTTTTTTATTGTTTCTGTTATGTTTCCCCATTTAGAAAATACAGAAGGAGTGGATGTGCAGAGACAATCACTGATGCAGTGAACGTGGGGGAGGATGGGCTTGGAGAGGGAAAGGGGAAGCAAATAGTGAATATGGGAGGCGGGGTGCACCAGAACTGATTTTGATTCTGGATACACAACTCTTTACAAAAGCAACTTAATTATGGAAGTTTATGATATGTGACTTTTGTATCAATAACACTTAAAAGGAAAAAAAGACTAGAAGAAAGAGAAGAAAAGTGTGAATGTTCACAAAAGGGAAAACAAAAGATAGAGATGTTGCTTGGGTGGCATGTCGTCATTCCGCTGCGATGGCAGCATTCACGTCCAGGCCCTTAGAGGAACAGACAATGGGTAAAGGGGAGATAGGGACCTGATAGCACTGATGACTGCATAGCCCTTAGAGGAACAGACAATGGGTAAAGGGGAGATAGGGACCTGATAGCACTGATGACTGCATAACCCTTAGAGGAACAGACAATGGGTAAAGGGGCAGAGAGGGACCTGATAGCACTGATGACTGCATAACCCTTAGAGGAACAGACAGTGGGTAAAGGGGCAGATAGGGACCTGATAGCACTGATGACTGCATAGCCCCACTCGATGGTATTGAGCAACAGAATTGTATGTCAATGGATATATTGGATTGTGGAAGATATGGCGAACTAAATATAGAAATAAACCTATTATAGGGAGAAACTAAATAAATAAATAAGCATTCCTGGGGGTGGGGGTGGGGGGGGGATAAAAGGGAGATGATATCAAGGTGTTCAAGAAGAAGAAAATGTTTTGAAACTGGTTTTTGTAGCAATTGTACAATACTGCTTGATGTGATTGAACTATGGGGTGTTATGCTATCTGTAAGAGCTCCCAATAAAATGATGAAAAATAAAGACTTAAAAGAAGAGGAAACAGCTGGTTTGGTTGGTGTGCCTTGACCTGTGGGTCTACCTGTGCTTACCTAGAAGGCACACCTATCTCCACGGGTGTGGGACCACATAGGAAAAGGTAGTGTGCAGGAAACAGAAAAAAAATCTATCAAAAATAAATTAAAAAGTATAACTGCAAAAAAAGAAGAAGAAGCAACTCGCAGCATAGTAACATTCACCTGGAGTATACGGAAACATTTCCGCTCTAGGGGTAGATACTCATTTCTTAGGTGTTCCGATCCACACATCAGAGAGCTTCTTATTAGAGCAGGGCTAGTTTTCCGCAGGGTATCGAGGATGAAAAAAGCAAGCCATGAAGGAAAGTGGGACCTTTAAAAGGAAATCTAAGGAGGAAGTCGTCAGACCTGAATAATTGTATATATTTTTTTGCTCATGACTAGTGTTCACTCTAAGATTTGGGAAAGCAAACATCTTGGAATGTATTTTCAGGAGGGCGAGTTTTGCAGATTCCCCGGGCTAAAGTGGAAGACGCTGGCAGATATACATGTGTGGCTGTGAATGAGGCTGGAGAAGATTCCCTTCAGTATGATGTCCGTGTACTCTGTGAGCTGATTTTCTTTTGTTTATTATGCATTCTTTCCCTTGAAAATATGTCTGGGACACTAATGCTTGCAAGATGTTGCACTAAGCAATGTAGAGGCTGCAGAGATACTAAGAAACTGACAGTTGGTTCAAGGAGTTAATTGTCTTATATTACGACAGCCAGATTTCTTATACATCAAATAACACATTAACTTAAGAAAGAGGAGGAAGAAAAAGAGAATTCATTGAGTCATGAACCTGTCATGACCCATGGTAGCAACTGGCTTCAGTGAGTCTGACGTCTGTGGCTCAAAAACAGGTCAACCAATCTTTGCTTTTCCCTGCTCTTGACTTTGCTTCTCTGCCAGCTTCACCCTCGGGTGAGGATTCCCTTGGGTGACAGATAGGTGGTTAGCAGTTCTAGGTTTGCTTTCCCCTAAGGAAAGTTATTCTTTCACAGTATTTACCACAGAATCTCCAAAACTGAATTTCCATAACCTCAGTGGAGCAATTACAATAGCAAAGGGGCAGCACTTCCAATGGATAAAGATTAGCTTATCTGCCCCACACTGTGAATGCCTGTGGGGAAAGCGGAAGAAGCGTTTCTCCCAGGGAAAGGGAGATGATGGTACTAGCAGCAGAAGCAATTCGATGCTTCCATGAAAATGGTTGAGCTAAAGAAGTGGCTTTGGAAAGGTAAGGAAGGAGCCAGAAAGCTTTCATAGAAAAAAAGTGATTGCATGTATATGAAACATTGCACTTAGGTTTTTATCCCAGATGGTTTGAAGAATGGTGGAAATATTCATACAGATGGAAGATTTGAGAGAGAAAAACATGATTTAGGAAGTTAGAAAGTAAATTTTCTTTTAGACGTGTAGAATTTGACATAGTCCAAGGATACTTTTGTAAAATGTTGGAAAGAAGGAACTATTTCATAGGATATAGAACTGGACTTGGAATATATATTTCAGTCAGAACCCACTGCCCTGTCCCTTTCAACTTCTAGCAACCTTGTGTGAGGTTTTCTAAGACTTGAAATCTTGATGGGAGCAGGCAGCTTCATCTTTCTCCTGCAGAATGGCTGGTGAGTTTAGACCACCAACCTTCTGGATAGCATTCCAACGCTTCCCTGACATCACCACCAGGGCTCCTCATATATTTGAGAGTCATCTACAAACAGGTGATACTCAAATTCATTAGATTTCCAACAGAGAAGGTGAAAGAAGTATAAAAGGTCTAAAGATCACTGTGGGCCCATCTACAAGTATGAATATGGAAAAGAAAAAAACGAGAGAAAGGAGAAGCCTGCTGAGGCGTTCAGGGAAAACAGTAATCCACCGAATTGCAGAAGCCACAGTTATCAAGAATTGGATTTTAGTGTTGAATGCTAAAGAAATTTTAAAAATTTTAGAAAGAAAAAAAAAGCTATTTAGGTTCGAAACTAGAAGATTGTTGGTGAAATTCAAATGGTCACTTTAGATAATGTGTCCACGGTAGCCCAAAGTTGTGGAACAAATGATCATATGAAGCAAAGGAAAAAGATGCAAAGTGGTCTTAAGACATTCATACATAATTAAAAGGTGGAGTTGAATTTTAGGATAAATAGCTTATTGGGATTATTGGAAGAGAGATTAGAGCTTGCCTATGAACGCCCCCCCCCCGCCCTCCCCAAAAAAGGTTTGAACATAAAAGGAAATGAGAAAAATTGAACCCAAATGGAAAAATTAAGATTGCACAGAAAGGGTAAAATGTTTCGTGGAGAAGGGAGCTATTGATGGAATAAGGTCCTAGGACAAGTGAAAAATGAACTCAGGGAACTGAGAGGGACAAATTAGCTTTCTTGGGTAAAGGGAGAAATTTTGGAATGGTAAGAAGGTAAATGGGGAAAGTCATATCAAAGAACTGAGTCCTATCTATTAACTATGAGAGTAAGACAAAGAAACGGGGAGGGGGAACAGTCAGTATAATAAGCAATACAGTGAACCCTCGCCACTTCGCGCTTCGACTTCCACGGCTTCACTCTATCGCGGTTTTTGCGTAACAGCGCATGCTCTGTCATTACTGCCACTGATTGGCTCATACTGTACACGCTTCTGTCTGCATTGCTACGTATCGGAGCTACGTATCAGATGCATTTTTGCTTTTGTACAGTGTACTGTAATTGTTTGCGATTTTTAAGAAATTTTATCTAAGCCCTATGATGGCTCCTAAACGAGCTGCTTCTTCTAAGCCTTCTGACAATAAAAATAAGCGCCAGAGGAAGATGCTCACCATCCAGGAAAAGGTAAAACTTTTGGATATAAGGAATCCTACTTCGCGGAATTTCATTTATCACGGTAGGGTCTAGAACCAATTAACCGCAATAAACGAGGGTTCACTGTATTGTGCTGAGGCCTAATGGAGCCATTAGAGCATCAAGGTGGTGTGCTCTGTGACCACGGTCAGTAACCTAAGGAAGACAGAGAAAATAGATACTGTGATCTGAGAGAGGTTTGCACAAGTTGCGCATTGTGGAAGGACTGGAGGGAGAGAGCCTAAAAGATGGAAGAGAAAGAGCATGACTCAAACGACCCACCATTCATCCTGGCTGGGCAAAAAATAAGCCTGGAGGAAAGAAAGCCACTTGGCAAATCATGACGAGGGAGGAGTGGATGGGCCGTCGTCCTCAGTGACAATGAAGAACAGCTTATAAATGAAGACTGACAAGATATGGAGAGGGGGAAGTACTGCTATTATTTTTGCACTAGAGTTCAAAATTTATTAGCTTGACGACTAATTTGATTCATTAGCTGTGCTGATTGGTAACTATGTACCGACACTGTGCTAGGCAAGGAAGAGACAGCAGACATCCGTTCTAGTAGACCAAGAGGTCATTATTATGAATGATCCAAGGTATGACTGTTATGAACAGCTGAAATGGAGTAGACCAAAAACCAAAACAAAACCCACCACGATCAAGTAAATTTGGATTCCCGTTGATCGTATAGGACAGACTAGAACTGTCTCTGTGGATCTCCAAAGGTATAAATCTTTACAAAAGCCGAAAGCTTCATCTTCTTCCCTGCGGAGCAACAGGTGGGGTCCAACTGCTGAGCTAGCATACCCCACTAGGCTCCGGAAACCAACTATGGTGAGACGGGTCATCGATCAAATTTTAACATCTAAAAAATATAAGGAGAGGGGAAAAAAAGAATTAGAAATCAGTGCTAACATCATTAAGAATAGTGAAGGAGTATTCTGGGCCATCTGGATTGTATTTGATGAGCACTTCATTTAGAAAATAATAGAATGACCTGATAAAGAAACAAGACAGATTGCTTAGGAAGGACTGGGATTATGTTAAATCAAAATGGAGCCATATGATTCCATAGTCAACAAATAGAAGTCCATGCCTTCAAACCACTATTTTGAATAAAAAGGATATTGACCAACATGTTGGAAGTGAGATGGGAACAAAGCAAAATAAATAAATAATGCCTCCTCAAATTCTTACTAAATTAGGGTTGTTTCACAATGTCTATTGCTCACCTCCTAGATGCAAGAAAGGCCCCTGAGAACATTTCTAAATGGCGTATACCAAGTAGGCTACAAGCCAAAGGACTGGGAGTATAAATCTGCCCAGAGACCTATTGGAAGAAAAGTCTAGGGAGCGATCTGCTTCCCCGAGGTCACAGCCATAAAAACCTATGGAGTACAGGTCTACTCAACATCTTATAGGATTGCCAGTAGTCAGAATTGACTCTGCATCTTCCCAGCACCTGTCTGTAGTTGTTGTTGCTGCTGCTACTGCTGCTGTCAGCCCAGCTAGTCGTGTGTGGGGGCCAGAGGGGCAGGTCAGAACAAGGGGCTGTTGTAGGGGCTTAAACACACATAAACCTCGTAGTGCCTCTTACTGGTTCAGCTGTAGTCAAATTTAACTCTTTATGTCTCATACTTTCCACCGTATCAGAGTCAGAGTATCACTTAATCTGAAATTTAAGATTTTTATTTACATATCTGTAGTTTAGGTTACATATTTTATATTATCTCAAGTATATTAAAAATTATATAACTTTAAGTATAAAAATAGGTATGCAATACTATCATGTCCTTGTAGGACTGATTGCTTTCCTGCCTGATTGTCAGAAGACGACATCTGCACTAAGGCGTTCTGGTAGTGGAGCGGGTTAGGCGTTCGGCTGCTCATCTCAAGTCAGCAGTTCTAAACCACCACTCATTTCCTGAGAGAAATTTGAGACTTTCTGCACCCAGAAAGAGTTGCAATCTCAGCATCACAGGGTGGTCTATTCTGTCCTGTAGGGCTGTTGTGAGTAGAAATTGACTTGATGGCAGTGAGGTTTGAGTTTGGCTTCTTCCTTTAAATATGTAGTCTTTACTCATTGCTAAGCATTTTAAGAGAGTACAACACAAAGTAACCAAACTGTCATCAACCAAAATAAGCAAAGAATCAAACATATGTAAGCTAGCCCTGTATGTGGAGATAAATGTGGATGAATAGAGTAGGAATTCTCATGCTATAAATACACAGGATAGCCTAGGCTGATTATTAAAGCAGATTTATGGGCCTCATAGAGATCTGACTAAGAAAGTCTCACTAGGGGGTAAGAATACGCATTCTAACCATGGGCCTCATAGAGATCTGACTAAGAAAGTCTCACTAACATTCTAACCATGCTCCAATGCAATTGACACTGATGCTGAGGAACAGACCTGGAATAGCTCAGATGATTCCCATGGCAATGACACCAAATCTGATCATCTAAACTTGCAAAGCTCTAATAGCAGGCTGGTCCCGATGACCAAACATACATAAATATTCATGTGTGAAGATTCAACTTGTATGTATAGTTGAATATTCATAGGCATAGTGGAAGTATAGCAGGTCACCCTGGGGGAAAGCTAAGATTAAGTGAAATGGGAATAAAATTTTGGAAGAGGTTCACCAAAGGTAAGTGAAGAAGAGGAGGGAGAGAAGAAATGCAAAACTGACTAATTCTCATTGAAACCCAAATGTAATAGCATAAAATGTCACTAAATAATATGCATGTCCCTTAATGGTTCATTTAGTATCATGGGGAACTTTTAAACATTATCAGAAAATTAGAATAATTTAGAAAATATCTGTTCTACTCATCCATTAGTGCCACCCATTATCAAGGGAGCCACTAGTGATCTCCCTGAGGAGGTCTCCGTGCTGGTGAACAAGAAGGCACTGATGGAGTGTCTAGCCAGTGGCAGCCCAGCTCCAAAGAATTCTTGGCAAAAAGATGGACAACCTCTGTTAGAAGACGGCCATCATAAATTTTTATCCAATGGAAGAATCCTACAGGTAAAAGCAAGACCTTAATTTTTTTTAAATGCCATGTTGACTTTATAATTGAAAATTGTGTCTTTTAACTTAAGAATAATTGTGAGGGATTTGGGAAATCTCCAAATAAATTTTGCTGAAAATTTGACATTAGCTTTCATCTCAAAATAATTTCTTCCCTTGGCCCAAGAAAGTATTCCTTCTTGTTTGAAAGCATTCTAACAAAAGTAAGACCAGTGTGCTACGGAGACAGGTTGCCTGCAGCCACGCACTGACCACTGAGACATGTGAATGCATATTCTCCTTGGAATGTTTACGAACTGGAACCCCAGTGGCAATACTTTTTTACCTTGTATGGTCTTTATGCTAACTACTTACTATAAGCAAATTAGTATTCTAATCTTTTCCATTGTGATTTTTTTGTGGTAAAATCCTAGGTGGTGCCCCGTAGATTATAATTGGTCTTGTACTGGCAAAGGGTTGATAATAATAAATAGTAATGAAAATCAAACAAGTATCCTGGATTGCGATTGACTGATGCACTAGTGATAATTGACTAATGTCTATGTTTTTCTTTTCAAGGGTCCTAAAAGAAAGTTAAAGACAGAACATCAACTATTTTGTTAAGATATAATTTAATTAATTTCTTTGTATTCTACTGATTATGGTCCTGAATCACCCATTAGTCTTACAATTGAACACCCCTAGACCTCTGTTTTTAGCCAAACAATATATACACCTGAGAACAATGAACCATTTGGGATAAAAAGCACAGTATTTGCCCAGAGACAAAGTTCAGAAAGTAGAAAGGATTGTGTGGGTGGGTGTGGGGTTGGGGAATGAAACTAAGAAACAAAGAGGAAATGGGATAGGCTATATTGAGGGATTGCAGTCAGTGATATAAAGCAACATGAGTTTGAATTCTTAAATGGAAAACCGATTTGCTCTATAAATCTTCACCCAATTCATAATAAAAAAGTTTTTGAAAACAATTCTGTTTAAAAAAAATTGTTATTTGATTGACCTGACTTTGAAAGTCAGTGTCAGCATTATTATGTTGGAAAAAATGCATGTCCATCTTTTATTAGCCAGCGTCTATATGTTTTGTATCCTTAATGTTAAAAGTCATGAAAATTATGACATGCTGCTTTATTAAAAGATTTAATATTAATTTCTTCATTTTCTCCTTAGATTCTAAACACTCAAATAACAGATATCGGCAGGTATGTGTGTGTTGCTGAGAACACAGCAGGAAGTGCCAAGAAATACTTTAATCTCAATGTTCACGGTAAGAACCCAGTTCCAGAATGCATCTGTTATTCTAATTCAGGGTACTTATGAGAAAGTGAGAAAGCCATGTTTCAGATGCTGTAGGCTCATTTTGTACTTTGTAACTTGGACAATGTGTAGAGCCTGAATTCATTCAATCTCCTCCCTTTTTTTCTGCTCACCGTAGCTAGTAAGATTTATAAAGTACAAATCTTCAAGGAAGTCCATTTTTATATTATTTCAAGCCCTTGAAAGGAACTAGTTTCTCCTACTTATTTCAAAGCAAAATCAAAATTTGAAATCCCAAGGATCATACTTTTGTTGACAGAAAAAGATAGGTCTTCTTTTCTGCTCATGAAACTGAATCCATGGATTTCTCATCGGAACCATTCTCTTTCTGAATTTCAGAATCCATGTTGAGCTACATGCGCCAGTGTCTAACATACTCAGAGAAAAGAAAAAAGTCACTTTGTGGGGTTAAATACTTCCTGAAAACTACCCTTACACTTCATTCATCAAACTTCATCAAAATGAAGTTCTAAAAACATACTGAACACTCCATAGTCTTTTCCTGCAAAAAATCAGTTGAGTGTTTACACCAAAAAAATAATATGTTGTTTTTATTTTTATCAGGGTCCAGCTGCTTCCAGAATATTGAATTATAAACTGGAAATGATTATAAAATGATTCTCTCACATACCTTATACATAGAAAAATTTTTCCTCATTTTATAAATGGATGAAATTTAAAATTTTATAAAATATACATTCTCATCAAAATGCTTTTATTTATCATCATGGCCATTATGTTTTATGCCACATGTATACGTAGTTTTCCGTATTTAATAATTTTTTATGTTCATATAACAGATAACTGAAACATTTTTATTGTTTATTTCCAGTGCTTAGTAGATTGACTAACACATAGTAGGTAGTTAATAAATATTTTATTGAATGAATTAATTTGACCATGCAAAGAACAGTTGTTGTGAATTTCCAAGTAGACTGTATAAACTTAGATATTTATATATATAATTCTGTGAAAGCACACATTAAAACAAAGTAGAATAAATGTTGAAAATAAAAATGCTGATGATTTTTCCTGATTCTCAAGTAAAGAATTCTCCATGTGGTCACAGGCACCTTGTGAACACTCCACTTAAAGTAACTGCATATCTCTCTTGTATTATCTGTATGTATCTGTATCTTTACTTTCAGTCCTTCGCTCTGTGATCAGTGCTCCTAGACATTGCTTAGCTTGGCCTCCCTAAACCTAGAAGGATGCCTTTAAATGAAGGCGTTGATGCATACATATTTGCAGCTCATTTATTGTGTTTCCTCTATGTGCATTGCCGCTGCTTTGTGCGTAGTTGGCATGCATGAAGTGACACCTCAGGTGCCTTGAGAGGAAGTAGCTGCATGCGTTTTCCCACAATTCATTGGAGGTCAAGCTGGGTTTCTACCCTTCCTGGTTAATGGTGTCCTTAACCCCTGACCACCATCAATTACCCAATGAAATGTGGGAAAAGCTATTATCAGGAGAAGTAATTAAAATGAGTGTCACTAAAATCCACATCATTTATTATCTTCCACTACACCTGTACTCCGTTACTGACCCATCAATTCTTCTAACCCTGCTCCCTTCTTTACTGTCCTCCCAACAAGTGTAACTTTCATAGCACAGTATTTTTTAATTTATACCCTTAGCCCATGCCTTTCAGAGCTTTTGTAGCCTAAGTTCCATTTTGTATGTTTATAATAATAATAGTAACAAAATTAGTTCTTGAGTGCCATCAGGTCAATAATTATCGACTCAGCAAACCCTAATGACAGGGTAGAACTGTGCCATAGGGTTTTCTCGCCTGCATGTCACCAAGTCTTTCTTCTGAGGAGCTTCTGGGATGCATTTGAACCACCACCCTTCAGGTTAGCCTCTGAGCTCTTACCTGTTGTGCCCCCAAGGGTTCCTTTAACAGAAATATGTTGACTGCTCAGTGCCTACCAGGTAATGTGTCAAGTGCTTTACATATGTCATTTCACTTAATTATTCTAATAGCTCCAGATGTGCCATTGTATACCTCCTTCACAGATAAGGAAGCCGAGTCTGAGCAAGCATAAGACACATGTCCAAAGTTACACAGACTACAAATGAAGAACCAGGATTTTACCCATTGACAGTCCTATTGCAGAGCTTTCTCACTTAGTGTCTTTATGGGTTTATTGAATACTTGTTAAATTTCACATATACACCATACTTCTACCAATGGAGCTAACCTAACCGAACCAGAGTAAGAGTTAGAGTCAACCAGTTCTCCAAGTCCTCTCTCTAGTACTTAATGTCCTGTCCTTCAAACTCTGTGAGCCATCTGGGGGCGATGTCCTTTTTTCCGTTCCGACTTTCACATATGCTGTGTTGTCGCTCTGGCATCCTCATCCTTTTCATCGGTTCCACGTAATCAAGTCCTGGTCATATTTCTAGTCATATTAGATGTCATTTCCTCCAGGATATTTTCCTAATCCTCCAATTAGACTAAGTGTCTTCTCGTCACTTATAATGACTAGGTAGTACAAAACAATGATAAATGAAGAACATTAGAATTAATAAATAGATTAAAAATCAATCATATAATATATGCACTACTTTTTAATTTGTTTTTAAGACTTCAGTCAATATAGCCAAATATTATATTAATTATATTTCAGAGTGTATTTTGAAAAAGAAACAGTGTACCCTTAGTCACATACTAACCTGCCTTTACCTCACTTTCCCCCTCTATTATATCTCAATAAGAACGAGATCCACTGTCAAAGGTTGGAGTGGGTGTAGATGTGTAGGTAAGGTGTATGGGCCAGTGCCTGGGATAATGTAAGTACTTGAAGCTGTTAGCTATGATGTTTATTTCAGTGTCTGGGAATCCCTCCAGATTATCAAATCTATGTGGGTTCTGTCTAAATGTTTTTCATGCTGCATCTTCAGTACCTAGCACAAGGTGTGTCATACAGTAGCTACAACCATAAATGTGTGATAAACAAATTAATGAACAGCATTACAATTCATTAATGGGTTAAAAATAATCAGCCATGTAGTACTTAAGGGGAGAAAAAGGGCTGTTGGTCTTTTTTCATATTTTACTTTTCATTTTTAAATTTCAACCTAATTTAACAAAGTATTATATTAATTATATTTCAGAGTTCATGTCTCACTACTTTCATCATCAACCTAAGGAAGAGCCTTTTCTTCTCTTGGTGTTGAATCTTGCCGTTCATGGATCCATTCGTTCAGTTACTCATCCCTTTACTGTCATGCTTTTCCTCACGTGCTTTCTCTCATCCTCTTCCTAGAGCCCTACTCAAGTGATAAGATGCTTTTACTTCCATTTGCATGAAATGTAAATTTCATCCTAGGTATATATTTTAAAGTATGTAAAGCATGTTACATTAAGAAAATCATTATTTTTGCTGCACTTTTTCTCTCAGCGTATTTCTTAAATAGCCATATTGGCATACAATTTGCATATTATATAATTTAATAGTTCAATCATCTTAAGAAGAATTGTGCAATCAGTTTCAGAACATTTTCTCCCTTCTTATATTTGCTGTTAGCTCCCCATTTCCCTCCAGCATCCCCTGCCGTGTCCTTGTCTTAGATAGCAAGGCTACTCACATCCCCGGGTTATGGTCACAAGGACTCACCAGAGCCTTACTCCAAGTGGGGGTCCCACAAATGGATTCTGGGCTTCCACGGTCATCATAACTTTCAGAAATGTTAGTGTTCAGAATTTAAATTTATAAATTTAGCTCTACTGATATCCAGAAAATCTTACAAAACAAAACCAAGAAACAGCAAGTAAAACAATACCAAAACAAAACAGAAAAATTTCAAATGAAAAGAAAGCAAATAAATATAAAAACTGGAACAACTTTCAAATGGGCCAAAAGGAACATCGAGTGATTAGGTGTTTTACTTTAACCTAACTCCATCTATCATAATTGACCTTCCAGTGTTCTCTGACTGACAACATAAACCCTGGCTTTGGGTGAGAGGAGATTGACCAGAGGCTTACTCCATTTAGAGACTCTGTAAATGGATTTGGGCTTCCAGTGTCAGTGTAGCTTTCTGCAAACTTGTTCAGAATTTTATTCAGCTTAGATGTTCAGAAGTTAAGCTCTAACATATTTCTCCTCACTGGATTTGGATTTTATTATTTTCAATCCTTGGATCACACAGGCTGTGATGCTCCTTCCATGTGGACTTAGTTGACTCCTCACTTAGATAGCTGCTTGTTTTAAGACAAGCCTTTAAAACCTCAGATCCTATTCTTTCTGATAGCCGGGCACCATCTGATTTCTCCACCAAGATTATCAGCAGCACCCACATCTTCAGTGATCTCTTTATGAGGGCAAGTATTGAGGAGGACTCTGCCATAAGAAGTAATTGTCCGGCTTCCCTCCCGGCGCGGCCCCTGGCACCAGACATGGCTGTGCCTTCCGTCGTGGCTACGTTTGCTGCCCGCTTGCTCCGCCCCGCGTGGAGCTGCCGGTCCGCCTCTCGGCAGTGCGAAGTGAAGCTAGCCCAGCAGATCAAGCAAGAAGTGCGGCAGGAGGTGGAACAGGGGGTGGCATCGGGCAACAAACAGCCACACCCGAGTGTGGTTCTGGTCGGTGAGAACCCTCCTAATCACTCCTACGTCCTCCCCAAGACCAGGGCCGCTGCAGACGTGGGAATCAGCAGTGGAACCGTCTTGAAGCCCGCTGCAATTTCCGAGGACGAGCTGCTGGACTTAATCAGTAAACGGAATGGCAATGACTGTAGATGGCCTCCTTGTGCAGCCTCCTCTCCCAGCGCACATCTGCACTGCTGTTTCTCCAGACAAGGACGTCGACGGCTTCTGCATCATTAACGTCGCCCGGATGTGTCCGGACCAGGATTCCATGTTACCTGCTACCCCATGGGGCGTGTGGGAAATAATTAAACGAACAGGAATTCCAACCCTAGGGAAGAATGTAGTTGTGGCTGGGAGGTCCAAGAACGTTGGCATGCCCATTGCCGTGTTATTGCACACTGAGGGTGCCCATGAGCGCCCTGGAGGTGATGCCACTATGACGATATCTCATCGGCACACTCCCAAAGAGCAGCTGAAGAAACACACCATTCTTGCAAACATTGTGGTGTCTGCTGCAGGCATTCCGAATCTGATCACAGCAGACATGATCAAGGAAGGAGCAGCTGTGATCAATGTTGGAATAAATAGAGTTCAAGATCCCGTAACTGCTAAACCCAAGTTAGTTGGAGATGTGGTTTTCGAAGGAGTGAGGAAGAAAGCCGGGTACATCACTCCAGTCCCCGGCGGTGTTGGCCCCATGACAGTGGCGATGCTCATAAAGAACACCATCATTGCTGCCAAAAAGCTGCTGAGACCGGAGGAGTGGGAAGTGAAGTCGAAAGAGCGTGGAGTCGCATCCAACTAAGGATTGTAGCTTCTGCGTCACCAGCAGCGTTCCAAGCCAGCACACGAGGCAAAACAAGCCACTAGAAAATGCAATATTCTTTATTTATTGGACTGAGATGGTGCGAAGCGATACTTTGTATTTATTGAGAGCTTCAGTGGGTGGGCGTTTGCACAGGTAACCGAAGTTCCTTACAGGGGAGCACTCCCGTTGTTGTGCTAGGTCTTAGGGTCTAGCCAAGAGCAACCATTAACTGAGTGATTTAACACGGGGGCATTGTCTCATAATGGTGCTGAACTCTGCCCTGCCACTTCAGTTGTTAACATTGGCCTTTTCTAGAGTGACTTTTCCCAAGTGCTACTCCAATCAGAACTGATAGTTTAGGTTTCCTACCTGCTGAGTTCAGCCCGTCAAACCAAAAGGGCAATGTTATAGCGAGCACTGGGACAGATACAAAGGAGACATGCCAGTCATTGGGTACTTTCTTTACAAGTGCCCTGATGTGGACGTGTATTCATGGGTACCCAGGCTTATCTGAATAAAATAGAATTGGGCGGGAACGAAGGAAAGCTACCTGCCAATTTACTCCTCAGCTGTCTGTCACACAGAGGGTTAACTGTTACAGCTCTTGTCTTATGTCTGGTACCATTCAGTGAGCTGTCCCATGTTAGTTTTCCAGAGCTTGAGAAACGTATTATTTTATAAATGATTCATGTTTGTTGCCATCTTTGGCTTTGGCTATATCTTTACACTTTATTGTTAATGTTTTATACTAGTAAAGGGTATCTATGTGTTTTCTTAACTGATACAGAGTTAGGTGTGGTGATCATTAGGCAGCTTATGTTTCAAGTATGTAACTTATCTTTCCACCAAAGCGTTGTCCAGGAGCTGTCTGGTTTTCTCCGATGTACCTGCTGGCTTACTAGAAAGACTTTTAAGAGCTTGAGTTAATAACTGAAGGAAGCCAGACTGTGATGAAAGCATTTTTTATTATTTTTTAAAATAAAACACTTATGTCTGGTAAAAAAAAAAAAGAAGTAATTGTCCTTAGGTGACAGCTGTGATTAAGTGCAAACCCCAAATCCATTCACATCTCTATGATTTATAGATGTTTCTGGTTCACTTTAGATACATGGTTATCATTTTATAATAGAGAACATTATAAATCATCCCATGGGGCATAATATAATTCTACTAATAGTATCATCAATTTGGCCAACAGTATAAAGTTAAAACACTGTTGAAAAAGGGAATTACACATGTGTAGGCCAGCTTTTAAGTCTGCAGTACATGAATTGCTGACTCTTACAGATTAAAAGCTTAAGTGACTGGACACTATTAAACAAAAAATGAGGGTTGGGGATCGGGAAAAACTTTCAGTAACACTCATTCACAAAAGCAGAATCATGCTTGCCAGACTATTATAAGTCATAAAAGAGCAAAGAGATTATAAAATAGTAAATATATAGTAATCCCAGGACCCCATTCATTGGGCACCCTCAAAGCAAAAGACCTGAACCAAAGTTGCACGACCCCAATTTCATAGCCCTCATCTACTTCTCACACTAGGGCATTTCAGCCTTAAATCCAAGGGGTTAGGTCTGCTCCTTACATCTGCGACAGGTGACTTTGAGGTAACACCTAGTTTGCTTAGTGGGGTTTCCAAACTGAATCATTGTAGTGTGCCTCAAAAGGACAGAGTAGAAAGTCCCAGTTCCCTAAAACACTGGGTCATGAAGGGCTGGATATAAACTAGGTCAAAAGTGTCCAATTAGGAACATAATACTAGGTGTAGTCTCCCCTTGTGATGTATATAGGTATTGTTAAGCATTTTTTTCCCTGATAGCAGGTTGCCTTAATTGGTTTATCCCTAACAGAAGTGTTGTCACCTTCTTCCAGACAGACATGCCTCTCTCACCCTCCTGTCCTGCAAAGGCCCAACTATGTCTTGACTTGAATTTCCAGTAAGGTTTGCAAATCACTCTTGTAAGAGTGTCTGTTGATTGGGGCACCATAGAATAAAGACTACAATTCATTGGCTTCCCCCTCTCCCTTCAGACACTGACTCCAGATGAGATGAGACCTCCTCTATCAAAGTAGTTTTTTAAGATATACAAAGAAAAGGGGTGATCTACAGTTCATGCTTAGTGTTCATGGGCACTAAGAAGACTCACTGCCTCATTGCTTAGGACATCAGATTAGGAGATCACACGACCTGAGAACGGAAGCCTGCCTTTGCCTTCGTGTTTATTCTTATAGTAGTGGAGTCATACAATATATATTAGTTTTGTGACTAACCAACTAGCCAACTTCACTCCGTATAATAGCTTCCAGGTCCATCCATGTCTTGAGATGTTTCATGAATTTATCATTGTTTGTAAGGGATTCATGGTATTCCATTGTGTGCATGAACCTGAATTTCTATATCATTCTTCTACTGATGGGCATTTGGGCTCTTTCCGCTTCTCGCTGTGGTGAACTGTGCTTCAGTGCACATGGAAGCACGTACTTGTGTTCATGATCTCCTTTTTCAGTTCTTTGTGGTGCTGCTAGGTTGTAAGATATTTCTATTTTCGGTTGAGGTAGCACCATATCACTTTCCAAAATGAGTATACATGCTTAAAAGCCCACCAGCAGTCTCAGTACTATATTTGTTTTGTGATTTTTTTTGTGTGTGAGAAGGAATTCAATGCGATTGTTTATTTCTTAAATCTGTTCATCTAAAAAATGTTTGATGATACTGTTGGTCTACATTGTTGAAAAATTAATCTGTGCTCTGTGTTGATAAATACCCTAACATTAAATTTCTTAATACTCTTTCATTTGATTAAAAAGGAAGAAAATTTCCAAAAAAAAGGATATATTAAAAGAAGAATATTCTAATGTTCTTAGTAAATGTTCTTTATATATTTATAAAGCCATCTAAGCAATTACCAATTGTGTTAATAAATAAAATACAAATTATCTCTTTTTGAAAATTCTGGTATTTTCTCTAAATTGGAAAAGAAATGAAACTTCTGGGAATGAATTTGATGAAAGCATCCTAAGAAGAAAGACAACTAGAATGGTTTATATCACACATCCTTTAGATAGGTTTTAGGAACCAGGTAAATAATTCATAACGTGTTACTGATATTATCTCAGCACTTTAACAAAGTAGCTCAGCACTTCTTTGACTTGTGTGTAGTACATTGTAGTAGCTATGCAGATAGCATCAGCATTTACTTTTACTACATTTACTATTGTAGTTCCTCCCAGTGTCATTGGCCCTAACCCTGAAAATGTGACTGTTGTGGTGAACAATTTCATCTCATTGACCTGTGAGGTCTCTGGTTTTCCACCGCCTGATCTCGGCTGGCTCAAGAATGAACAACCCATCAGCCCAAACACAAATGCTCTTATTTTGCCTGGTAAGCAATCTAGTATTCTTGGAGTTCTTTAATATGCTGCGATATGGTACATTATGGAATGACACAGGATAATATAATAAACTTAATATAATATACTAAAATATTCTAAGACGCATTGCCCTTTTCCTTTATCTTAATACAAGTGAGATTTCATCCTAGTTCCCTCCACTTTTTGTCTTGCTCCATTTACTTTTTTCTAATTAAATGCTTTTCTTTCCTTGTTTAACATCAGTAGGATAAGAGTTGTATAAACTTTTATGATCATAAAGGGAAAGCACAATAACAATGCTTTCTTCAGCAAATTATGAAATTCAGGAATGGATGTGCTTATTAGTTCAATGATAGTGGTAGATTAGCAAATATCACTTTCAGGACAACAATCCTCTGATTGTTTTTAAGCAATATTAAAGTTGTTTGAAGATGGATGTATACACAGAGTGAAATTACTGCTTGTTTAGTAGAATCTACATCAGAATATTCTATGAGCCATGTTTGGGTACTAGGGAGACAAATCCTGTGAATGTCTTTCTTTGTAAAGAAATCGAATCAACAATAAAGCAAGGATCTGATAAAACTGACACCATTCTCCCATTTTTAAATATAAAACCTTTCTCTGTCTACTTTGCTCCAAGGGAAAGAACACATGTTGCTACTTATCTTAAATAGAACAATTTCTATATCACTCTTCAATTTGTATTATAGGTGGTAGAACTCTGCAAATTATTCGGGCCAGAGTATCAGATGGTGGTGAATATACTTGTATAGCTATCAATCAAGCTGGTGAAAGCAAGAAAAAAATTTCCCTGACTGTTTATGGTTTGTTGTTACTCTCGTCATAAAATTATTTCATTTTCAAAACAGTATTAAATATTCTGTTAATGACAAAATTTTTTCTGGTTTTTTTCTTTCCTGCAGTGCCCCCGAGCATTAAAGATCATGGCAGCGAATCTCTTTCTGTGATTACCGTAAGGGAGGGCACGTCCGTGTCAGTGGAGTGTGAGTCCAATGCTGTTCCACCTCCGGTTGTCAGCTGGTATAAGAATGGACTGACGATAACAGAATCTAATCGCCTGGAGATTTTATCAGACGGACAAATGCTGCGCATCAGGAAAGCTGAGGTGCATCTTTGATTCTTGCCTTCGTGTCAGTCCTCTGTGGGATGATGGAAGAGATAGTTGCAAGTTCCAGGCTACCTTTATTATAGTCAAAATGACTTTAATTTTAAAAATTAAGTGTTGGCTGCCATTGATTTTATTTATTTCTTTTTTTATTTTTTAAAAAGGAAGGCTTGCAGAAGGCACTAAGAGCTGGGGCATTTGAACATAAAGATGACTGATGATTTAATCTACACTGGAATAGTGTGATTGGTCATCTATAACATAATGGAGCACATACAATAGTATCTTTTTCTTTTAGGTATCTGACACAGGCCAGTATGTATGTAGAGCTATAAATGTAGCAGGACGAGATGATAAAAATTTCCACCTCAATGTATATGGTGAGCATCTGCCTCTAATACAACTCTTTTTCCCCCAGATATACAAATGAACGAAATTGCCCTGGTTAGCTTCATGAGGACACATGGTTTTCTTCTGTCTGTTCACAGTTCCACCCAGCATCGAAGGGCCTGGAGAAGAAACCGTTGTTGAGACCATCAGCAATCCTGTAACCTTAACCTGTGATGCCACTGGGATCCCACCTCCCGCGATAACATGGTTAAAAAACCACAAGCCCATAGGTAACGGAGTTGTGCATGTTCTTGCTGTGTGGGTTTATTTTCCTTTGTTCTTAGTTAACTAGATTTTAAAATTAGCCCATTTTCAGTATTATGTCCACAGCTGTGTTCCTAAGAAGAAAACCGAAAACGAAGCAAACCGAATCTGAGGCCAAGGAGTTGATTCCAAGTCACGGCAACCCTCCAGCACAGAGTAAAACTTCACAGACACAGGTTGCCAAAGGAAGGACGGATGAGTTTAAGCTGCTGCCTTGAGGTTAACAGCCAAGCACTTAGCAACTGAGCCACTAGAGCTCCCCTAGAAACAGACTGTGTATAGACAACAGAAGTAAACACTACTCCGGAACTACTCCTGCATTATCCTGCAATGATAGAAATCAGTCTGTAGGTGGCTACCCAGGCAAACAGGAAAGGTGAACTGGTATGGATAGGCAAAAGGGGCTACCAAACATCTGGGAGACAAAATTTCTACATACTCCCTATTGTAGATATATCCATAGGAGCTTCAAAATTATCTTTTAATTCGATTTTTCCATGAATTTTTTGAAGCCTCCTCATATGTAATAAAACTGGAGCAAAATTATATAAACCCATCAACAACTTGAGGGCATGTGTCAAAGGACCTAGGGGCTCAGTATTACAGAGGCAAGAGACATCAGGTCAATTGGCATATATAGTCGATAAAGGCAGTGTTCTACATGCGACTTCATGAGTATCAACCAGGGACTGAAGAGACTGTGAATAGTCCTCTAAGGTGAAATTGTTCATTTCTCCCTATCTGAAGCAAATAGGAGTGAAGAAAAGCAAAGATGCAAGGAACTGATCAATCCAAAAGACTACTTGAACCTCACTATCCATAATCCTCACTGTCCATAATCCTGAGACCAGAGCACTAGATGGTGCCTGGCTGCTACCGCTAGCAGTTCTATAAGGGCTCGCAATAAAGACTTCTGTACAGTCAGAGAAAAACGTGGAACAGAGCTCACACTCAATAGAAAAACAAAACACCAGGTCCACTGGACTGAGAGAGGATGGGGGAACCCCTATTGCCCTTCGTCACCATCACTTCCAGAATCCTTGTGACTCAACTCTCAGCCAAACAATAGACAGGCCTGTGGAGTGAATAATAGAACCAGGGAGGAATGCAACCTCAGAAAAATCAACCACGCCAGAATGAAAGATTAGCCTTTGCCCAAGGATACAGCTTAGTTTGGAAGACAGGAATGGATAGGAAAGTTCTAAAAAAGTCCTCACTGCCATCCAATCTATTCCGACTACTCTACCTTCTATGAGTCCGAAAGGAACGGGTAATGGAAATGGTGAGCACAAGGAGGAAATGGAAGAGTGCTGTTACGTTGTGCAGACTGCAGTCAGTGTCACAAGACAAAATGTGTCTAATTGAATCCAGCTGGCTCTATAAACTTTCACTCACGTAACGATAAAAATGTTTGCTAAGATTAAAAATAGAATGGTTACTTTTATGAAATGTATCTCTTTCATTTTTCAAAAAAGATTCATTTGAAATAGAAATACAATTGAAAAATTTGAAGAAAATTTATATCATACAGAGCAGTGGTTCTCAACCTGTGGGTCGTGACCCCTTTGGAAGTTGAATGACCCTTTCACAGGCGGCACCCAATTCATAACAGTAGCAAAATTACAGTTATGAAGTAGCCACGAACATAATTTATGGTTGGTGGGTGGTCACCACAACATGAGGAACTGTATTAAAGGGTCGCCGCATCAGCAAGGTTGAGAACCACTGATATAGAGCAAGACATTTTTATGGTGAATTGCAGAGATATTTAACTGAAAGCTTACCTATGTGTTGTTTTGCTTTGCTTTGTTACTACAGAAAATTCTGGCTCACTTGAAGTTCATATTTTGTCTGGAGGTAGCAAACTCCAAATTGCTCGGTCTCAGTTTTCAGATAGCGGAAATTATACATGCATTGCCTCAAATATGGAGGGAAAGGCACAGAAAAATTACATGGTTTCAATTCAAGGTATGTCAGATACACTGAGATTTCCTTATAATTTCTTTGTTATAGTCCATTTACAATTCAAAATAAGACTACATTTAAAACTATACTTGATAGTACAAAATATCTTCAAAGCAACCAAAAAACTCAATTTCCTGTCTTACAATTATCAGAAAATTTTATTTTCATAAATATGGACAGATATATGAGAAAAAAATGGAAATTCAGTGAGCTCATCTTTATGTAACTGTTACCTTTCTAAAACATATATTCTATTGAGTTCATGTTTATTGATTTTAAATTAGCATAATTTAGTTGATCCTAACCTTGTAGAATTATTTTAATTTATATTGATAAACCAAAAATCCACTGCAATTGAATCAATGCTAACTCATGCCAACACCATACAGTTTCATGAGATTCTAACCACAGGTAGGGGATTCTATACATATCTAATAAACATAAATCTATACTATTTTGAGGTGAGGACAGGAGTATTCACTTTTCCAACAAATATTTAGTGAAATGACTACTCTGTCCCAACTAGAGCAGACCAATCACTGCACAAAGAACTTAACTTTGATTCCAAAAAACTTCTGTTTAAAAACTTTGACCAAAAAAATAAATAAATAAAATTCAAAAAATAAAGAAATAAATAAACTTTGACCAAATATCTTAAAAGAAATGAAATTGAACTTGAAACACCAACTTAAAATTTTAAATGCCAATATAACAAATTTATGATTTTTTAAAGCTATTTTTCATGAAGTATAAAGTAATGGTGACTATTTACTATCTACCTGTTGCATGTTTTGCTAAACCTGTTGCCTAATGAATGACAATAAAAGTGAAGTTGAAATAAATGTACGTGTATCAGTTCTGCTTTCTATGTAATGACTGAGGATGCGGTGACATTTCCAAAGTATAAATGGAAAGCAATAATTACATATTAGAGTTTCAGTTTTGGAAAGTGCATTCCCAATTATGTGTAACATAGTAATAATAAAAATAACTCTGACTATGGAATATGTGTACCAAAACTTGTGTTCTTTATGATGTTTTTGAGCTAAGAAATTACATTTGAAAAAGTATAGACATCTATGTTAAATATACATAAGTTCTAGTTCAAAGACAAGGTAAAATCAAGAGCCTATCATATATTAGATAGTTAATATAGGACAGCTGTGAGTAATGTGCTGATTGACTTGAATCTTTTTTTTAAAATCATTTTATTGGGGGCTCAGACAACTCTTATCACAATACATACATACATACATCCACTGCTTCAAGCACATGTGTACATTTGTTGCCATCATCATTTTCAAAACATTTTCTTTCTAACTCAGAATCTCATCTTCGGGATGACTACATTGATATTTTAAGAGATTGTGCAGATATATATTGGAAAATGTTTAAAGTAAACTCTCCTGACAAAAGTGCCTTAATTTGTAGACCTTCCCATTTCTGTGGTATCAGCAGTCTCACTATGTCAAGTTCAAGGTGCCAATATGACGTTACTGAACACAGAGTAAGGAAGACGTGCAAAATGGACTCTGTAGCACAGAGTGTGTGGCTGTAGCACAAAATTTCAGTTTCATAAGCTTGCCAGTAGATGTGAAATCGAAGTTCAAATCAGTCCATCGTTTGTTGCACATTATTAATAACTCAGGAAACTGAAAACTGCAGACAAATAGGAAAAGGAAACAGGCTAATGGATCTTAAAACCCACAGTACACTCATCTGTGATTCAGAAGAAATATAACTGAAACAGAGAAATTAAAAACAAATTGATTCACTTCTCGAAAATTTATGGAAAATTCATTAAAATCGATTATTTTTAATATTAAGAAGTTAACTAATTAACTGTATGCCTTTTATTTAGTAAATTAATATAAAAGTTATTCCAACTAGGACATGGAGATATATGTCCATGTGTTGTTACCAATCACTGTCACCAATTCTCAATACTAATTATGTCGACTTATAGGAATATTGAAGTATTACATTACCTACTGTGCATTTAACAATAATTCATGTGGATGAGAATAGTTTGATTTTTAACCTGAGCCTGGGGGAAACGGGCAACAGAAATGGCCTGTTTTTCTACTATTCTATTGTACTTCTTAGAATGTACACCTGTGGGCGATGTTAACGAGCTGCCTCATTGTTTCTCTTTAGTTCCTCCAAGTGTTACTGGTGCGGAAATGCCAAGCGAAGTTGGAGTCCTTCTTGGGGAAAATGCTGAGCTGGTGTGCCATGCAAGTGGCATTCCTACTCCCGTTATCCAATGGCTCAAAGACGGAAAACCCTTGGCCAGTGGTGAAACACAGAGAATACGGTGTGTTTACAAAGGACCTCCGCGTTACACATTACTTTATGCTCCCAATTTCTCATGAATAATAGTACCAAGTTCTGTCTTATCATGAACTTGGCTAACATACTGTCAAAACAAAAAGATAATGGGTAAAAAACAAGAAGATAAGGGGGGAGGGTATTGTCCAGATTTTTATCTTTTTTTTGGGGGGGTGAGTATTATGATAGCCTTATTTTTAAAAAATCATTTTATTGGGGGCTTATACAACTCTTACCACAATCCATACATACATTGTGTCAAGCACATTTGTACATTTGTTGCCCTCATCATTCTCAAAACATTTGATTTCTACTTGAGCCCTTGGTATCAGCTCCTTGTATTTTCCCCTCCCTCCCTACTCCCGCCTCCCTCATGAACCCTTTATAATTTATAAATTGTTATTATTTTGTCATGTCTTACACTGCCCAAGCAAAGCAGAGGCCAAGGGGCTAGGTGGCAAAGACTTTGAGGACCAAAACTAAGTGTGTGTATTCATAGGACCAAGAAGAGGCATTGCAGGAAAAAAGACTGCACCCTTACTGTTTTCTGATCGTGGCTTGTAACCTTTTATTTCCCAAGCAAATCCCCGTATCAGGAGTATTGTCTGTCAGTTCTGAGTGGTCATTGCAGTGGATTATCGAACCCGGCAGAGACTGGAGTGGACTCCTTGACATCATCTCCCTTTATCAGCTCCCACCATCACAACCGCCACTGTCCCCCGACCCAAAACCCTTATTCTGCTTGCTGTCCCTATAGGTTCATCAATCATATACCAAAACAGAAAAAACATATAACACCACTTCAAGAGGGTGACCACCAATGAGATAACAACTTTGAGATAAACTAATATAAACGAACAAAAACACAAAGCAAAATTAAAGAAAATGTTAAAACTAGAGCAGGCCCAGCGTGCATCTGAGAGGGGATCAACTGACAAGGTTTTAACTATTCAAATCAGGTTTATCCCTTTGATCTTCTCTGCTCATCTCTCCAATGCGCTCCTCCCATCTCTGTTATGGATAGAGGGAGTTCACAGGTGGCTTATTTCCTATGTAGCTCCCACAGATGTATCCTGGGTTCCCACTGTCATCCATTGCTTTCCGTAACCCGGATTCTCATGATTTAGACTCTGATACTCATCCCTTCTTCAACTTCGGATTGTATGCTTCGGTGACTGATGCTGGAGTGCTTCTTCCAGGCAGACTTAGTTGACATCTCACTTAGATAGCTGTTTGTTTGGAGACAACCCTTTAAGACCCCAGACCAGTGGTTCTCAACCTCCCCAATGCTGCGGCCTTTAATACAGTTCCTCATGTGGTGGTGACCCCCCCAACCATAAAATTATTTCATTGCTACTTCATCACTGTAATTTTGCTACTTTTATGAATTGGGCGACCCCTTTGAAAGACACTATTTTACCTGATAGCCGGGCATCATCAAATGTCTTTGCCATATTTTGCTATAGTATCCATATCCTCTATGTTCCCTTCCTGAGGGCTGGTATGGAGCAGGGCCATGATGTAAGAACTAATTGTTTTTAAGTTGGAGCTAGGATTTAGTGTGAGCCAAAAACCCGTTCCTGGATCCATGGTTTGTTTGTTTCTTTGTTTTTTATCTTCTTTGGGCTCCCTTTCAAAACCTCCATGTTCATTTACAGTAGAGAGTCTTAGCAATCATCCCCCTGGGGAATAATGATCTTCCATTAATGTCGTCTTTGATTAGCCCCTGGTACTAATGTTTTAACGTTCTGTTAAGAGAGGGATAGTGTCATTTTTATTTAACACAAACCTAATATTGGTACGTAAAGAAATAATATTCTAATCCTGATGGATAAAATGTTTTTCAATCTTTACTTATGATTGGAAAAGTAATTCCTAATCTGATTTTGTACATTTCATTTTTCTCATAAGGAGTTATTTGGTATACGAGGCACATTTATTATGGAATTTTAGTTGGTTGCCTGAAATCTGCATCAGTTTTACTAGCTCTGGTTTTAAAAGACTTCAGCATACTTAATGAAATTGTTTTAAGTGATGATGTCCAAGAATGAAGACATCACTTTGTGGGGTGCTTTTATAAAGGAACCCAATCATCTGGAGTGAGTATTTGGTGTCTTAGCTCCACACAAATCACCACAGTGACGCCGCCACAACCTTTTCCATAGGGTGACTCCAGACGGCAGCGCATTAAACATCGACGGCGCTCTCGAAACTGACATGGGGAAATATACATGTGTCGCTATAAATCCTGCAGGAGAAGAGGACCGGATGTTTAATTTGAACGTCTATGGTAAATTTGAACTCCCATCCTCTTTTGACCATGGTACCCTAGGAATCTACCAGAGAAAATGAAAATCTGGGAGTGTGTGTTTGGAACGTATATTTTTGCACTCAGGTGGCGTTGTGGTTTCCTTGGTCGTAGGGCAGAAATGGGGGCAATTGCAGTGAGATGATCTGAAGTAGCAATGTGCGTGCCGTTCTCTCTTCACACCCCCTTGCTCTCTCTTTCTGCATGGCGTAGTTCCACCTGTAATCAGGAGTAAAAAAGAAGAAGCAGAGAAACTAATGACTGTGTTGGATACGTCAATAAATATTGAATGCAGAGCCACAGGGACGCCTCCACCACAGATCAATTGGCTGAAAAATGGACTTCCACTGCCTCTCTCCTCCCATATCCGGCTACTGTCAGGAGGGCAGGTCATCAGGTCAGTTGTTATTGTGTGTAAACAATAAAGTAACGATCATTTTAGACCTTCCTTTGACTAACCTGTGTTTCAGAATATTTTTCCCATACCATTTACTATAACTCCCTCTCAGTGTGTTTTTCCAAAAGGGATGTTAACAACTATAAAAGTGAAATATTCTTATTCTTATTTAAAAGCTCATGTTTTTATAAATCTATACAAAATAGGTCATTTTATAGACAAAATAAAACCAGAACCCAGTGTAATCCAGTCAATTCTGCCCCACAGTGACCCTGCACAGTATTTCTGAGGCTGTAGGTCTTTACAGGAGCAGCTGCCTCATCTTTACCCTGGAGAGTGCCCGGTGGGTTATGGATTAACCCAGACCAGCTCTCAGTGAACTGGCCCTTGCATACCTGACATCATCACTAAATCTCCTTCGACAGACACATTATGACAGTTTTAATCCCAAGTACGACTCTTTTAGCTGAAAACAATGTATATGGCAGAAGATGGGGGGAGTTGCCCAAATAGTGAGATTTTCATGATAGCATTATTCTCTTATTAACACATATTTGAAAACCATTCAACCCTCAAAATGTACTATGTAATGGCTTACTGAAATTAAATTGCTTTTAAGTTATCTGTACTCTGTGTTATGTGGTGAGAGATCCAATAAGGTGCTTCTCGTTGTTTTTCAGGGTGGTGAGAGCTCAGGTGTCCGATGTCGGGGTGTACACTTGCGTGGCCTCCAACAGAGCTGGGGTGGACAATAAGCTTTACAGCCTTCAGGTTTGGGGTATGTTGCACACGTGACCCTACTTCTTTACTGTGCAACCGGTTCAATACTGAACATTGAGTTCAGTACTAAGTGTATATTTCAAAATGGACTTCCTTGTGGATCAGAAATAATTGGTAAGATGGGATTCTTGCTAAATAGTGGGAAATATATGCATAGACGGTAGGTGTGCATATTAATCTCTGTGGATGTGCATAACTCAAAGCCTACAATTTGAGAAACACAGTTATACATCACTTAATATCCACAAGAAGTTCTGTGGAATAGGATAGTATGTAATTTGAATGTTGTGTGACCAACATATTACAAACAGGAAAGAGAAGCTCAAGAAAGTCAATACCCACACTAGCACTGCTCTGATAAGGTACTGTGTGAAATCTTTCTACCCCTTCTTCAAGGCAGCTGCCTTGCCTGTTTCTCTGAACACCACTGCCATGCCCCAGACCACTGGGAGGACAGCCCTGTGGGAGGAGGAGCGGCCTCAGCACTCACGTTCACAGGGTCGACTGGGTCACTTGCCTTGATAAAACACCCACCTCAGTGGCTCTGGCAGCATCTCAGTACTCCCTGTCTGAGGCACTGGCACCCCTGCCACACTGGGGAAGGCATGGGACCCAGAGAGCTAATGAGAGAGAGCCTGAATTTCCATAGCTAGTACTTAGCAAAGCACATCCACTACATCCTGTTTTCCAATAGGATTTCTGAACTCCACTATAGCTGATGAGACCACAGATGTATATGCGATAGGGTATTGCTCAAATCATCTCGATTAATGTATACCCGTATTAAGATTTACTGATTCACGTTCCTCAAAATCCCCACTCCCATCTCAGAACAATTTACAACCCTTTCCTTTAGTCTACAAATGATTTTTGGTGGATTGTATAAAAGCCACTCTTGAATAAGACCTTAGTTATTCCACATAGGATAGTTGAAAATATATTATGATTTTTACATGCAATATAATAAAGAGACACATAAAAGAAGTTGAAAAATAATCCATAATTGTCCAAATAATTTAAAGAAATCATACATTGATTATATCTTCTATAAGAACATTGTTAAATTTGCCATTCTAATAGTTAAAAGAATAATAGAATAATTTGTATTTAAGTCATATTTCTCTATGTATTAATCATAATTATATTTTGAAACACATTTCTCTAATCTTTAGAAACATAAGCCTATTTAAATGTCCTAATAATCTCAAATATAAATTATGCCTGTCTTTCATTTTTGTTTAGTACCACCAAATATGGACAATGCTATGGGAACAGAGGAAATCACAATTGTCAAAGGCAATCCCACCTCAATGACATGCTTTACAGATGGAACTCCACCACCCAGTATGTCCTGGCTTAGAGATGGCCAGGCTTTGGAGCTTGACTCCCATTTGACAGTAAACACCCAAGGCATGGTCCTTCAGATCATTGAGGCAGAGACTGAAGATTCAGGAAGGTACACCTGCATTGCTTCAAATGAAGCTGGAGAAGTCCGCAAACATTTCATACTGAAGGTCCTGGGTAGGTAGACATTATAATAATGTAGAATAATTGGGAAGTCACAATAAAAGTTAAGTGAGTATGTCTAATTCTTAGAATTGTTTTGCTTTGGAACAAAAGTTGTGCGAACTACATTGTAATTTATACCAGAATTCACTTTTACTCTTAATTGAAGTGTGTTGAATTTAAATTGTGTTTTTTATCTACCTGTAAAAAAAGAAAGAAAACTCTTATTTGTAAAACATTATTGATTGCAATAAGTAATACAGCCAATGAATGATAACTTTTTAGTTTTTTCTCCCCAAGAACTAGAACCAGATCTGATAATAGCAATTTAATGAAAAAGCACACTATGTACACCAATATATATTATTAAAATTTTTAAACCGATTTAATCTGTAAACTGTAATTGGAATAGTCATTTCAAATAGCGTATTTCTATTTATTTCTGTGTGCATTTAAAGTATAGTAGGTACATATTTAAATGTGCATTTGCATGTTCTACGTGTTAATGAGTAGTACAAGGGGAATTTTTTTCTCATTGACTTTAGAAGAGAAAGGAAGCTATCTAAGACAATATGATTATTTTAATCACTAGGACCTCCACTTTGGAGTTGTGTGTATGTACTTACCACGATGCAGGTTACTCACTACCCAGGTTCCTTGGTGGCACAGAGGCACCACATCAAGAGCACAGAGAGGAACTTGGGCAAGATTCTAGTTTCGTTAGGAACTAGCATTTGCTTTCAGGTGTCCTATAATTGGTGCAATTCAAAACACCTATTGAAAGTTGATTATTGATATAATTTTTTAAAGTCAGTTTCTTTCTTAGATATTGAACTCTGTGAGGAAAAAGACAGTACCCATCTTACTGATTACTCTTTTCCAGTGCTAAGCATTGCATTTGGCTCATCAGAGAACCCGTAATGTTTATTTGCTGAATTGATTTGAACTGAATTAGATACTCACCACTGCTTCATAAGCAAGCCGAGCATAATACTCGAGTGTTGATGAGTCATCCACAGAGACAAGTGTGGTAGGAGAAGAGTACACCATGCTATTCACAGAAAGAAAACAGAAAGTGTGTGTGCACTTGTGTGTACATCTGATTTGTAGGAGAGATAATAAATGTGCGCACATAAAGTCAAGACATAAAAGAAACAACGTAACTGATAAATGATTGCATGCATTTATTATTCACATTTTAATATGTGTAATTTGTGTTGTTGAACATATATAACAGGCCAGGCACTTTCCCATCTACCATTATGATAATAATTTCTTTTTTGAGAGTAATTTCATAATATCATTATGAAAATAATGTTCTATGAAAAGCATTCCTAGCTAACATGTTGATAACATGGTGTGACATTTGCTGGGCCCTACCATTGATCTTGGTCCTTAAATGTCTATGTCTGGTGCAAGCACAGCTCGTAAACATGTAATTACTTCTAAATGGGATTATAGGATTGATGCGATATTTTGTAGGATAATAGGGTTCAGAGAAGATCTCTTTAAGAATGAAGATGATACCGGAAACATCCAAACTATTGCCATTGAGGCAGTTCTATCTCCTAGGCACCCTGTGGGACAAGTTATAATCACATGTGTTTCTGAGACTGTACCTGCTTATGAGAGTTGAACGGCTCATCCTGGTTCTGTGGAGTGATTGGTGCTTTTGAACTGCTGACCTTGTGGTTAGCAACCCAATGTGTAACTCACTATGCCAGCAGGGCTCCAAGTACCTGGAGCGTCAGTCACTACCATCAAGTCAATACTGATGCATAGCAACCCTATAGGACGGAGTAGAATGCACTGGGGTTTCTGATTCTGTAACTGTTTGTAGGAGTGGAAAGCCCCGTCTTTCTCCCATGTGGAGCACAGAAGTGAGTAAATAAGTGGAGAGTTTAAAGTTGGATTTTGTTGCTTCGTTTGTTTGTTGTTGTTGTTTGGGGGGGGTTGCTTTCTCGCCAAGATGAACGAGAGAGCTGGACATGTTCACCTGGACTGACTGAAACTGAATATAAAAGGAAGAGTGGCAAGCCACAAGACTGTGAATATGGGCAGAGACCAAATTGTGAACATTCTTGAGCTCGCTGTAGAGGACTGAATTTCATTACCATAACAATGGAAGAAACTTAAAGAGAGAGATATTACAGCCAGATTTCATTTTTTAAAAATGTCTCTGGTAACAGGCTAGAGAGTTGAATGAAAAGGCTCTTGTAGGCAAAACAGGGAGGGTAGAGGGAGAGTGGGTAGGAAAGAGGGAACCGATTACATGGAACTATATGTGACCTCCTCCCTGGGGGACAGACAACAGAAAAGTGGGTGAAGGGAGACATCGGACAGGGCAAGATATGACAAAATAACAATTTATAAACTATCAAGGCTCATGAGGGAGTGGGGAAGAGGAAGGGAGGGGAAGAATGAGGACCTAATGCCGGAGGTTTAAGTGGAGAGAAAATGTTTTGAGAATGATGAGGGCAATGAATGTACAAATGTGCTTTACACAATTGATGTGTGTATGGATTGTGATAAGAGTTGTATGAGCCCCTAATAAAATGATTTAAAAGAAAAGAAAAGGCTCTTGTATTCAGACAGGCCATGAAGTGCAGAGGTACAGTCTTGCATGGTGGCAGTGAGGAAAGAGAGAAAGGCTGCAGTTCTAGGAAATCAAGAACACAGAAACAGGATCACAGTCAAGTTAGTTTGGGGGAGTAGAAAGAACATTACTAAAGTACTATACTAAAAGCAATTCCCCAGCTAAAGAGCTATTAAGGATAACACCCCCCCCCCAAAAAAAAATCCACTGCCATCAAGTAAGTATTGGGAAAATATGGCCTTGGTGAAATACATTGGAGATAACTTGGCAGAATTTTGCAAGATCAACAACTTCTTCATTGAAAATATCTTTTTTCAACAATATAAATAGTGGCTATCCTCATGAACCTCACTAGATATAAGGCACAGGAATCAAATTGACTACATTTGTGGGAAGAAAGAGATGCCCTGGGAATGTAGTGGATGACTTTGGGCTCGTAACCATAAGATCAGCAGTTCAAAACCACTAGCTGCTCCCCAGTAGAAACATGAGTCTTTCTACATCCACAAAAATTTGCAGTCTCAGAAACCTATCCTTTCCCATGAGGTTGCTATGAGTCTGAATTGACTTGATAGAAGTGAATGGGTTGTGTTTTTTTTCAGCTTGTGAGTGGGAAGACATGATGGAGAAGCTCACTATCATCAGCCAAAACAAGACCAGAAGCTGGTACAGAAGACCATCCATTGCTCATATCCCATTTCAGGTTGAAATTAGATAAAATTAAAACAAGTCCATGAGACCAGCATATGACTTTAAGTATATCCCACTTGATCTTGGAGAAATTCCAAGAACAGATCTGATGCATTGAGCACTAATGATCAAAGACCTAATGGGTTATGGGATAACATCAAGACCATCATACATGAAGAAAGTAGAGGTCATGTGAAAGACAGAAAAGAAAAAATATCAAGTGGATATCAGAAGAGATACTGATATTTGGTTTTGGACATAGGGTAGTTAAAGTGAAGTAAGAGAGCTAAGCAAAATTTCAAATGATGAAGTAAAAGAGCTAAACAAATTTCAAAGGGCAACTAAAGAGGACAAAGTAATGTAGTATAGTGAAATGTAAAAAGACCTAGAGTTTGAACCCAAAAAGAAAGTCTGAGGAAAAACTCAAGCCTTAAGTTCAAATGCTGATTCATACTTTCCCTGATTTTAAACCATTTAGTATCTTGTTCTGTTCAAATGTCTGCCTTTTGGTCTACGTACAAGTTCCTCATCTGCACAATGAAGTGTTCAGGAATTCCTATTCTTTCCAATGTTTTAATTGAGTTGTTATGATCCACCCAGATGCATGTTTTCCAAAGCCCACAAAACACAAATAATGATTTTTCTGATGGTCTTTGCTTTCAGACAAAATTCGTCTGGCATTAGCAATGAAATCCATCATTCCATGTCCTCTCCTGAATCTGACTTGAGTTTCTAGCAGTCCCTGATTACTGCAACCATTTTTGAATTATCTTCTGAAAAAGTTTTCTTCCATACATGAATGCTGCTGTTCAGTAATTCCCCCATTACATTAGAACACTTTCACCTGGAATAGGCACACGTATGAATCGCTTCCTAGTGGTTAGCCATCCGTCCTCCAAATTTCTTGGCATAGTTGAGTCGACCCCTTCCAGGGCTGCATTTATTTATTGAAATATTTCAATTGTTATTCTGTCAATTATTCCAGCCTTGTTCTTTGACAATACCTTCCTTGCATCTTGGACTTCCTTCAATGTCATTGATTTTTGATCATATACTACCAGCTGAAATGATTGGATATTGATCCCATATTTTGTGCACAGTGATTCTGTCTATTCCTCCCAGGATGCTTTCACCAGCTTTCACCCCCTGCGCCTCTGCCTTTGAGTCGATTCCAACTTCAGGGACCTGATACGTCAGAGTAGAAGTACTAGGTAGGGTTTCTGAGGCTGTCAATCATCATGGAAGCAAACTGCCCCATCTTTGTGCCATGGAACTGCTGGCAGAGTCATACACTGACCTTGTGCTTAGCAGCCCAATGCTTGACCCAGTGTGCCACCAGACTTCCTCTTTTACCTACAGAATCCTTCAATATTTCGATTCAAGTCTTAATTTTTTTCTTCAGTTATTTTAGAAATTGAGAATAGACTTGAGAAATCTTTTCGTTTTCTAACTTCAGGTCATTAGACATTTCATTTTACTACTTTTGTCTTCTTGAGTTGCCCTTCTTGAGTCAAATCCATTTGACTCCTTTACTTCACCATTTCTTCCATTTACTTTAGCTATGCTACATTCTAGAGCAAGTTTCAGTCTGTTCTAACATCCATTTTTGTCTTTTATTGCTTTCTTGCCTTTTTAATTATCTTTTGCTTTATTCATGTATGATATCCTTAATGTCATTCCGCACCTTGTCTTCTTCCATCACTGGTGTTCAGATTCTTTCTGGAGATGGTCTGTCTTTAATTCACGTAGATTATACTCAAAGTCTTGCTTTCATTTTTCCAGCTTCAACTCCAGCTCGATTTTGAGCAACTGATGGTCTGTTCACACTTGACCCCTGGTCTTATTCAGATTGATGACATTGAGCTTCTGCGTAGTCTCTTTCCACAGTTGTACTCCATTTGATTCCTGTTGTTGTTTTTTTAATCAAACTATGTCCATTGAAAATGAATCCATAGTGAGTAAGTCTCTGGCCATGCAATCTCAGACATCATTTGTAACCTGCAAGACTATACTTGTCAAGTATTTATCCTTCTTATTTGTTGCCAATTGTAGCATTTACCAATGTATCAATGCATCTTGACGGCATGTTTGTTGAGTTGGACTTGCGGTTGCAATCCATACCATTGCCTTTCAGTCCATTCCAACTCACAGAGCCCCTTTGCAGGACTTCTGAGGCTGTAAATCTTAAGGGTGAAGAAAGCACTATCTTGGGCTCTTAAAGTTTCTTGCTAGGCCTTTGATTCTTTTATATCCTCTTAAAAAAAGAAACTTTAGAAGTACAATGATAAAAAATGAAAATTGTTTATACCCAGTTATAACAAATATGTTTGATTCTTGTAATCATAACCTCTTGATGTAACTTTTTTCCCTATAAGTTCTTCATGGAAAAAATAATAGTAAAATTTTATAGAAAAGCTGCTTGCGTTTGTAAGGATCCATCTGTATTTAAAGGGTGCAAAGGTATTTATAAGGTATTTGTAAGGATCCATCTGTATTTAAAGGGTGCAAAAATATTAGTATTTTAAATAGTTCTCTTTAAATCAATGGTATAAGGTAAGTTTGGTTTCTGTTTTCCTCAAATCTACATCGTTAGGTAAAAATGTTCTAATTATCATAATTCCAAATGATAAATACCCTCATGACCTGTTGAAAGTATGACACATTCTTTTTGAAATCATGCCTGTGAAAAACAGTAATGGCATCAAGGAATGTTCATCTAGTTTCCTTATTCTGACCAGTTCCTATCATGTGAACATAAACTAGAGTTGGTTATTGTTTTTAGGGTTTTATAATCAGCAGTATTTCATCAAACAAAAAGTTATTTTGTCACTTTTTTTATTCTCTTAAATAGAGCCACCTCATATTAATGGATCTAAAGAATCTGAAGAGATATCAGTGATTGTGAATAATCCAGTTGAACTTACCTGCTCTGCTTCTGGAATACCAGCTCCTAAAATTATGTGGATGAAAGATGGGAGACCCCTGGCACAAACAGATCAGGTTCAAACCGTAGGAGGAGGAGAGGTTCTTCGAATATCTAGTGCTCAAGTAAGTGTCAAAAGTTCATACTATTACTGTCTTTTAAGTTAAACATCACTTGCTAATACATGATAATAATTGTAGAAATGTTGTTGAATCAAATACATCCCAGGCTTAAGTAACTTTAGCAAAGATAGATTGCTTCTATCATATCTGTGATTGGATAGGTACTTACAGGGTGATGTGATTGAAAGAATTGAATTTATTTTGTAAGAATTCACTGACCAGACTTCCAACTTGTTCTAGATGTTGTGAGAAATATAAATGTATAAATGACACATCTCAGCCTTAAAAGAAGTTTCTACTTGTCTAGATAAAATTAAACTATACATAGATGCATTTAGAGGGGACACAAAGTAGAACCATTGAAAACAGTATTGTGTGTTGTTGTTATTTTGGGGAGCCATTGAGTCAGCTCTGACCCATAGCAACTCTGTGTCCAACACTGCACAGTCCTGCATGATCTTCACAATTGTCCCTCTGCCTGAGCCCAGTGATGCAGCCACTGTGTCAGCTCATCTCACTGAGGCCCTTCCTCGCTTTTGCTGCCCTTCTACTTTCCCAAATATGATGTCCTAGTCCAGGGATTGGTCTCTCCTGACAATATGTCCAAAGTATGTAAGACGAAGTCTTGCCATCCATGCCCCTAAGGAGCACTCTGGCCTTTCTTCTTACAAAACAGATCAATTTGTACTTTTAGCAGTCCATAGTATTTTCAATATTCTTCCCAGCACAACTCAAACACATTGATTCTTCTACAGTCTTCCTTATTCAATATCCAACTTTCACATGCATATGAGGCAAAGGAGAATTCCACGGCTTGGGTCAGGTGCACCTTAGTCCTCAAAGTGACATCCTTGCTCTTCAACATTCTAAAGAAGTCTTGTGTGGCAGAGTTTTCTAATTCAATATATCTTTTGATCTCTTGGATGCTATTCCATGAGTACTGACTATGGATCCAAGCATGATAAAATCCTTACTAACTTCACTCTTTTCTTCATTTATCATTATGTTACCTGTTGGTCCAGTTGTGAAGATCTTGGTCTTCCTTACATTAGGTTGTAATCCATACAATCCTTGATCTTCATCAGCAAGTATGTAATTTTCTCCTTGCTTTCATCAAGCAAGATTATGTGATCTGCATATCACAGGTTTTTAATAAGCCTCCCCCTGATCCTAATGTCACATTCTTCTTCATATAACCCAGCTTCTCAAATGGTTTGCTCAGCATACAGATTGAACATGTATTGTGAGAGGAAGCAACCTGATGCACACCTTTTCTGATTTTAAACCATGCAGTATTCCCTTGTTCTTTTTGCACAAATGCCTCTTGATCCATGTACAAGTTACAAATGAGCACATTGACGTGTTCTGGAATTCCCATTCTTCTCAAGGTTATCCACAGCTTAAGGGTCCATGTATTTGAATGCTTTGCCTAGTCAGTGAAACACAAGTAAACATCTTTCTGGTGTTCGCTACTTAGAGCCAAGATCTATTTGATATCAGCAATGATATCCCTTGTTCCATATTATCTTCTGAATCCAGCTGAACTTTTGGCAGTTTCCTGTCAGTGTACTGCTGCAACAATTGGATGATCTTAAGTAAAATTTGGGTTGGATATGATATCAATGATACCGTTCTATAGTTTGAGCATTCTGTGAGGTCACCGTTTTTTGGCCTTTTACAAATATGGATCTCTTCCAGTCAGTTGGCCAAGTAACTGTCTTCCAAATTACCTGATATAGACCAGTGAGTGCTTCCAGTGCTTCTTCAGCTTGCTGAAACATTTCAGTGGGTATTCCGTCAATATCTGGAGCTTGGTTTGGGGCTAAGGCATTCAGTACAGTTTGAACTTCTTCCTTCAGTACCTTCAGGTCTTGCTCATATGGTACCTTCTGAAATGGGAGGATGTTGACTAGTTCTTTTTGTTATGGTAATTCTATGTATTCTATCTGCTCTTGATGCTTCCTGCATCATTCAATATTTTACCTATAGAATCTTTCAAAATTGCAAATGGAGGCTTGAATTTCTTCTTGAGTTCTCTCAGTGTCCGACATTCTTCCCTTTTGGCTTTCTGATACTAGATCCTTGTACATTTTGTTATAATTTGGATTTGTCATAAATCAACGGGTTTGTCTTCTCGAACTGCCCTTTGAAATTTTCTGTTCAACTCCTTAACTTCATCCTTTCTTCCATTTGTGTTAGCTACTCTACAGTTAAGAGCAAGCTTCTGGGTCTCTTCTGACGTCCATCTTTGCTATTTTCTTTCATTCCTGTCTTTTTAATGACTTTTTGATTTCTTCATGAGTGATTTTATGTTGTCCTCCCACAATTCATCAGCTCTTCTGTCATTGGTGTTCAATGCATCAAATCTGTTCTTGAGATGCTCTCAAAATTCAGGTGGGAGAGACTCAAAGCCCTATTTTTGGCCCTTGAGAACCTGTTTTCATTTTCTTCAGCTTTATTCTGAACTTGCATATGAGCAATTGATGGTCTGTTCCACAGTCAGTCCCTGGTCTGGTTTTTTGCTGCTGATATTGAGCTTCTCCATTGTGTCTTCCCACAGATGTAGTAAATTTGATTTCTCTGCATTCCATCTGGGAAGTCCATGTGTACAGTCACTTTCTGTGTTACTGAAAAAGGTATTTGCTATGAATAAGTTGTTGATTTTCCAAATTCTATCATACAAACTCCAGCTTCATTTCTATCACCAAGTCCCTATTCTCCAAGTACTGTTTTGTCATCTTTGTTTCCAACTTATCATTCCAATCACCAATAACTATCTATGCATCTTGATTACATGTTTGATCAATTTCCCATGGAAGTCGTTGATAGAATTCTTCAATTTCTTCCTCACTAGCTTTTGTGGTTGGTGCATAAATTTGAAGAATAGTTGTATTATTGCATTCACTCAAAGGCAGATCTAATCCTATCATAGACAGCATTGTACTTCATGAATGAATTTAGGAAGATCCTTTCTGATAACAAATGTCATGCCATTTTTCATGTTTGTGTTATTCCTGACATAGCAAACAATGTGATTTTCTGATTCATAAGGACCAATAATAGTCCATTTCAGTTCACTGATGCTTAAGATATCGATTGTCATGCCTTCCGTTGCATTTTGGACAACTTCCAGTTTTCCTAGATTCATACTTCACACATTACAAGTTCCAATCCTTAGAAGATTTTTGCAGCCGGCTCTCTTTACCTTGAGTGGTGTCAGAGCAGCAAATGAAAATCCTGGAGACTCCACTTTCGCAGGCTTTACTGGACTCATGTCACCATGATCAGCACCCCTCCAAGAAATCGGCTCCTTTGAAGTCACGTTTTTAGTGCCCTTGGACCGAAGGGGGCCATCTGCTGGCATTATCTCTGACCGAGTTCTGCTTCCTTTGTTCAGGCTCTCACTTTTGACAGGGCTTTGAAGCTGTGCATACGGTTTTCAGCTGCTTCTTCCTCTGAAGCGGGCAGCCGAGTCTGTCTTCATTGTCTGTTCTTAGTCTGGAAGCTCTACTGAAACCTGTTCGCTTTGGGTGACTGCTGGCGTTAGAAATATCAGTGACCTAACTTCCAGCATCACAACACACAAGCAACCACAGTGTGACAAACTGATATATATATGTATATATATATATATATAAAATCTTTATTCTTTTGTTTATGCCTCTGAAACATATGCTTGCACATAATGGATGCCTTGAAAATTGCAAATTGTATGGCAAAGACAAGATGTTTGAAACTATTTCCCATGAGTCATTAAAAAACAAATGGAAAGCAAACAAATGTCCCACATTCTGTGGTCATATTTAGAAAGTTTACATACCGTACACCTTCTTCATGAGCCATGACACATGCCAACACCTTTATGAAATCTTACTCTGAGACTCACATAACACTAAGTAACTCTATTAACAGAACACACTTTAGAAACTAGCTACAAAGAGTAACTGACTATTCAGGAACAAGTTATCAAGAAATAATTCTTTTTAATGTATTGAGTGGTTTTATTACATTCACCAAGTCAACTAACAATGCTTTATGCTCTAGGTTTAAAGGGCAATGCCTTCCCTGCTATGAATATATACAGAGAAAAGTAGCCAACAAATTTGTTCTTTTTTAAAAAAATCATTTTATTGGGAGCTCATACAACTCTTTATCACAAACCATACATCCATCCATTGTCTGTCAAGCACATTTGTACATTTGTTGCCATCATCATTCTCAAAAATTTGCTGTCTACCTGAGCCCTTGGTACCAATTCCTCATGTTTTTCCCCTCCCTACTACCCCCTCCCTTATGAACCCTTGATAATTTATAAATTATTATTATTTTGTTATATATTACACTGTCCAATATCTCCCTTTACCCATTTTTCTGTTGTCTGTACCCTAGGGAGGAGGTTATATGTAGATCCTTATAATTGGTTCCCCCTTTCTGCCCCACCCTCCCTCCACCCTCCCAGTATCGGCCACTCTCACCACTGGTCCTGAAGGGATCATCCGCCCTGGATTCCCTGTGTTTCCAGTTCCTATCTGTATCAGTGTACATCCTCTGGTCTAGCCAGACTTGTTAGGTAGAATTGGGATCATTATAGTGGGCGGGGGGAAGGGGAGCATTTAAGAACTAGAGTAAAGTTGTATGTTTCATCAGTGCAAGAAATAATTCTTAGAGGAGATGAGATTTAAGAGTAACCATGAATTATGGGTAAAGTTTGGCTAAGTCAAGACAAGTAGAGTGGACAATATCTCTGGATATTAACAGAGTTGATAGAGAAGAGTGTGTATTTAATTTTAAAATTTCATAAAATATTTTTGCATAATAAAGGACTTTCGAAAGTAAAAAAGGCAGTAACAGATTGGGAGAAATTTTTCAAGAACAATACTGGAGACATTATAAAAATAATTGATTTTTTTCACAAATTTTTAAGCCTCTGTATTTCTGCTAAGATTTCAATTTGGAAAACATACTTTAAAAAAACGTCCACAGTTTAACAACCCAAAGACAATCAGTTAGACAAAGAACACATGAAAATATGTTCAAGGTCCTTAGCCTTGAGAGAAATACAAATCAATAAACATTGTAAAACCACCATGAGATATCACTTCATCCCTATTAGAAGGGCATTGTTCAAGAAACAAAAAGGAAGACAGCAAAAGATAGTGGCAACATTGTAGAGAACTAAAATCCACAATCCATTGCTTATGGGAATATAAAATGGAACAGCCACTGTGGAAAACAGTTTGATGGTTCTTCACAAATTTTAACACATTCCGACATGACGCAGCAATCCCGGTCCGAGGTGTATACCCAGAAGGGAAGGCAGGGATGCAGACAGGAAGCTGCAGCCCTTTAAGGACTCTTCACAGTAAGCATAGGGTGGAAAACCACCACATGCCCAGTAAATGATGAACAGGTAAGTGAAGCGTGATAACTACAAGTACACAATGGAATACCACTGGGCTGTAAAGTGAAGTGCAGCCCTGCTGCCTGCCATGGCGCGGAGGATCATGAACACCGGAGCTGAGTGAGGTTCCCCTCTGCCAGGGAGTCGATGGCCACGCAGCGGGACCCTGCAAGATGAAGTGGAGCCTCCGTGGGCCTCTGAGCCTGGAACTGTGCTGCACCGCACTGCACCGCACCACAGCAGCTGGGAGGTTCGTCGCCGGGGAGCTTTCCGCAGCAACCTCTGTATATAACCTGACATAGAGGAAATAAGCGCGTGGAGAAATCATCCGTTACTAGTACTGACTAAAGACGGGAGAGAGTGAGGAAGGGTGCTTTTGCTCATAGGAGCACGGAGTGTGCGCTAACTGTGGTAGAATGGCTTAGAAAAGACTAGCGAGTGGTTGTGCCACGTGAAGAACGTGCTCAATGTTACCGAACCCAACATGGGACTTGTTGAATGTAGTATGTTTTGTTAGGTGAGCTTTCACACAAATTTAAAAAATTATGAAAATAACAAATTATTTATAGGTAACGGTGCATTATTTTTAATTCAGTAAAGAAAGACTGAGACTGGATTTTCTAAAATTGTATTTAAGTCTTTTTCCAAATGCTCTAGTCCTAATATTTTGAAGGCGTTTTCATAGATCACCAAGAAGTGGGGGTTTTTTTTGTAACCTATAAAGTAACTCTTCAATAGGAGAATTTTAAAATTTCAAATATTCTAAGGATATCCTAGCATTTTAACAAATGAAAACAGAATATTTATATTTTCCCCAAATGCTTTTTTTTCATAGTAGTAAGATTGTGTATCTTCCAGAGTATTCTTTAAACAGGTTGTGTTTATATAATGTCAAACATACGGAAGAAAACAACATTTCCAATGGAAACTAGCTCTGTGGGTTTTTGAAGGAACATTTCCATTTTAGTCAGATAATAATAGATTCTACTGTTAGTTTGACACTATCTATTGCCAGATTACATTATAGCCTTTTCATTTCATATGTCAAAAGTATATTCAAATGTGAGATTACTGTGCTTTATTTTCATAATAAGATGTTTTGTTTATTTGTTTTTATTAAATAAGTGCACCTCATTTTCTTTGGGAAGACCCTAGTTGTGCTTTTTTGATTCACAGTTTAAACTCATAGAGATGAATTTATTCAATAAGCATTGATTGTACATTATCACATATGGTATTAGGTACTTTACATATCTGCTTTACATATCATTAAATATGCCTAACATGAAAGCCTTCTCAGATCAAATAGTGAAATCCTGTGACTACATAGGTTCACATGTTGTTTGCAGTATCAGAGCACTTATAACAATGATTAAGTTTTTAATTATTGTGTTTCCTTAAGGATATCCTATTTTTAATTGATACTTTTGTTCTCTAATGGGAAATCTTATTGTCATAGATATGTATTCTTATCACCAAAACAAATATGTAATCCAGTTCTTTTGGTTTTAAAGGTAGAAGATACAGGAAGATACACCTGTCTGGCTTCCAGTCCTGCAGGAGACGATGATAAAGAATACTTAGTGAGAGTGCATGGTAAATCTGACAACATATCTGTAGTTGACCCTACACACATCTACTTAGAAGTCGTGCTTTAGCAAAATGGGGTAACTCTAGCATATCATGAGATACACTTATACAGCAGGATATATGTATTTTGCATATTCTCATATTTTGCTGATCAAGTGTTCTTTGAGGATAGTTTGATATAATTTTTTAGTTATTTGTTTTGCTGCTGTACAAATACTTTACAATTGTTGATTTAAAAATAAACAACATAATTACGATAAAGAAAACAAAAAGCCTCCATAATCTACTTACCCAAAGATGACTCTTTTCTTTTTTTTGCATGTAAGTGATTTGCCATAGAAACGTTATCATAAACCATACCATATTTAACTTTGTTTTTCTCTCACTTAACGATGTGGTTAAAATATTTTGATGTAAATAAATGTGTTTTTATAATATCATTTTAGTAATTACATAAGAACCAGAAATCTGAAACCCATTGCAATCAAATCTATTTTGCCTCATCAACTCTATAGGACATTGTAGAGCTGCTCTTGCGAGCTTTCAAGATTGTAAATCTTTACAGGTGTAGAAAGCCTTGTCTATCTCCCTTAAAGCATCTGGTGGGTTTAAATCACGAACCTTAAGATGAGTTGTGCAATGCTCATCCCATAGCACCACCGGGACTCCTAGTAATTACATACTTTCCCATTATATTAATATGCTATCGTTTATTTAATGAGTTCCCTATTGTGTATATTTAGATTGTTTTCTTCATTTTCACCAATATAAATAATATTGTGATATGACGGAGTCCTTATGGGTTAAATGTTGGAGTGCTAACAACAAAGTCAGCAGTTCAAACCCAGCAGCTGCTCCACAGGAGAAAAGTGAGGCTATCTGCTTCCATAAAGATTTGCAGTCTCTGAAACCACATGGAGCAGTTCTACTCTGTCCCGGTAGTTTTACAGGGAGTCACAATCAACTCTACAGCAATAGATTTGGGTCAGAGTATCTGTGAACACATATGCTGACATATTTCCATAATTATCAATGTGATTGAATTTCTGTAAGTACACTTCCTTGAAGAAATCGCATGCACACACACTGCATAGTTTTAAGATATAGAAATGAATTTCCTTTTAGAATAGTTGAGCCAATGGGATTCTAAATAATATTGCTTTGATATAGAAATAAAAATTACTATTCCTGGGGAGGAGCATTTAAATAACTAAGCATAAATCTCGGTTCTTTCTAATAGCTGCAAATGTAAATGATCCTCCCTAACACACACAACATGTTATTAGTTAGCATATAAATTTGACATGTAAGAGACACGCAAAATTATCATTGTTAAAGAGTATACCTAAAGAAACAATCTTATTACCATAGATTTGATTTCAACTCATAGTGAACCGATAAGACAGGGTAGAACTGCCCCTCTGGGTTTTCAAAACTGTAAACCTTTATGGGAGTTGAAAGCCTCATCTTTCTCCTGATGAATGACAAGTGGGTTCAAACTGCTGACCTTGGAGTTAGTCCACTACACCACCAGGAATCCTAAAGAATATATACATACACTTCTTAATGCTAAAATGAGTAAACTCTGACTTGATAATTTTAATGTCTGATGTTCAGGGAAAAAGATTACCAAACATAGAACCCGACAGGCATCTTGAGCCCTGGCGACAGGGATCAAAGCACCTAGCGGCTAAGCAAAATGTCACTGGTGCAAGCACACCAGCCACTTGCTCCACGAGAGAAATGTGTGGTGGTCTGTTGTCAAAAATATGTACAGCCTTGGAAACTCTCTGGAGCAGTTACTCTGCCCTACAGGAACGCTATTAGACGCCACACCAATGGATTTGGTTTTTGTTTTCTTTCCTTTGCCTCAGTTAACGTACCCCTCATTTAGTGATCGTGCTATCCCATATCATTCATGTGGTTATTAGAAGGATTTTACTAATCAACGTGTATGAAAGTGCTGAGTAAAGTTAAATAACCATACTACTTATACTATAAATTAATCAAGAAATGCTCTCAATTCATATTTCTTATTTATTGTGAAAGTAGCATTTGTTGATAGTGTGGGTCATTTTACATTTTATTTGTATATGTTTGTGCATTTTTCTCACACGTAGTACCCCCTAATATCGCTGGAACTGATGAGACCCAGGATTTCAGTGTGTTACAGAATAGACAAGTGACATTGGAATGCAAATCGGATGCAGTGCCCCCACCTATAATCACATGGCTCAAAAATGGGGAACAATTACAGGTAATTTTTTTGCTAGCTTTTACAGATTCATTTTGAGTCAAGACAAAATTTTAAAATCAACAACTATGAAGCCTTTGCTGGTAGACAAGGCAAAATTACATCGTACTACTGGTTATTCCGACTTAAAGCCATGAGTATCCACTGTCATAAAATTGATTCCCATGCATAGTGACCTTATAAGATGGGTAGAACCATCCCTGTGAGCTTCCACGATTGTAATTCTTCACAGAAGTAGAAAGCCCCATCTTTCTCCCAGGGAACAGTAGGTGGTTTTGAACCACTGACTGTATGAAAACACTGAACCTCTGTGCCACAAAGCCTCTTCTAATTGGCCTTTTTTTTTTCTTTACTAGGGCAGTTCATTGTTGATCCTAGGCCAAAAGGCAGGTGTTTAGACTCAAGAAAACCTTGTAATTGGGCTATTGCCTTCTGGAACCTATGTATCCTTTTTTTTTTAAAGAGACTTTTGATGAGGAATCCCCACTCACTCACTCGCCACCACTGAGCACATCTGACTCAGAGCAGCCTGGAGGACAGAGGACAGCAGCCGCTAGGGATTTTCAAGACTGCAACTTTTTATGGGAATAGAAAGCCTTTTCTTTCGCCCAAGAAATGGCTGGTGTTTGGGAACTGCTGCCCTTGTGGTTAGCAGCTCCATGTGTGACCCACTAGAGTGTGAATTAATTAGCACTTAATGATGTTCATGGAAGAAAAGCATTTGATGTTTCAAATCTGAACCTTTTTTATAACCCTAAAGTCATACTACAATTTAAAATCCAGTCCACAGAACTTGTAGTCAGGCATCCGGGATTTTCTTCCCACCCTCAACTCGGTTATTTTTAGATCGTCTCCAGAATTAAGTCACCCTTACATCCCAGCAAAAAGTTCATATCCTTTTCGCCGTCATGTCCTTCCAAAATCTTGAGGAAACTCTGATGGAGTCAACTCAAGTCATCTACCCAACCTCAGATGAATGGATCATGGGGCCAGAGGAAGTGGGGGCACTGAATCTCTCCTTTCCTTAACCCCACTCATAGCATCGTTCTCAAGAGTTTTTTATACTAGAATAATGATGAGGGAGCAAAGTTTGCTAACAGACAGAAACTCTGCAACTCACTGTCTTTACATTTGATACTAGAGAGTAATGTTTTATTCCCTCTTCCTGACATTTGAATGGTAAATTTTCCTTGCTGAATCTAGGCAACGCCTCGAGGACGAATACTATCTGGAGGGAGATACTTTCAAATTAATAATGCAGAGCTAAGTGACACGGCCAATTACACTTGTGTGGCCAGCAACATTGCAGGAAAGATGACAAGAGAATTTATTCTCACTGTAAACGGTAAGAAAATGATCATTGCTTTGTAATTACAAAAGCTAGCCAAGGCCATGCAAAGAAAGGATTTTTTTTTCCTTGAGCATGTTAAGTGACCCTTATTGTTATCTTTTTTCTTTTGATAGCATACATACAGCGAGATGCAAATTTTGTACTAGAGCTATATTTTAAATTAACTTTATCTCAAATTATATAACTAGAGATACCTGACTATTTTTCAGTGATCATATATGATAATTGCTATTAGTACATACTGATCTTTAGTGTCATTCACATCAGAACAATTGAGGAAATTGGCATTAAATCCTTGGATGAAAACAGACTCGTGATTAATTCCTTGTTATTGATGGTAGAGAGGTCCAGGGTGGAATTTAATTCTCTTAAGGATAAAATCTTAATAGTAAAATTTGTCAACATTCAGAAAGATCCTACATGGTTTTCCAAGAAAGCCCCATTAAGATTTTTCGTATGTGAGATTTTAAAGGTTAGTGGGTGACCCGACAACGTGTATCTCTCATGATGAAATTTAAATGCAGATTTTCTAATCCCATGTGAACTCAATATTTAATAAAAGAAATTATCTGAGACTTATATATTAATCACAGATGTGCATTTCATTAAAACAGACCATTTTCTGTTCTTTATTTAAAGTAAAAATGTTCCAGTGTTAACATTCTCTGACCATTGTTTGGCCAAAGAGAAATTAAAAAGATTGCCTCTAATTTGCATCAGGCCAGGGCTGATTTTTACTGAAGCCTCTTTCACAGAGAACCAGATTTCACACACCCTATCAGCGATTTAAAATCCTCCTCGCCCGTCAATGCTTTATTTTTTAGCCACAAAGTACCTTGTGTAAGACTTTTAAGAATTAAACTCCAACTCTATGGATACTAAGTAATTAAATGGAGACAAAACGATATATGTGACTCAATGTTCACCTCATCTTATGTCTTCAGGGTCTTAGTTCAGACTGTTCTTAGCGTCACAGATTTTTTCATTGCATTTCCTGTGCAGTTCCTCCAGACATAAAGAGTGGCTCCCAGAGTCTTGTCATTCACGTCAATAAGTCAGTTGTATTGGAGTGTCATGCTGAAGGTGTGCCAACCCCGAGAATAACATGGAGAAAAGATGGAGTTATCCTAGCCGGGAATCATGCAAGGTAACATGTCTGCAAAAGGAAGGAAAACATTGTAATAACTGAACTAAATAAATTTCTAAAGATATTTTCCCAAGGTATCACTTTGATTTTATTGTATTTATAATTTTCTATTCTCTTCATCTTGAGAAACTCTTGTGGTATAGTCGTTATGTGTTGGATTGCAAACTGCAAGGTCAGCAGTTCAAAACCACCAGCGGCTCTGAGGGAGAAAGGCGGGGCTTTCTACTCCCATAGCGAGTTGCATGGTGGGAAACCCACAGGGGAAGTTCTCTCCTGCCCGATGGGGTTGCGATGTGTCAGAATAGACTCAATGACTGTGAGTTTGGGGTGGGTTTTGTTGTTATTGTTCTCTTCATCTTAGTATGAGAATCACGAGAGCACTTCTTAAGTAAACTTCCTGAGGCTAAGAGCTACAACACAGTGATTATAATCCATCCAATATCACAAAGCTCATTTTCTTTTTTTAAAATTTTAATGATTTTATTGACATATAATTGATATGCCGTACAATTCAGTGGTTTAAATACATTTTTAAAAGTGTACAGTCATGTAGAATCAGTTGGACAATCAGTTTTTAGAACATGTTCTTCATTCTTGTACTCATCGTCAACTCCCCATTTTCCCACAGCCTCATCTGCCATAACTCATTCAAAAGCCTCACAGCCACCTAGTCAATTCCAGCTTACCGTGACCCTGTAGGACAGGTAGAATTACCCTGGTGGGTTTCCAAACTGTAGCTCTTTACAGGAACAGAACGCCTCATTTTTCTCCCATGAAGCTGCTAATGATTTTTAACTACTAAATTTGTGGTTAGCAACCCAGTGGGAAACCTTGTACTCTCCTCAGGCTCTTGCCTAACTTAGGAACCATTGGTCTGGTTACGGTGTCTATAGACTTACCTAGGCTGGATGTCATATAAAGAAAGCCAGACCGAAAAATATCCATCAACGAGAGCAACAAAACCCAGAAAATCCTCAATCCGAAAGAAAGCATAAAAGAAAAAGAAAGAAGTTAGAGCAAATTTAAAATGGGTCAAAAGGGAAAACAATTAACAATGTGTTAAATTTTAGTCAAACCCTATCTACATTTATCCATTTTTCAATGTACTGTCTGAGAGCAAGGCTATTCATATTGCTGCTCAATGATCACAGGGGATTGACCAGAGGCTTCATCCACCTGGAGACACTGCAAATGAACTTGGGGGTTTCAGTCTCATACATAGCCTTCTAGATGCAAACTGGGTGCTCATAATTTAAACTAATGCATTTCTATCCTCCAGTATTGGGTTTTATTATTGATAATCCTTGGATCCCATAAGCTGATGTGTTCTTTCCATTTCAATGTGGCTGACACCTCACTTAGATGACTGCTTGGTTTAAAATGAGCCTTTAAGACACCAGATGCTATGCTTTCTGATAGCCAAGCACCATCTTATTTCTTCACCACACTTTGCTACAGCACCCATATCTTCAGTGACCTCATCATGATGAGGGCAAGTATCAAGTTGGGCTACATCAAAATAACTAATTGTTCTTAGATCAGCGCACACTCATAAGTGCAAACAAGCTCATTTTCTGTATACCTTGCTATCCTATCCTTTTCTTTCACCCCAGGTTTTATAAATATGTATTAAATAAAACTGAAAAATGACTAAAAGTGGATTTGACTCTACATCTTTTAAAATGCTAGCTATCAAAAGAAGAATCAGATGTGGTTGATTCAGAGAACATTACTTCTGATTTTTCTTGTAGGTACTCCATCTTGGAAAATGGATTCCTTCTTATCCAATCAGCACAAGTCACTGATGCAGGGCGGTATTTGTGTATGGCTACCAATGCTGCTGGAACAGACCGCAGGCGCATAGATTTACAGGTCCATGGTAAATATATGTTTACAAACAACAACTAGTCTTTGTATCAGATGCTTAGGGTAATATAACCTAAACTAAGGACTTTGTCACCCAGGGCCATTTAAATGCATTATGTTGTGAACATACAGGCCAAGGTTTTTCCTCAGCATGGTTAGTACCACCACAGCACTGTGTGAACTCACTATTTAACTGTGTTCATAACTATGGGGCATGCTGCCAATGACTAATTTCCATTTTGCAGAAAGACTTCAAATGGCACACTATTTGCTGAATGTGTTTCCCTCTTATATCAAATTGCTTTAGTTCCTCCATCTATTGCTCTGGGTCCTACCAACATAACCATCACAGTAAATGTTCAAACAACTCTGGCTTGTGAGGCTACTGGAATACCAAAACCGTCAATCAGTTGGAGGAAAAATGGTCATCTTCTCAGTATAGATCAAAATCAGAATTCATACAGGTAAGAAATCCCACCTCACTATATAGAAACATATTTTTATGTTGTTGTTGTAGTTGTTATTGATGTAAGGTGCCATCGAATCAGTTCTGAACCATTGTGACCCTGTGCACATCACAGTGAAGCACTACCTGGTCCTGCACCATCCTCATAATTGGTCCTCTGCCCGAGCCCATTGTTGCAGACACTGTGTCAATCCATCTCATTGAGGGCCCTGCTCATTTCTCCCCTCCACTTTAGCAAACATAATGTCCTTCTCCATGAACTAGTCTCTCCTAACAGTATGTCCAAAATATGTAAGACAAAGTCTCACAGTCCTTGCCTTTAAGGAGCACTCTGGCTGTACTTCTTCTAAGACAGTTCATGGTACTGTCTTTTTAGCAGTCCATGGTAGTTTCAATATTCTTTACCAACATCAATTCTTCTTTGGTCTTCCTTATTCAGTGCCCTACTTACACGTGTATATAAGGCAATTGAAAATACGATGGTTTGGGTCAGACACACCTTAGAGCTCAACGTAACACCCTTGTTTGTCAATACTCTGAAGTGGTCTTGTGTAGTAGATTTACCTAATGCAACATGTATTTTGATCTCTTGACCGCTATTTCCATGAACATTGATTGTGGATCCAAATAAGAAAAAAATCCTTGACAACTCACTCTTTTTTCCATTTATCATGTTGTTAACGATTGGTCCAGTTGTGATGATTTTGGTCTCATTTACATTGAGTGGCAGCCCATAATGAATTCTATTATCCTTGATCTTCATCAGCAAACACTTCAGGTTCTCACTTTCAGCAAAGCTGTATCATCTGCACATCTCTGGTTGTTAATAAGCCTTCCTTCAATCTTGATGTCACCTTCTTCTTCATCTCTGATTATTTGCTCAGCATATAGATTGAACAAACATGGTGAGAGGATCCAGCCCTGTTGTGCACCTTTCCTGATTATAAACCATGCAGCATTCCCATGTTCTGTTCACACACTGCCTCTTGATCCATGTGCAACTTCTGCATCAGCACAATGAAGTGTTGTGGAACTAGTTAGAAAAATATTGTATAAGAATCAAACATTTTAATTATTGATGAAGGCATTAATATAAAAATTATGAATAATTAACTAGTATGTAGCTATATACTTTTTTCTCTAAACGTAGAATTCAGTTTTTCTCCTAAAATATTTTATCTGAATTATAAGTGCAACTTTTCCATACTCAAGCCCTCTGATGAGTTCAGAGGATTTGATTTTTCTCCTGATTTGCTTTTTTAGTAACTTATGAAACCTTATAAAGACAAATAATAAAGAAAATAATTTTACATAAAAAATCACTTTTTATTTAAAAAGTACATGTTTCAGTTATAAATTAAAAAATCACTTTTTATACCTTTTTATGTAAGTTAGGTATAAGGTAGCGCTGGATCCCTGGTGGTGTGGTGGGCTGCGGTCTACATGGTCGGCAGTTCAAAAAGACTGGGCTTTCTTTGCTGGTAAACAGTTCTAGTTTTGGAAACTCAAAAGGGGTCGCTGTGCGTCCGCTTCGACTTGATGGCAGTCAATTTGGTTTGTCTTTTGTTGCTGTTGGTTTCTGGTATGTTTGGGGGCGGAGCATCATTTTTCCTATCTTTTGCATTCCTTCTGATTACCATACCGTATAAGATGATCATGAATATTTGTTAAAAGTGACTTACAGTTGTTAAGTTACCTGCCGTTTCCTTTTGTCAAGTCAATTCAGATTCATAGTGACCCTACAGAATAGAGACTGTCCCATAGGATTTCCAAGGTTATACATCTTTCCAGAAGTGCACTGCTGTATCTTTCTTCCATAAAGCAACCGGTGGGTTCAAACCACCAACCTCTTGGTTAACAGCTGAGCACTTAACTGCTCTGCTTCTAGGGCTCCTTTCTGATATTATAAGTGAACATCATATGTAGTACATAAACATAGGTAGTAGACATTCTGTCAAAAGATTTGCCATAGCATTGAAAACAAATATTCTCATAGATCTACTTTGACACCAATCAGTCTGATATCTCAGGAAGCATGGAACTAGTAATGTTTCACTTGGAATCAGATGGACTCTCCTTCTCATCCTCTTCATCATTTGCATTGGAAGTTCATTGGTTTGTGGGTATAACTAGATGAGAAATGTATAAATGCCCTTGCATACAAAATGATATTAAATATGTTCACTAAATATAATCACTTCTATTCATTCTATTCATTTTATCAGTTCACATTTTGAAGTAAAGAAACATATTTTTTCATTTAGAGTTATTTTAAATTATGTTTGTGTGCTTACCAAATATTCTGATCATTTGTAGTGATCCAGATAGCTTAAGTTCTTAATTGGTTAGAGATTAAGAAAATATTTATTGATATTTGAGCTCCAGACTAGCTATGGGGCAATAGGAAAGTTAACCAACCTGAGTTTCAGTTCCCCATCTGTCAGTGGAATTATCATAATGCCAGCCTGCAAATTCATTGTGATATTTGGGTATAATTTAAATAAAGCATTTATTATGGTGCCAGGTATTTACTCAATGCTTAATAAACAATGGCTGTCATCAATGTCATAAGCATTCAAAAAAATACAAGATTCCCTCTTTACACAGACAGTCCTTCTATCCAATTCTTTAACAGTTTTATTGACATATAAATCACATATCAACAACTCAAATTCAATAATTCAACCAATCATCACCACATTCAAATTTAGAACACTTTCTTCTGTCTTGTACTCATTATTAACTCCTCATCCCACCCCAACTTCCCCTGCTATACCTGCCCAAAAAAACAGTTTGAGGTTCTATTAACTCATTACCATATAAACGTGAACTCTTGTTAGTATCGGGGAATGATGTATTCGTCAGTGTCATGTTAAAGCAACAGAACAAGGTAAGCCTGATCTGAACTTTGAAATCTCTTTCCTAGACTTCTGTCTTCAGGTTCACTAGCCATTCTTTCCCCTTCTGTGGATGATACTGCAAGCTATGAATGCACTGTGACCAACGAAGCTGGAGAGGATAAGAGAACCGTAGACCTCCATGTACAAGGTAGACCTGGCCTCGCATGTGAATTCAAAGTTATAATGATAGCACTTCATCTTTCCAAGACTTGTCAAAGAGACCTTCCTTTACCATTACCTAACATTCACATAGACTCTCTGAGTTGTAGAAGCAGTTAAGGCGAATAACTGGTATTCAAAAGGTTGGGGGTCGAACTCTACCCAGAAGCAGCTCGGCAAAAATGCTTGTCGATATTCTTCCAAGACAGCCGTCGTGGAAAACCCTGTGGTTCACAGTTCTCCTCTGACCCACATGGAGTCACCATGAGTCAGAAGAGACCCCAGGGACTCTAGTTTTCAACATTTACATTCAGAGAAGAGAATGCTTTATGAGAGGATTTTTGAGATCTGTGAGGGTTGGAAAAATACATATTTTTTCTTTATTTTTTTATTGTTATTTTAGTTCCACCATCCATAGCTGATGAACCTACAGACTTGCTGGTAACCAAACATGCCCCAGCACTAATTACGTGCACTGCGTCCGGAGTCCCAGTTCCCTGGATCCACTGGAACAAAAACGGTATCAGACTGCTTCCCAGGGGGACCGGCTATAGACTCCTGTCCTCAGGTAAGACTAAGCTCAGTCATTAATCGTATATTGGTTGAACTAATTATATATGGGTGGCCTTGGCAAGCCTTTTGTTGCACCCAAATGAATATTTCCCTTTCTGGACTTGGGCATTTGGAAAAAATGCAATCAAAATGGAAAGAGATGCTAGAGAAAGGAAAAGACCTGGAAACATAATACTAAATAATATTTGAGACTGATCTCAGATAACATCTAATCCTGTCTAAAACTGATAACATTGTGAAGAATGAGAATTTCAGAACCATTCATTGTGTTTAAGTGGAACCTGTATATGGATCAAGAGTCAGTCATCTGAAGAAAACAAAGAGATGCTGTGAGGTTAAACATTAGAAAAGGATTACAGAGTTGTGTCTTGTCATCTTATTTGATTTGTGTGCTGAACCATTTGTGAAATTGGACTGCGCAAAGAATGTTGCCTTAAAAGTAGAGAAAAATTCCTTAACAACTTATGATACGCATGTCAACCCTTACTGACTTAATAGGTGCCCTGGTGGCTGGCGAAGTAGTTACACATTGGATTGATTGCAATCCGCATGGTCGGCAGTTTGAAACCTCCAGGGAGAAAGAGTGGGCTTTCTACTCCCAGTTACAATCTTGGAAACCCGCAGCAGATCGCTATGAATCAGCACTCACTCGATAGCAGTGAGTTACTGATTAAGGTCACAGACTATATACCCTTCAGTATGAACATGGAAAACAAAACCTTCACAACTGGATCAATGATCATTATCTATGGCGGCAAATAGATAAATGATGGGACCAGTGGTTTATTTCTGCTTTGGTAATCAATGCCCATCAAAGCAGCAGACAAGTAATCAATCCATCTATTGTACTGGGAAAATCCTCAAAAGATCTCTTTAAAGCTTTTTAAAGGGCACAAAGTTACTCTGACTCAAACCAAAGTGTTTTCAACAGCTTCCTGTGCCTGTGAAAGTTGAATAGTAAGAAGGCAGCACTAAGAAATGGTGCACTGAGCATGTGCTATTAGACAAGAACGTGGGGTATAGATTGGGCTGCCAAAAGAACAAGTCCTAGAAGAAAGACAATTGGAATGTCCATTAGAAGCAAGGATGGTGAGACATAGTCTCACTTATTTTCATTGCTAAAAAGGATGTAATGTTTGGAAATGTGGAAGACCACTGAAAGCAAGGGACATGTTCAATAAAGTGGACTGACACAACCACTGCCACGGTGCATGCAAAGCAGGAAGGTCAACACTTGCTTCGGTTTTGCATGAAGTTGTCATGCGTCAGCTCAGCTCCACAGGAACTAGCATGACATCTGAAGATTTAGTAGGACAAGTGGCATTTTGTGTCTGTGCATATTTGCTGAACCCAAAGTTTAACAAACTCACTGGGACCTGTGAGTTTGCTCCCTTGCTTCCGTGAGTCAGATAGAAGGTTCATTCACTCACCAAACATTTATTTAAGATAGCACACTGAACAGACCACTGATTTTACTGTTTCTGAGATACAAAACTACGTACAAGAGGATGTTTGCGTTCCTGGTTATATAATTTAGGTAGTAAAGCTAGGTAATAGGTGATGGACGTGTTTAGGGTGGTAGTAACAGTCATTAATACAATCAAAGGTTTTAATATTGAAGAGAAAAACTAAAGATGGCACTTAAATGTAAGTATGGGTGATTCACATTGGTATTTCTGAAAGCATATCCTTCATTTATGAACATTAAAGATAAACTCACTGATTGACTTTCTTATTAGCTAATGTTTTACATTTATAATAGTGAAAAAAATTTACTGAGCTAGGACGATGTTTTGGAACTTTCTCAAGAGGTTAAACAGAGATATTTGAAATAGCAACTCTACCCTTAGATAACTACCCAAAAGAAGTGAAAATCTGTGTGCACGTTATGTCTGTGAGGGTTCACCGCAGCATTGATTACAATCATGAAAGAGTAGAAACAGTCAAAATGCTTGACAACTAGTGAGTGGATAAATTAAACTCTATTCGAAAAGAAAAAGGGAAAAATATTAACATACATGCTCATAGTGAAAGAATTCATAAACAAAACACCATATGAAATATCCATAAAGATAAACCTGAAAAGATGGGAAGAGGGTCAAGGGTTGTCCGGGTTTGGGATTGAGAGTGGGGAGTGATTATAAATGGGTAACAGATATCCATTTGAGATCAGAGACATATTCTAAATGCACTGATGGCTGCATGTCACTGTGAACACACTAAAAGTCATGGAATTGTACATTTAAATGGGCTGAATTTTGTATGTAAAGTATGTCTCAAAAAAAGCTATTAATATTTTTAAGTACTATGCTAGGAACTTAACTAGATAAAGATATTAATATAAGCCAAGCACAATTTTTGCTAAACACAAAAATGAAACATAGTTTTGCAAACTAGAAGAACAAGGATGTACATTTATAGTGTATGTACAATAACTTTATTCCCATAGGAGCAATTGACATATTTGCCACCCAGCTGGACCATGCTGGAAGGTACACCTGCATCGCTAGAAATGCAGCTGGCTCCGCTCACCGACATGTGACCCTTCGTGTCCAAGGTATGAAAGATTATTTACTCATTGAAACTTGGAGTGTTGCTGTTTTTGTCCTTTAAATCATTGTTAATTCTCAAAAAAAAAGCACTCATTAGAGCTATAATATTTTACTTCCCGGTATATTAAAGATTGGAAGATAATTTTCAATGGATTCAGAAGGGCACAAAAATAATAAATCACATAAAATAACCTCAAACTTCTTTTCCTCCAAGGGCTTGTCTAACCTGCACCTGCTTCTCGTTTGTTTATATTACATTAAAGACGGGGTGTAGCGATACCTTCCAGAGAAATATGTGACCAATGTGCTCTTCTCTTGGACAATTAATTCACTAATACTGTATCATTGTGGATTGGGCCCCAATAAAAATCCCTGTTATTAACTGTTGGGGCCATTTATTTCCTGTGTAGATCCCCCAGTCATTCAGCCACAGCCAAGTGAACTAGATGTCATTCTAAACAATCCCATTGTACTACCTTGTGAAGCAACTGGGACGCCCAGTCCTTTCATTACTTGGCAAAAAGAAGGCATTAATGTTATTACTTCAGGTACTGACCACGCTTTATTTATATATATATTTTTTAATGGAGAATTCAGTGTTTTAGAATTCAGAAGTTAGTGTGACTATTTTTAAAGTGAAAATAATGTGTTTCACTCTCTGCTTTAATAATGATGATCTAGAGGGAAAGCACGCAGTTCTTCCCAACGGCGGCTTGCAGATCTCCAGAGCTGTCAGAGAGGATGCTGGCACCTACATGTGTGTGGCCCAGAACCCAGCTGGTACAGCACTGGGCAAAATTAAGTTAACTGTTCAAGGTACTGAAATCATCCATCTCTCTGTCTTCGTTGAAAAGCCGTGTGTAACAATCTGTCTAAAATGTCCATAGATTGAAAATGACTTGGACGCCTTTCCCCGCCATCCTCGGCATTTTTCATTGACAGTATCGGGGTGGAGAAGAAGATTAAAGGAACTGGGTTTTGTCACTGTTTGTAGAAGAAACTAAGAATCGTATTTTACTTTTACTTCTATAAACCTCCACTTGATATTCCATTTAGCCATAGTCATATTTCCAGTGTTTTGTTGTACAATCAGTCTATGGAACGATCTTTTTTTTTTTTTTAAGTTTTATTTCCTTTTTATTCCATTTCTTTTTTTTTTTCTTCCCTATTTCCTTTTTTTTTTTTTTAACATTTTATTAGGGGCTCATACAACTGTT